CCCCCCTCCCCCAACAGACTATAGTGTCCATCGCAAAAGGAGTTAGGTTCCCATTACTGTTCCCGTGTACCGCAACATTTCCGCCCTCCAGACCCTTGGCACAATGTCGTGCATGAGGGGGCCATGTCGTGTCGTCGGGTAAAGTGGGTTGGTCGGATGAACCCCATTATCTCAGCCCCAGCCTCAATTCGCAAAAGATATCGGATAACCCGCAGGTGAACAAGTGGGTGGAGAGCTACCTGGGTATCGGCGAGTGGGTGATGGATCAGAGCGTGGCGGTGTTAGGGTCCAGTGGATACTTTGAGAGGAGGCGTTAAGAAGTCATTTCGTTTCTGTTATTTTTTTTCTCTTTCTCTTTTGGGAATGTGGATTTTGGAATGTTTGGAATTTGTTGTTTTTTCATGTCGTAAGTGATGCATAGGAGGGTGGGAGGTGGATTGGTTGAGGGTTGGTGTCCAGCGTTCGCGTTGGCGGGAATATCCATGTTCAAGTGTTGTTGTTCGCAATGATCGTTCCATGCGCGAAGAGACGTGGGATAAGACGGAAGGAAGGCAGGGAGAGCAGCACATGACAAAGGTCAAGCACAACTCCTCTCTCCCTTCGCTTCTTGCATATATATCTCCGTCGAGCGGCCCTTTACAACACCACCACCCCTGCGGCAAGCAGCGTTGCCGGTGTCCAAATCATCGAGTGTGATGCACACCCGGGCTCTCGAAACCCACCTTTTGTCTCCTATGCATATGCATGTTTCTCTCCGTTTCCGGTTTTTTTCTTCTCTCCTCTATTCATGTTTGCCTTCATCATTCATAGGCTGTATACCTTTTCATCTTGGCCTTATTTCTTTGTGTATGTTTTTCTTATTGACATATATATATCCTCTCTCACTTGTTCTTGATCATACATCTTCAATCAATATCTTCAATGGATTCAGATCAGTCAGTCAGCCAGTGAAATATAATTACTATTCTAGAATAGGCTGACGTGCAAGAACCGTTCTGTTTGATCTGAATCATAGGGACTGGTATGCATGTGTATATATATCATTATCACCTCCTACTCTTACGCCAGAAAAATACAATTCAAGAATAGAGATAACAACTTCTCTTTCAACAAGACAATAACATATAGGGCCCCCATTAAACACCTATCATTGATCTTATTGACCAGCCGTTGGTCATAGTAGCGTTACAGATCCAGATCAGCAGACTCAAAGGGTGCAGGTCCGGCGATTTAAAAATCAACAAGGTCTTGTGGTCTAGTGGTATGATTCTCGCTTAGGGTTCACCCTAATGCAAAGATTGCGAGAGGCCCCGCGTTCGAGTCGCGGCAAGACCCTGCGAATTCGCTTTTTGTCAATGTAAGATATTTCGGTTTGCATATATGAATTGTTTCTTTGACACTCTAACAAGCAGTGTGTGTATCATTTTGGGTGGTGTTGGTTTGGGTTTTGTGCATGTTGAACCCTTCAGGGCTCGGCAAAGTCAATCAAGGCAAGGTAGTAAGTATATAGTTGATTCTCATTCCATTGCATTTTCTGGCGCCAGATATATGACAATTAGGTCAAGGGCAGGAGATGCACGAACGTAGCGGGATTGATTGTATCAAGAAATAAGAGCAGAGGGTGTTTTTGGGGTAAGGGAGGTGAATGGAGTACATGGCGTCGAGGACTGATATATAGGGACTAATTCTATAAAAATGGTCTTGGTCCTCCAACGGAAGGGTATGAAAACATCGATCAATAATACATACACATACAAGCAAGCGCAGTGCTAAATCATTCAGTTGCCATTTCGCTCCGCTGTTGACTTGTAGTAAACCTGACACACACACACACACACACACACACACACACACACACCAAAATAAAAATATAAAAAATATAAAAAAAGACAAAATAATCATTTCATATGTAACAATGAAAAAGAATCAAGAACTCACAACATCTCTCTCAATCATCAGTCTCAAACAACTCTACACAATGGAATCCCCCCCGTCATTTTCTCCACGCATTCCCTCGCTTCCAGTATCCCACGATTAGTCAACAAGAACAAACACTCCCCCGGTGACCTCAGCCCCTCAACAGTCCCCATCTTGTTCCCCCGCACGATATATCTCAACTTGGGCACATTAAGCGTCAACCTCCTCTTCGGCTTGCTCACCATCGACATCTTGGTAATCACCGGCTCATTCTGCCAGTACTTCAGTCCCAACCAGAGCCGCCGCGACGCTATGTTTGCCGTCGTGACGGGCTCGATGGGCTCGACCTCGTCGTTGGCAGCTGGGATCTTGAGAAGAATGTGTTGTGGGGGCGGCTGGCACCCGCCTAGCACGACGGTGGAGATGAATCCGGCATTCCGGAGGGCAATGGAGAGTTTTAGGTGTAGCTTTGTGTTTGAGATGGAGATTATGGAGAGGCGGGCTTTGGAGGCATTGGTAATGGAGGAGCAGACCTGTGCGAGGTTGCTGAGGGACATTGTGGAAATAGATTGTGTATTACTGCCCTCTAGAGGCCTTCGGCAAGGAAAGGGAGAGCAGAGGATGACGCCTCGGATTGTGTTTTTTGTAGCCTTAGTGTTGGGGGCTGTTGGGACGGACGTGAGTTCGTCGTTGGTTTGGTCCCTCTTGTGGAATGGTGTAATCTCTTTTGTCTGTTCAACGCAGCTTTTCGGAGAAACTTCAACAGGGAGCGAGAGCTTGATTCTATTTACGCCTTGATCACGTGCGGATGGCCGCCAAAACAACGATAAATCTCCAAGGCAGCAAATTCTCCATTGCCCAGAATCCACCCGAAAACATGCTACATCATACCAGGCCTGGGATTCAAAACTTTCCTGCACCTCCGGAAATAAAGAAAACCACTCAGATGTCACTGTGCGTAGGTGTTTAGTCAATCTGTCTGTCTGCTGCTATATCCTCTGTAGAAAGGTAACTGATCTAGTGTAGTCACATCTTCATGAAAACCACGTAAATTGTAATGGTGAAAAATCAGTTGAGCGTTAATCAGCTTGCAGACTCAGTTCTTGCTTTGCAGGTGAAGAGGCAGAGATGAAATACTATGGAATAAAAAAACAATTCGTTATAATTCTTAACAAACGCTGACTGGAGTGATCTAACATCTGGTGCAGAGAACGTCTCCACTTGAAGCTTCTGCCCTGTCTTCACAGCTTGCTGTGTCAATTCTGCTGGCGACAAACTCAACTCTGTGATTGTTCCTTTCGTCGCTATTGAGAAGGCAGAAAGTATACAAAGAGACAAGGAGGCAGATAACACTATAATAAACTGGCACTGGGTGATCACGTTGTTTGTATGAAGAAAAATGATTTGCCGGGGGGTTGTTGATAATAACCAGCCCCAACTTCAACTCGCGCGAGGTGTTTCTATCGTCACCTCCAATGTTTGATGGTGCCAGACGGCACCGAATTCGTTAGCTGGCTATTTTTCCAAGTAATACGCCGTGTATCCATGCCATTCAACATGTCTCTCCACTATGTTGCCCCGCTGAACTACGTCCGTCCAGACGTGGGAATTGGTCCGATTCCCACCGACACCAGCATGCAACCACCACTGTCGGCGGTAGTTGAAGATGATGGACTCAACTGATACCAAGATAGATTTCTCCATAGTTAGTTTGCGCAGTCAAATACCTGTGAACCCTGGTTATTTTAAGCAGCCCAAATGGCCCAATCAGGCAAATCTCGACCTCACGCTGCTTAAGCGCGGGGATCAGCTGCACGATAATGGGATAGGCTGACAGCCAGGACGGCGCTTAGCCGTCTTCTCCTTTCATTCCTCCAAGTCCCCCCTCTTCCATCTCAACTCTCGATACATCTTTGTTCTTCATTGTTGCTGTCTGGTTTTCGTATCCCCGCCACATCCCACTGTTCTCTTTCTTATTCTTGTGTAGCGGTCAGAGCGTCGCTCTCGTGGTATTATCCTATCCCTTGTCTTGCGATCTTTCTCAACGGCATACGTCCCTGTCGCATTCAATGCCTCCACTTCCTGGCGAAGAATGTCTAGTCACCGTGTAAGCCGATACCTATCTTCGGTCGGCCATTACACTCTCTGTTACTGACTCTCCTAGCTTTGTTGACGTTCACTACTACTTCTCCGCTCCTTCACCGCGGCCTGCGCACCATCGCTTCGACAAGGGATCTTACCTCTACGTCTACCATGATGCCGTGCAGCATAAAGCAGCGAGGATTGAAATCGCAAATTATCCTGGAATGCCAGAGCAGGATGCCTTTTGTGGATGTATGTCAATCTGAAGGTCTCTCGGGGCTCACATTTCCCCGTTGCTGATGAGCGCGCTGCGACTTTTAGCTTTGGGTGATGCTCATTTGCACAACTCGGATAAATTCCCCACACTTTACACTTTGACTGTGGATGATCCTCGACAGAGCATATACGGGTCGCCTCCGCCTTCAAGCGCTGACCGGAATGAATGGCTATTGGCCCACGTTGACCCTCGCGATGGAAGCAGAGCAGTTCTCCGACTACACACCCTGGATCTCTACTTTTGGACTTCAAATGATGCTGCTCTATTTTCCGAAGCTGTCCGGAAAGCCCGGTCTCCTCCACCACTCAACACTTTCCCCGTTTCCGAAGCCCCGGGGCAGGATCCTGCAGTGAGCCCTGTGGTGCGACAACTGGAAAATGTAGCGATAACTGATCCTGCTTACCACAATGGCCAGACTAGAAACTCCCGATCTGAGTCTCCCCAGCTACAACAACCAGCTCCGCAGCAAGGGGTCCCAGGTTTCGCACCTCGACCCATCCAATTAGCGGTCTCATCAGAACCGGTCAGCCCCCTAGCAACCCCCGCGCCACCTGCCTCCAAACCAGAGGAACTACAAGTAAATTATGCTCCCCTGGCGTATAATCCCGCTGCCCCTGCGGCTCCAGAGCCCATTAAGTTGCGTGAGGAAACACCGCCGCCCCTGGACGCCGCGTCCGGAACAGGACTTGCTGCCGCTGTCATTTCAGATCATGGCCAATCATTCCCTCCTGCCCGTCCCCCTATGTCTCCTGGGTTTCCTCCTCACCCGCCCGGCCAAATTCCGGGATATGGTGGACAGTACGGATCACAACCCCCAACTGCCGGTCTGACTCACACGCCATCGACCTCGTCTCACGCTTCTAGACATAATCCGACCGCAAGCATGTCCTACGTTTCCCCTCCCGTCGCTACCCACGCACCACCGCCACCAGTCACTCCAGGCGCTGTACCATACTCACAACCACAACAACCAGCAGCAGATCCAAATGCTCATTTATGGAGACAGCAGAATTTCGGTGGACCACATCCCGCGTCGCCGCACCATTCTCAAACTCAGCATTACCAGGCCGGTTATGCAGGCCAAGCTCCTCCGCCTCCCCAGCCTCCAATAGGCAGGTACTCGCACTACTCGTATGGCCAGTCACAGCAACAGCAACAGCAACTTCCACCTGGTGGAACTGTATACGACATCCATCACCAGGTGTATCGGCCAACTGAGTCTGAAGCCGCGGCGCCTTATGCCAAACAGCCTCAGAGACAGTCCGGGATTGGCAGGGGGGTAGGCAAGCTTTTGAAGAAACTGGAGAAGTTTTAAACGAATTTACGGGGGGAGAGGTAGGAGGTGTATGTTTTGGATATCTTCCTTTCTGATATAGCCGGCACGGACTTTGTGGTGTCTTGATGCCATCCGCCATTGTGATTTCGCATGCTTGGTAATTTATGTGAGATCTTTATTTTATTTTATTTTATTTTATTTACTATTATTTTTTGGTATACTTGCTTCTCACATCGGTTCTGGCTTATATTGAATCTGAATGAAATATACGCACCTCCCACCCCCTTCATGCCCAAAAATGAATGGATAGCAATGCCAACTGTCACTCTGTTCGTTTCTCCAGGTGCGGTATCGAGGTATTTGCCATCGCGTGATGTTCTAAACAACCCCTAGGAGCCAGGCTCTTCTCCACTTGCAGTAAATGTTACCCGGATGCTATCTACCTTTGAGTTATATCGTACTGGTTGTACTCCCCGTCTTACGTATCTTATAAGCCTGTGTTACTATCCCTTGTCTCTATCAGTGGCAATTATCGCCCATTCACCTTTGTTCAACATTGCCCAAGTGTCCAAATGGCTATCCAGACTCTCCTGGTTACTTCGTTACCCAGGTAGGTGTAATTGGTAGTCTGCCAGTGTATTGCCAAACATTTTATCCACAATCCTTGACAGATATGTATTGCCTCATACGAGCCATGAGCGGGGTTGATTTAATAACTATGACCTTACTTTCTGCCTAACAGATTGAACCTCTTCACAGTGTGCAGCATGCGGAGAAACTCCCACTTTACTCATACCCAATATCTTCCATGAATGTTGTTTCTTACCACGAAGAACCGTCCCCGCAAATTCTCCACCGGTCATCTTACACTGCTATATCCTGGAGGTTTCAATCCCTGATCCATTCGCAATAAGTAATTTGCACATTGTTATTCACTCTTTGGACACCTCCCGCAAACCTGGATGAATAAGAGACCCGCCGCACTTCTTTCTATCGATTCTATGCGAAAAAAAATGTCCACGCTTTCGAGCGCGGTATCCTGGACAAGAAGTGCATTCATCATCGCTAATATCTACGAAGCAAGATTGGCTGGTTGTCATTCAATCAGATTACATTGGAAATAAAAGCCAGGGAGCAAAGAAAACCACCCATCTCACAGGCATCTAGTTTAATTAACGTGCCATATTTTCGCTAGCCTGCCCTCTTAATGTTGTTCCCTATACTCTCAAGAGTTTGCTGACCTTCCTCCTATCTCAGTCCTCAAAGGGTAAACCAATCTAACTATTCCACCATGAAGGTTGCTGCACAGAATAAACTACACAGAGAGGGAGCTTTAATCGCCGAAGATATAAGTCTAACAAAATCCTGAAGCGCTGCGTCGATGATCGACGGCGAGGTGGTGAGGCAATGATCATTGCCATTAAACCAACCCTAACCCATGCTAACCCCGGCTGTTCCAGTGTCAATATGCTTTCTTTCCTAAGCCATGAGAACATGAAAAGTACTACCAGGGAGAGAAATAATGTCTGGGGTACGTTGACTCCGTCACTCTAACTTTTCCTTTTCGATAACCTCTCCTCTTTAATTGGACTTGTCATCTCACATAACGATTATATAGGTTGAAACGCCCCCTGGCGGCCGTGAGTTCGTTGCAGTCGGACAAACAGACGGTACCGTCTTCGCTGAGACTTAAAGAACAGAGAGCTCAAATATCTTGGCCGTTTGCCAACCCAAACGGAGCCAAGCCCCTGGCACGACATGAAGGTTATGATGGTTAGGTTTACATTGGATCCGAAGCTCCAGGTCACGGGTTGCAAATCTTTGATCAGGGAAAGCTATAGTCTAGAGGACTATTTCTTTTTTGGTTGAAAATTTGCTGACTTGCAGTGAAATATATGGCTGGTGGGGATCAAGGGTGATCCAGTCACTTTCGATATCAAAAAGGATCTCACTGCGTGGTTTGAGGGCTTTGGCAGCTCTCACAACATTGTTGCCCACGAAGAGACCAACATGATCTATGCCGTTGGAACAGGACGCAATACCCTTTGCGCGGGTGGCTTGTTTATGATCGACGTTTCTAACCCTGCCAAATCTACATTTCCTGGATGCGTCAACGAAGACGGATACGTTCATGGCGGTACGCATCTCCATCTCCCTCCTTAGCTGCATTCTCAATTATCTACGTCTAACATAAACCTCTGTGCAGCCCGATGCGTAATATACAAAGGACACACCCACAAGCAATACAGGAACCTCGAAATCTGCTTCAACTTCAACGAAGACACCGTCGACGTAACTGACATGTCCCAAGTCCGTCCAGATCTCCACAACCCCATACCATGGCGCGCCGCCTACATGCACCAGGGCTGGCTCGCCGATGAGAAAATGGAATACCTGCCCCTCGATGACCAGCTTATGAAGCCGACGGCACCAACCGCGGCAAATCAGGGCACACCACACCACCTACGTCGTCGACCTCAAAAACCTCGCTGCGCCACTCTTCACTGGCTTCTATCAATCGCCGGTTAAGTCTACTGACCACAACTAAATATGTCCTTAAACGGGCTGTTGTACCAATCGAACTCTGGGTCTGGCCTGCGCATTGTGGATGTCAGTTCCGTAGCCCGGGACCCAACCGGTAAAAACATTTAGGGAGGTGGGCTTCTTCGATTGCCACCCGGAGGACAACGCCCTTGGTGGTGAAGTTGAGTTTGTAGGCTCGTGGAATGTGTATCCCTATTTCAAGAGTGGGTCTATCGTTCTGAATAGTATTGAGAGAGTTGAAGTATACTGGTAAGATGATCTGGGACATATGCATATCGGTCGGTTTCTTCCGATTGAGCTACGATAGCTCTAGGTTGAAATTTGGTTTCACAGATGTATATATGCGGATTAATGAAACCATTTATACGCTACTATGTAACCCTTCATATACACTAGAATAATTTGATTCCTACGAGTACTTGGCTGGTGTAGAGTAGAGTGTATATAGCCTTGAGATTCTTCCCATTCTCTCTGCTTCTGGACGTAAATATTTGTAAATAATACGACAGCAGAAACAGGACATACATTTTCACCTCAGCAATTGCATATTCAGTCCATTTTTACCTTTTATAAACATCTGGTGCACTTGTTTGTTTTTATTTACTCTATTTTGACAGGAAGTTGCAGTGCCTATCTAACTCTCAACCTAAGCATCGGGAGTTTGGGCCCAAGCACAGAATTGCCACTTTGCCTAAAAATTGCATTGGAGTCCAGTAACACCCAAACCAAAATCGGGAAGATGGCCGAGTGGTTATGGCGCTACGTTCAGGTCTTGGCAAACGTCATCTGATTAAGCCGGGATTCGTAGTAGGGCAACCTGCGTGGGTTCGAGTCCCACTCTTCTCACCATTACTCTCTCATTTTTTTTCTATTTTCCTTTTTTTGTGTGTTTGTCATCTCTGTCACTTCTATAAAAAGAGAATTCGCTGTTTACTAACTTTCCCTGAATTATTCCTTTTAGTGGTCCCCTTCATCTTTATTGGTTTTTGCCACATGGACATACATGTGATCATTTATAGCTGAGTTAAGATTTACTTCCTCCCCGCCTAGGAAAGCCTCGAGACTAAGTTTGTAGAGAAACACTCCGTAGGGTGCTTGATGTTGCCCGGAGTGGCCTATATAATACCCTGGAGGTTTCAGGCCGAATACTGGATCGCTCAATTAGCCCTTCTCTGCATAACCAGTCTTGTTCGCTTTAGTGACGGCTCTACGTGCAGTTGTGTTGCTTCACGTATTGATACGTAAAGCTCCGGGTTGGTTGACATGCTCTTCATTGATAGTCATCCTGATAGCGTGCACACTTGGGGTGGCCGCTGTAGACGTGGGATTTGCATGAGGGGTGGTGCTCAAGTTTGGACCATTCCAGAGGGAGAGAATGACAAGGACGGACGGGGCCGCCGTGATGGCAAACCGTGCATGTTATCTAAGGTTTATAGTACCTAGGATAATGTAGATGATGTCGCGGGAAGGCTTGTATGTGGAATATAGGGTTCTGGGCGTCTGCGGCGGCAAGGGTGTGGAGACTTAAACTTCTGTACCCCTGAACCGTACCCGAGGCCCACCCAACCTTTATGTGAGGTGACCAATCTGACCCAGGGAACAAGATGAGCTCTTTTAACTTGAAGGTTCAGTTACTTCTTATTAAACAAAGTAACAAGAAAGAGCAATAATCAAATAAAACCAGGTGAATTCAATTCAGTTCAGTCTTTCCAAAAGCCTTAGGCTAGCTACAAAACTTTAAAAATATGAAAAAAGATGCTTTTGGACAGTAATCCTTCTGCTAGTGTGAAAACGTTTGAAAATGAGAATTGACTGAAATCAAAACCATTACAATATTGCAAAATAAAAATGAAAATGGAAATGTGGAAATGTGAAGGGTAAGCGAAATGGATGGATAAAAGAGAAAATGAGAATACGGAGAAACAGAAAATAAAGTGATAAAAAAAAGTCCAGGTTGATGTGACAAACAACACGTAAGAAAACAAGAAGTAAAATCTAAGGAGAAAAAACTGGAGATTGATCAAAAATTGACAGATAAAACAAAAGCCAAACAAATAAGCAAAGCTATTTTGGTTGATTTTCGGGGGGAATAGAACTGAAAAAGGCAGGACTCGTACAAAGTTAAGAGAAGATATATGATATGTAAAAACGAAATGTTCTTTGCTTAGGGCCAAAATAAAAACACAACACCAAAAGCAAAAGAAAAAAGAAGAAGAAAATACGCGCTTCAATGGTGGCGCGGCTAGCCAGATTGGGCCAAAAGGATATCTGTGGGTACGAATCAAGGCTAGCAACGAGTGATATCTGAACCATCAAAATAAAGAAACACACAAGGACAATGGCTTGAAGGTTTGAAAAGTGAAAAAAATAATAAGTAAAAAAATAGAGGAAATAGAGGAAATAGGCATTGCTAAATTTCACATTGGTGACAAGGATGGATCTGAAATGAAATGAAGTGGAGACGCTGGGAGGCGTTATGTTGTCATGACCTGTACGTAAAGTTAAAAGTGCGTAATTGCGCAAAATAGTCTTGGTTCTGGAGACGGAGAGGGTAGCGATCATAGATCAACAATTTCGGTGGCTTCGGGTAATGGGATGTTTGCGGGATCCACTTCGACCGCGGGAGCTTCTGCTTTCTCTGCCAAAGGGGACGGGATGGGCTCAGGGATGAGAGGACCAGCAACAGTGGGCTCAGAAAAGCCTGGTTCAGGCTCGACTTCCGCCTTGACCGATGGCTCTAAGTCAGCAGGCTCAGAAGTAGGCGAAATGGGAAGATCAGCTTTAGAAGCAGCGATTTCGGGCACAGTATCAGGCACGGGCTTAACTACGGCAGGTTCAGGCTTAGGCTTCTGAACCGCAACCTCAACCTCAACCTCAGTCGCGGCCGCAGCAGCAGGTACAGCCTCAGCTTGAGTGCCATCTGGCTCCTGCTTCTTATGCGGTTCTACATGCCCATTCGACAGTGTCTGCACAGCTTTGACAACTCTCTTCTTCGAAGAGGGCGGCACACACGCCGCGGTCATGCTCGTATGGCTACTTGCACTATCTCCACTCTTTCTCCGTGGTTTTGGCGGTACAGATCCCCGAGGTGGACTCTTGATTTCAATCTTCTCATGCATCTTGCTTGCAGAACTTGCAGTGGGACGCATCATTCTAGCCAAGAACGACTCATCAGCCGGACGGGTTGTGGTGCTGGGGGGGTTGCCTAAGCGTGATCGGGGCCTGTCGTGGGATGTATTCTGCTGGGGAGCCAAGGAGGAGGCTCGAGAGGGCTGTTTCTGCACTGTAGGTGCGTTTGGTGCGGTTGCTCTTGAGGAAATTGAGTTTCGATCGCTTCTTAGACTGGATGATTTGCGGTTGAGTTTTGTTGTGTTTGTGTCCGCTTGGCTGGCTGGGCGGCCATCTGGGTTTAGTTTCGCTGCAGAAGATGCGGTTGGTGCGATCACTGAATTTGGAAGACGGACGGGGCGTGTTGGAGATCTTGTACGGGATCTAGAGTCACTGGGAGGGTTCTCGGTAGAGGGTTTTATTGCCTTTTCCCTAGCAGAAATGGTTGATTTGGGGTTTGATGTGGGTTTCCCCGCCGCTGCTCGATTAGGTTGTTTCGCTGCTGTGTGAAGGTTGTCTGACCCTTTGGCTGATGTGCTACGAGGTGTAGGTTTGGCGTTAGTGTGTGATGTAGTTGTCGTTGGTGTCCTTGGTGATCGAGGGAAAGGCGATTTCAGCTCGTTTGGCGACGACTTCTTGGCCGCTGCCTTATTGACATCATTTTCAATGACAATATTTGGAGGACGTGCGGATGGATTCGTCGAAATACGGGTCTTCTTGGGTGAATCTTTGCTTCGGGGATTCCCATTCAAACGAGAAGCAGCCAATAGCGCCGTATCCACTCCCTGAGGCTTATCCACTTGTGAGTCACCCTTCGATGCGTTTTTGCCCGGTTCCGGTTTCCCTTCCGTCGCAGAAGTAGCGGTCACCAAAATATCTGCTGAAGTAGGATGTATTTTCGGTGGAGGGGAATCTGTAAATTTAGAGGGTAGCTTAGCAGCCCAAGGTCGATTGATAACCCCATCTTCAATGCTGACAATGTTATTATTAATATTATTATTATCTGGAGCCGAGAAAGCCAAAGAATTGCTCATAATTCCCTTATCCACGCTATCGCCCGACGACATCTCCATTGGGCTGCCCAGTTCTTCGACACCGGCTTTCGTGGTTCTTTCGAGTTTCCCAGGCGAATTATTGGTGTTATTGATATGATTGGTAGTGTTGATATCCACATCCGAAGTCTTTCTCAACCCCCACATAGGAGCAGATCCAGGCCGTCCAGTGCGTTCGACGGCTACGAAGTTTGCTCTGACCTTGGAGAGAGGGCGGACGGAGCCGGAGAGGTCGGTGTCGATTGGTGAGCGGCCTCTCGAGGGGGGAGAGGTTGATGAGTTGTTATTATTGTTGTTCTCAAAACGGGCCAGCAGGCTCCGGACACCGGTCTGGGCCCGACTATCCGACATGGTGGATGATCAGGAGAGATCAATCAATCGATCAGGCAGCGGGGGGGGGGGACGAGGAATGAGATTGCTGGCGGCCAGTCAGGGCTATAGCAGAGAATGCATGCAGAGGGGGAGGCTTGCATGGGAGATGGAGGAGCGGTTGTAGAAAAGAGATTGAAACCAGGTGAATCGATATGTCGAAGGATTTGGTGACGAGATAACAGCAAGCTGACGGAGGGGGAAATTGTGAAACCGGCGAAATTGTGAGGTTGAGGATGAAAAAGGGGAGAGGAGGGAGTAAGGGGAGGATGCTGCACGTGTTGGGGAATGGGTAACGTGATTGAGGGAAAACAGGAGAAGATACAGAGCACGGTGAGAGCAGAGAAATATGAAAGGACAGGATAGACGGATTTATAAAATTACATAAATGGCACACTTGCTGGCAGTTGCAGAATATTTATTTAAGATTACAACAATAGCATGTTATGTTAGGCATAAATAAGATATCTGTGATCGTCACCGGTGTTCATTATATGTCTTGCTTTTTCTCCCGCGGCGCTGCAATGGGCAATTAAAATATTATTTTGATACAACATACAACGGTATGAAGTAATTGTAAGGGGTTGGCTGTTGGGTCACATAGGAATGTGGCTTCAAGGGCGGTTACAGCATTTGGTTATTTATTTACAACTCTCCATTCGGAGCACAGGACGAATACTCCTCCAGCTCCGGGAATCGAGAAGAGATGACGAAATGCGTCTCCCTCTCATGATCACGGGCTTGCTGCAAAACATTAAATAGCAGCCAATCAACGCCTGTCCTCATTCACAGTGCTGTGTCGTAACAAAGGAGAATTAAAAAGGGAAGAAGGATCAATATGAAGGGGCAAAAACCAGCTTCAGGTGTATTGTCACGGCTGCTTCTGGAGGTTTCCTTCTTGCGATAGTTTCGGGGTCGTACCCGAATTAAGGAATACCCTCACTTCGATATTATTCGTTGGATTTTCAAGGCTCAAGGCTGTGTCGAGGGTATAAATATCTACACTTGCTCATCCGTGAATGCCTGTCTGGATCAGAAACCGGCTGAGCGTTTCAGCTGGCTGCTATGAAGGCAACGTGGAGATATATCTGCGCCGTTATTAAATATCCCTCCACACTTTCCTCAGCGAGCATTGTACTGAACGATGTCCGTAAGGGCATATCCACATTCTTCCACGGAGAATTCTCCATACAATAACCCTTGATACCATTGTTATCCGCGGTTTTATATCTCCTGGATCCGTCGACACCGTTTTATGTCCGCTTTGGGAAAAACGTTAACGAAAAAAAAAAAAATAAAAAAAAAAAAAATAAAGGGGGGGTTCAAAGAACTTGGCATAACGTCACGTGAGCACATTCAACCTGCCAAGTTTGTCACTTATATAAGCATGCCAAGCTCCGACAGCGGGACTGGCCCAAACTTTTTGTTGACTCCACTACAATTCAGGAGACAACATATTAGCAACTCAACAGCGCGACCATGGCTGCCAGAACATTGAGAATAGGTCAATTGCTCTCTATTCAACCCTGCATGTAATGAAATTGCCACACTGACAATATTATATAGGCCTCATCCCCGGCGACGGGATTGGCAGAGAGGTCATTCCGGTATGCTCATCCGCTATGATGTTGTGGCAATGACTCGCTATACCAAGAAAGGAGCCAATTGAAAGCTTTTCAAATACTGAAGAAATCCAAAAACAGGCTGGTCGAAGGCTTCTAGAAGCACTTCCCTCATCTCTGGGCCTGAAATTCTCCTTCGTTGACCTTGAGGCTGGCTTTGACACCTTCAAGAAGACGGGAGCTGCTCTCCCCGATAAAACTGTCGAGGTTCTCAAGAAGGAATGTGATGGCGCCCTGTTCGGGGCTGTCAGGTATCCATTTTAACACAATTCAATTACCTTCGCCCTGGCCTTCATCTTTTAACTGATGCCCAATACACAGTTCCCCAAGCACAAAAGTAGCGGGCTACTCCTCCCCAATCGTCGCTCTCCGCAAACGCCTTGACCTATACGCAAACGTACGGCCCGTCCGCACCACCACAGGCTCCTCCGGGACCCCAATCGACCTCGTCATTGTCCGCGAGAACACCGAAGACCTCTACGTCAAAGAGGAGAAAACCAGTGACACTCCCAATGGCAAAGTCGCAGAGGCCATCAAGCGGATCTCTGAACACGCCTCTTTCCGCATTGCCACCATGGCCGGTGACATTGCCCTACGCAGACAGAAGATCCGTGACGCAGACCCCAGCACAAAGTCCAACGCGAGGTCCAAGCCCATGGTCACCATCACCCACAAATCCAACGTCCTCAGCCAGACCGACGGGCTCTTCCGCGAGACCGCGCGACGCGCACTAGCCCAAACCCGCTTCGCTGGGACTGTCGCTGTCGAGGAGCAAATTGTCGACTCCATGGTGTACAAGCTCTTCCGCCAGCCGTCGTACTACGACGTCATCGTTGCTCCCAACTTGTACGGCGATATTCTATCTGATGGCGCTGCGGCACTTGTTGGGTCGCTGGGTCTTGTTCCCAGTGCTAATGTTGGCGACAACTTTGCCATTGGTGAACCGTGCCATGGGTCTGCGCCAGATATTGAGGGCAAGGGTATTGCGAATCCCATCGCGACGCTGAGAAGTGTCGCGCTTATGTTGGAGTTTTTGGGGGAGGAAAAGGCTGCTGCTATCATTTATAAGGCAGTTGATGCAAATCTGGATGCGGGGGCGTTTTTGTCGCCGGATTTGGGGGGAAAGGCGAAGACGGATGAGGTGCTAGAGGATGTGTTGAGGAGGTTGTAGATATAGTAGAGCATGCGATGCGAGGATATAGAAAGTTAACTTAGTTTGTGGTTGCTGAATTTTTGGGGTTATGAAACAGTTGAAAAATGGGGGAAAACCTCAAAAGAAGTCACTGGTAATTACACAAACACCAAAAGTATAGATTCAAATTTGAGCATTGCGTATGCGAAAGTCATAATCGTATTCAATCACTTTAATTTCGCTGCAACCGTAGTGTAGTGCAAGCGTATGCCCAATCTCGATGCGTTTTCCAATCTCTATTTAACCCAAGACAATCCGTATGGATCAGTACAAAAAAATTCCTCATGTGTCTCATGAGAGCGATCATCACTCGTGACTGCGTTCAAGCCGTAATTTGTCAAATACTTATATCGGACTCAATCGACGCCCTCATCGTTGTCAATATACTTATCTTTGTTTCCTCCTCCATCATCATCGTCATCATCATTATCAACATCATCGCTATCGTCGTCATCGTCACCATTGTCAACATCATCACCGCTACCACCATCATCAGCAACTCCAATCTCCTCGCCTTCCCACTCCCTACCATCACCATCCAGAAGCAATGTAAAGAGCACCACAAAATACACATCGCCAGTGCGCTTGTTCTTCAACACGTAGCGGAGTTGATGGTTTTTAACGTTAATGTATTTGGTGACTTTGATGCTGAAGCCGGGGAGTCGAAGAGAAAAATCTGCACACAGCCTCATTAGCCCACTCTCTTCTGTCCCCTTCATGGAGAAAGGCGATTATATTTCATGAAACTCACCATTAAACCCCAAATACCCATTCCCAAAATCTGCCTTATACAACCTCCCTTCCTCAAACACAAATCGCTCGCGATTCGCCTTATCCAGGAAAAACTTTCTCCTCCTCACCGCATCATCAGGAATATCCAACTTCCTCCTCACCTCCTCACCACCGCCCTCTCCGCCTTCTTGAATAACCTCTTCTTCCACCTTCAAATTCCGGCCTTCCCCAACATCACAAATCCTCAGGAAATTCCAACTCGATAACGCAGGCCCATACAAATACGGCCGATCCGCATATGCATCGCCCTCCAATCCTGGGTCGATGGTCCACTTGACAATCTTCAGCGCTTTGTTCGTGCCTGGCGGCAGGTTATGGCGGATGGGGTGGTCAAAATCGTTGCCGAAAACCAGATCTGTGCCACGCACAGCGTGTTTGGGGACTAGTGAGATGGCAATGGAGTATTGGTCGTTTCTATGGATTGGATGCGAGAAGTAGGGAGATGTGCGGGGAGAGGTGCGGGGAAGACCTGTGAGGGGGAAATCATGTCAAAAGAGAAAAGGAAGGGCGAAACGAGAGAGAGGAGTGGTTCTTTAATACGCACCTGTGAAGTCTTGGATGCGGACGCGGAGATCAATGGTTGCGTGCTCTGTTTCTATGAGGTGGGCGACGGGAGAATTGACAATGACTGGGTTGTGGGTCGAGGAGTTGTAGGTAGGGCCAGCGGTTACGGAGAGGATGTAGGCTGGAGTTTTGTTCGACATGATTCAGAGCCCCTCCCCTTTTCATAGAAGTATACAGGCAGAGTACGATACTTCTGTGGATGTAACCAGTTAGACTCCTCTGGGATCATAGATCAGAGACGGTGAAATTGTGTTGATTTGACGCTGCAATGTCGGAATCCGTGGAAGAAATTGAACTTAATCAGTCAAAGGCTATTATTCACTCTTTCTTCTGGTTCCTGATACGCGCTTTTCAATATCACGGCGAATTCCATTCTCTTAAGCTAGTCTTCCAAGAAACCCTTTGATGATATCAGATTTTATATCAAGGAAACGCGCCCTTGATGACGACCTCGGTGTAAAATGCGGCAACCCGTCCATCCTGGTAAATAAGTAAAAACACAAAATCTCGTTGCTAGATTTAGGATTAGGATTTTTCATTGGGGAGTCGGTTACCAGCTAAACACAGATGCCGCCAGCCGGAGAGTCGTCAGATGGTGGTTGTATAGTGTCTTGTCTAAGGTCGGTCGCAGGTTTGTCATCAGCTTTTACTTGATGACACAAACGATGGCTCAGCAGCTCAACTGTCCCGCTCGCGAATAGGGGCAGAGAAGCGGGGGTGAAAATCTTCTCCCAGAAACCTTTCACATAAATACCAACTTTAATAGAACTATGTATAAAGCCTGCAGAATTCCTCTACTCTCTCTTTGCTTTCCATTTTCACATGAATAGCACCGACAGAATAGTTGCCCCGCGTCAACAGTGAGAAGAATGGGCCCTGATATTATTTCATAACATGTAAGAACAAACTCGCAGAACCACTGATAGAAAGGGAACCATCGTTACTACTTATGTACAAGTTCCATGTTTGCCTGCTTAGATATATCTCAGATTGAACTTGGCCAGACCACAAAATCCAAAATCTAGCCCCTCGGCCAGAAGCTAACTAAACCAACCCCGCCTGATCACCATTTAACAGATCCCCGTCTCCCCCAACCTCATACTTATCCGAACTGCCAGATGATATGTGTCCAACCGCCAGGTGGCGTGCCGGCGCCGTCCGCTCAACCTGGCATCAACAATGCATGGCTTCCACCAGCTAGGCGACGTGTAGATCATGGGATATCTTTTTGCTTTCACAGCTAGTGACGAAATCATAGATCCACGACACCATCGCAGATGCACTGAGCTCGTAGCATTGGGATCCATTCGCGTTGCTTTCGATATCCAACATGCCAGGCAAAGTTATGCCGTTGCTGGTCAACCCCCCCCCCCCCCCCCCCTCCAAAAGCTCTAGGAAGTGTGCAGTTTGTGCTGCACCAATGGCTGAATCTGGGTGCGCGAACTGATATCCAGCACGAATAAAACCTGCCTTTGTTGCACTCGTGTAGTGAATGCTGAAGGAAGGGTCGGTGTAGGTTTGCGGTGTTATGACCGTTGGAGGAGAGAATTGAATGGAAAGAGGTGGAGGATGGACGTATGGATTCACCCTGATGATAAAACGAGCTCCGTATTTATGTGAGCTTGCGAAATCGACATATTGTTACCAAATAGGAGATATTTAATCCTTGGACAGCGGCGTTAGCCACGACTACTGAGGCTACTAGTGCAGCGAGTGTGAGTTTCATGGATCGCAAAGTCGATCAGATATGCTGTGGTTTTAATTATCTTAAACCGGATAATGTCAGGAATTATAATCGGCTGGCAATCAAATTAGATCTTGACGAACGGAGCGGTGGTTATGAGCTGCATTTTATATCACAGTTCATCAACCGGCCGTAGGCCGTTCGGCGTCCATGTTTTGGTCCATTTAAGGTGTGATTCTAATAGACCAACCCTCACTAGAACAAGGCGGCAGTCCTGGATTCGACAAGTCCTTTGTGAAATTTGTCGCAAGAGTTCATTATACTCCTTACCAACAACAAGCATTGTTGTTGTGAGTAGTCACGATAGGATTTCCCAGCGGGATCCTGTAATAACATCCCCTTTTTATACATCAAACCAGCGGCGGACGGCTCCCTCTTTCGGCCTGGGATCCCTTCCTTAAGCATGTGAAGGGACAGGTGTTTGGAAGCATGATATATGATGTAAACTTGTTTAAAGAGGTGATTAGCATTGATTAGAATGGCCCTTCTCATATGAGAAATTGCGGTAATTTCAAGGTCCAGAGTTGGGGCAATGCGAGTGATGTTCTGGCTCAAATTGCCGTGGCCACTAAAACGTCATCAAATCACCCTAACTTTTATTTCCAAACAGCGGATCAATGAAGGCGACCACTCTATGAACAGTGTGGAGTAATTCCTTACCGTGCTTGGTGTGGTCTGTGAGTTCAAACTAGCAACCTTTGCAATATGGGTTGCATGGTTAAATTATGACGACCAGCCACCTAAAAATTGTATTTAAGTTGAGATTTGTTGCCCTTGCGTCTGTTTCTTCTCCTTCCAAATGTATCAATAAATCAATCAGCAATTGAATGATAACAATACGACAGTCGTGATCGTTAGGGTCATGGTTCGGAATCCATGCATACGGGTGTGGCTTTCTTGGCCTGCGGGGTGCATTAGCTCTGTAGAGACATTCAACCACCGTCTTTTCTTGTTTCGACCACGATCATCTTCATGCAATTTCAAACCTCGAGTGACTAAATTAAAGGCAATGAATGGGATTGACGGGGTTTTATCAGGGATCGCGGACCGGGTATTGTATCAACATCCATTCAGCCTCGCCATTTCGACCCATTAGCAGAAGTCAGCTCTGCCGATTTCAATGCTGCGACCCTTGAATCAATATTCCTGTGAAAACGGGGTGTCGAATTTCTGGCGTCTGCGAACGCAAGAGGAAACCCCATTTGATAATTTCCCCAGCAAAACCAAGGCTGAAAACTTGGGAATGTTATCATATTGTACAACATCTGTCTGCCAAATCTCCTCGAGTATCCAAAAGTATAAAGAAGAAACAGTATAGTATTGCAAAAGGACCATGAAGATATATGACCCCAAAAAGGTGTGTAGATAGCAAACATCCAAAGAGCAAACATAAGAGAGATCCACAACGAATGTAACTTCGCATGAGCGATGTAGAGTGCCACGGCACGACCTACCCGCGATTCCCGATTCCTGAATCCTCCAAGGCATCTCCACCCTCCTCCTCCTCCTCTTCTTCCAAAATCCCAATCCCAGAATCCGGTCGCCGTCTCTTCCTCTTATCCCCTCTGTAGACCTCCACGTTCACAAACCTATCGCATGACGGCGTAATGGGTTCGCTCCCAATCGGTGCAAATCCACTATTGTTAATCGTGGTGCGAACTTCGCTATCGTTCTGTCCGCTCTGGTGGTCCTTAGGACTATCAATGCCACCATACAAAGCAGACATCCCATTTTCCCACTCCATGAGTTCCCTGACAGTTCCGCTGGCTCTTTCTCGCGCGGTGTGGATTTTTTCTTTCGAGAACAGCTTTTGCAGGGAGTTCAATCGGGACTGCAAACGAGCCTTGTCTACACGAAGCGTTTCGATATCTGATTGGGTTTCATTGAGCGCGTTGGTGATTAATGAGATGCGAACGTTCATGGCTCCTAGCTGTTTATCGTGATTTTGCGATTGGGAAGCAATGGCTTGGTCATGCTCGGATTTCAGTTGTTGTATCTTCGATTCAAGAGATGATAGCTCTGCGGTACGCTTGTCCAGAAGTTTTTGCATCTTTTCACGGATTCGTTGTTGATCGATTATGTTCTGTTCCAATTTGGCAATATCCTCCTTCGCCCGCATATTCTCACTATGTAAGTTTGAGTTTGCGTTTTCTAGCTCGGCGACTTTTTGCATGGAGGCGATTGTGTCGTCTTCAAGTTTCATATTTAGCTCTTCTAGGATTTTGAGATCGGCTCTGTAACTTGCAATTGCACTATTGAGGCGGACTTTATCCGTTTCCAGGACATTGATTTCTTGCCCCAGTTTCTGCATCTTCATCCGAATATGCATCATGTCTTCTGCCATGGAGTCGCTAACTTCTTCGAGATTCTTGTTCTTTTTGTTCGATTGCTCCAAACGATGCAATGTCATATTGAACTGGTTCCGCAAGGCAGCTTCTCGATTTTCGCAACCAGTAACCTGTTCGTGGATCAATGCAAGATTCTGGACTAAGTTGTTAATCCGCTCTACAAGTGCATCGATAATTTCTTTCCAGTTCATTAAATCTCCATTTGCTGTTTCACCAGGAACAGCTCGTTCGAGTTCGATTCTGGCTTGGCGAAAGCGAACGCTCATATTTGACAGTATTTCAGATGCACTGGCACCATCAAACCCGTGGCCGGAGAGGCCTTTAGCTACACTTTCGAGTTTTCCAATAGCCTTTGATTCTCGAGACAAAATCTTGCGTAGCGTACTGACGATTTGAGGTAAGAAATTTGGTGGAGGGGAAGCTGAACGGTTTGGAGGGCTCTCTGCTTGAGAGCCATTTCCTCTATCCACATTATTGGATCCCAAAAGAGAAGACCAATCTCTGAAAAGTGCACGTTTCTCTTGTCTCACATTGTGGAGTTGGGCAGATAGAGCGTTGTTCTCTGCATCTTGCTCTGTATCTTGTCGAGCGATTTGAGTCCATGCATCTGAAGTACGCCGGCGATTTGAGGACAGTCGCGACGAAACTGGGCTTGACGAAGCGGTGAGCATGTCATTGTCCATCATCGTAATGTCGTCACCAACAAATATCATCTCTTCATCCTCATTTGCAGGCGGGGATATTGACAGACTTTCCGCACGTGCTGAATCCTCATACTTCTTCAACAAGGTCTCCAATTCCGCAATCCGATGTCTTGCCTCGGACAGCTCCCTAATTCTCTCCGGAGTGTACGGGACGCTGTCATCTTGTGCTTCAGTCTTCACTTCACGTAAGGCGCTTAATTCTCGCCTCAGATTCATCAGCTCTTCTTCCTTTGCCCTTTCCTCCCTTTCCTTCTTTTTCTTTCTCTCATTGATGTTGTTCATTTCTTCACTAAGCCCAAACCGTGCAATGCGCCGTCTAGCTCTGGCATTAAGGATTGCGCTGCAGGATAAAAACTGGAACGTTTGGGCTTCGGTCGGTAGTTCCGGCAACTCATATTTTACCCCATTGTTGTCGGTTCGCCAGTTAGGTTCTGAGCAGCGACGACGAGTCCTTTTAGCGCTAGGTTCTTTTATTGATGGAGAATTCTCAGATACAAGTCTTGTCCGCTTAATCGCCGGTGTTAAACCAGTTGACAGGTTGCTGTCTATATTGCTAGACAGTTGTTGTATTGGGAGGCCAGAATCAGAAAATCTGACCTTTTTCGATATTTTCCCTATTCTGGTGGGTGTTCGAGGTTCCATGAGAGAAGATCGCGACGGCAAAATGCTTTCGGGATTATTTTCTATCCGTCCGCTACTCTCCATCGACGCTGTATACGATCCGTGATCAGGCTTGCTGAATGACCTCTTATTTCTGGTTCCCATCCTGATGTGCAGCTGCAACAAGTAAGACCTGTCAGAATTTCACAGCAGTATGATGACTTATACGATCTGATGCTGCAGAAATTAGTAAATTGGCCATAACGCGTGAAAAAAAGCTCCATTTCAACGTGTGTACCGGGAAAGAGATGACGACAAAACAACATTGACTCCGGATAAAATGTGAACCATGTAACATCGCTGGGCACATTTTCGAAAGATATCCCCAAAAACAAGACTTCGTAACCCCACTTACCCTGTTTCAAATTATTATTTATGTTTTCCAGAGATTGCAATGTACAACCAGGGGCTTGTGGTAACAGGTGCAAGCTGGAATATCGAAGTATCTGAAATGACAAGCTTGTGTCACTATTTGCAGACGAGGACGCGCAGAGTCAACTGCCCACTGAAGGGGAATCAAAGGAATTGTTTATTTTCGGCTGCAGTGCTGCTGGCACTTCGTGGAACACGCTGAATATATGTTCTGGGTAGGCCGCCAGCTCATCCCCCAACCGGGAAAATCAAAACAAAAACCCACTATTAGTTAGTCGAGCGGGACGGATAACTGATTGATAGATAGGAAATGACCTCAAGCTGGCCGAGCTCACGCGTCTTTCGACATCTTTTAGACAAATCCACGCGTGGTTGAGAGGCTTTCAGCTGGCGGCAAATCATCAATATGGAGCAAATACGGAGTAAATCAAGGTTTGTTGTTGGTGGTTCAAGAATTGCCCCCATTGGGTTAGAGGTAAACAACATACCCAAACGGGACAAACCAACCACTTCACAACGCGCTCCCCGTTGACGTATTTATCCATTTCTTCTGTCGAATGGTGGCCTGCCTCATTACTCAGAATATATGACACAGCCAATAAATGGCCCATTACGACAGAGGCCATTTTGACAGGGCTCGGCTGTGAGCTCACCACGAGTGTGCAAGTATCACATGTCACCCAAGACTTAATCAGGCTGAAGGAATCAGAGGATGGTTTACTTTGAGGGTAATGTCAACTGGAAAATGCCGGCCGGTGTTTACAAGAATACGGATATATGCACTTAGCAAAATTATCAATGCCAAAATACCAAGCAAGTTCATTTCTTGGAGTTCCGTTGGTTATAGCCATGGGAGGAGAAAAGTTGGTAATCTTGATATTGCACTAGATCATTCCAGTGTTTGTGGGAAATGCACATTCAAAATGATACATGTGATTGATTCAGCTATATATCAACTGCCTGGCGAGTCCCATATTCCAGAAATGTTCGCACATATTGCATTCTAAGTTTCGTATCCCAAAGACCGGGGTTTTAGTGACATCGCTCCAGATTATGCCAAGTATGCATGCGTACCTACAAGGCTCGCCCCTGTTCAGTGCTTCTAACATATAAGTATTCCCCACCACGTTCAATCAAAGAAAGCCAAAGAAAGGCGACAGGCCCGAGTGCTCAGGACAGATAAATTTAGTCGAAATGAAGTTGTAATTGTTAATCGGGCTACCCACTGAGAGACATGCAGACGAGGACTTCAGTTTATTTGCGTTGTAGTCCGAATTAATTGACAAGCCTGTTCAAAAAATAAGAAGGTATTGGGCATGTGCAAGTGACTTCGAATTTCAGCATCCGACAAAAAAAATGAAATGGATAGTTAGTTATACCGTGGATGGATTTGGTAATGGAGGTTTAACGTTTAAGGGGTCTTGGAAGAAACCTGTCGGGGGTAGCCGCCCCACCTCACGTGATATACGCTTATATTAGTTAGCTTAGCTAATTGCCTCGCACCAAATGGAAGAACCAACCAACCTGGCTGCGTGGTCACATGACCCCCAGAGTCCAGTGCTTTGCCCGACCCTTGGCAGCCGAGGCTCGTTTTCCGCTTGGATTGAAGGAGAATAATCTTCTATCTCCCATTCAAGCAACTAATTGATGACGATAATATTTCTAACCTGGGAATACGCATCGGCTAATCAATAATGGGCATTGTATCCTTACCTTCATATATAGGCTCAGGTAGAACTAGCTAGAATCTCAAGAGTTTCTCGTTTACCTGACAATTCTGCACACGCATTTTACACTTCCTCTCAGCGTTCTCATGATACCCACACTATTATGATTATTACACTTTGAATAATCTTTCTAGTTTTTATCAACCAGTTATCCTTTAGCCGCCCCTTACTTCCCAACCATGGCATCACCCCTCTTCACGGTCCAGAAGTCAGAGGGTGTGATAACATGCACCCAGCCGCAGGATGCCGTATACTTACTGACCTTCAATTTTCAGCCGGATAACCGTTTAACAGAAGATTTCTGTCAGGCTATGCTCCTGGCTCTGGACATCATCCACTTCAAGTATCCTCCCGGAGTCTTCATTACCACCTCCGCCATCCAGAAATTCTACAGCAATGGCTTAGATCTTGAAAAAGCCGTTGCGACAAAGGGCTTCTTCGAAAACCAGCTTTTCGCCCTATTCAAGCGGCTTTTAACGTGAGTTGGATAATGTTGCAATACCCTTTGGTCTCTCTTTTCATCCCTGAAAAGCCTATTAGCTAATAATACTTGGGAACTACCTTTAGTTACCCCCTTCCTACCGTTGCCTTAATAAATGGCCATGCCTTTGCCGGGGGTTTCATGACGGCCATGTACCACGACTACCGCATCTTTAACCCTTCGCGCGGCTTTCTATGCCTAAACGAGATCAACTTCGGCGCCGCCCTCAAGCCCGCCATGTGCTCTATCTTCCGAGAGAAAATCGCAAACCCGCTCACATTCCGAAGCATAGTGCTTGAGGGACACCGGTTTGGCGGCAAGGAAGCGCTCGAGCACGGCATCGTCGATGGCCTCGGTGGTCTAGATGAGGCGCTGGCGTTGATTGAGAAGAGAAAATTAACGACCATGCCCGTTTCCGGGGTTTATGGATTAATGAGGAGAGAGATGTTTAAGGAGACTTATGCGATTCTGCAGAATTGTGGGAATGATCATGCGGAGGCGCAGAGGGAAGCGGAGAAGGATTTGAGGGAGAAGGAGGGTGGAATGAAGCGGGTAGAGGAGTGGGAGCGGAAAGGGTCGAAGCTGTGAGGTTAGATGAATGGGTTTGTTGTAGGAACATGTTTATGAATGCATGTACAGCACATATTTTTTTTTTTTTGCCCTGTGGAGCTGGCGGACTATTTTGCATATGTACGGAGCAGTTTTTGTTTCCTTTTTCTAGACGTGTATGGAATTGGATTGCATAGACACTGAAACACATATTGATATGGTCAACAAATGTGTTGCTTGCGGGTTGATTCTTTACCCTAGGAATTTGATCAGAATTGGTGGAGGTTTTCTCTGATTGCAAGCAAATACTAGAAAAGGGGATATGAGATGCCTCTGGAGCTGATTATGCCTTGAATTCAGTTGCTTGAATAGTTAACTATTATTATAGTGGAGTGTAATTTACATAGTGTTGCCATTGAGAATTTATTCCTGTGAATCAATCAAGCCAGCGCTTAATTTTATTTGAAGCAACCATTGAGTGATGTCATCAGCGAACTTCTCACCCCTCTTCAAATATCATCTTAGCAGCTATCCGACAGCTCATGTTCTTCAACATCGAACATCCTCAGCAATATTCGATAACTTCGTATAGCAAGGTGACAACTCACACTGTTATCGCTGTAGTGGATAACTGGAGTTTACTTTGGTCCTAAATTCAAACTCGATAACGTTACCCTCTCAAGTTCAACTTCATATTCAGGAGGCGGGGTGATTCCCAAATCTTTCTCCTTTATCTGATCGTCACCCAAATACAACAGAAATGGACACAAAAACATGCACATCTCCTGAGAATGTCGCCCACTTTGCACTTTTACCTTCAGAGATCCTTTATATGATTCTATTTCTCCTCCCACCCCCCAGTCTGGCGGCAATGTCTGCAACTTGCCACCGTCTCCGCAAACACACCCAGAATGACAATATTTGGATGAATCTGGTGAACTCAAACATCCCGAGGCCGCTCAGCAGCTCTGCCCCATTTAATTCATGGAGAAAACTATACATATCCCAATATCCAATGTGGTTCTTAGTGCGCAATAAGATTTGGTTTTCCAATCAGAAAGACACGGGGAATCTTATAATGACGAGATACAACCCGTACAGGTCAATGATTGAAGGTTTCCGTGTCGTTGCGCGACACAGCTTCCGCCAATTCGAGCAATGGTCTAAGGATCCGACAGTTCTTATTCACTCTTTCAATCCGGAGGTAACCTTGCTGATGGATGATCCTGTGGTTGAACTCTTCAATTTTATCGTATCGCCTAACAGGCACTACAGTAAATATTCATTGGGGGAGATAAACATAGCCAGGCATTACCCTGAATACCGCATGGTCACCAATTTTATGCTATGTGCTAGGATACCTCATGAGGACCAAGAGGATACTCAAAAAAATGTTTGGCCGCCGCGAATTATACCATCTGATGAACGGGTAGATGTCTCAGAAGAGCTGTCGTCGTCGTGGGAGCGAGAGCCTGAGAGACCGCGGACATATGAAGACATTTGTCTGTCAACTTTTAAACTGAGGCGATGGGCACAGATTGGCCACCTTGGGATTGCATATCAAGAAGGGGCTTCTAGACGTGGGGTAACCACGTTTGCCACGTTGCAGCCAGAGCTGTATACACCCACTCCAGAGAAGCCTTACCGGGGTGTATGGGTGGGAGATTATTCTGGCCATGGATCCGAATTCCTTCTGGTGATGCAGAGGGATGGCCCGGTCATAGATTTCCTGGATGATGAACACCCGGACACGGAGGACAAGTCGTCAATCTCCACATCTTCCTCGACGGAAGGCCCGTCCCCGTCTTCTCCTCCGCGACAAAGGTTGGAAGCGGTAAAGTTAACTGGCGACACAAACGTCCCTCGGGGAGAAATATCGTTTCTGTCAGAGGATATTGGAGCGGGAGGATTAATTAGAGTCGCTGATGAGGATTTGTTTAAGGGCGCAAGAGTCGTGCGTGCTCAGGGGCATATCGCGTGGACAAACTTTAGAGATGGTGAGTCTGCCCTCTCCCCGTTTCCTTCCATATTTTATTATTTACATTGTTTGCATTTCCGCTGCTCCTTCTCTTCCAATAGCAGCTTCGGTGGGGAATGCTTTTAAACATGTACACGTGAGTGTGTTTAAATATTAACTTGGTATTTCTCTCTTTTCCAGACAAGTTTATTCCGGCACAGTTATTTCTTATCTCGAACGACTGCATGGCACTTTTCTGGGAAGAGCTGAAGCATATATCATACTATCGGCGAGTTGACGTCGATGAGCTTGTGTATCACGAATTTGGTTTACATCACCTCTGATACTGATAATAATATCCCCTTTTTACGCTTGTATGGAACCGCCTGTCATTGACCTCTTTCAAGCCGGCGACGATGTGAAAGAAATGTCCGAGAGATAAACCCTTATCTGACTCCAATGTACTCGAATTGATCGCTTTTCATTGTTGTATCCCCCGGCCCGCAGGTTATGTTTGTTCTGCAGGTTTTTCAAATCTCTGCCTCGAAACGCCATTAATAAGGTGGATTTCATATCTCTTTCTCCATTATCTTGATGGATCGATATTTAGCTATTTCAGCTCTTCTACGCAATGGAGGATGAGAATGGTGGTACCACACCTGCTTGCCCCGTTGACATCGAAACTCTCAATGCCCTCATGTATAACCAGCTTCGGAAGGGTGATGGAAGAACAGATATTCCCCTTCGTCCACCTCGCATTCCTTCTGGTTTGGATTCTATCGCCAAGCTACTTGCATCTCAAGCCAATGGCGATATGGTAGCCACTGCTGTACAAATTGACGAACCACACCAGGAAGTTATTCTATCTATATCTTCAAACAACTTGATCCAAGTAGAGACACTGGGTTATATACGTCATGTATTTCTCCAACTTCAAAAAGTTGCTATTGCACGCCATAAACATGATATACGGATCCAGAAAAAGGACGGTTTATATCTGGGTTGTCTCATACGGGCGAGGAGTAAAAATGAGCTTACTCCTCTACAGAGTCAAATCAGAAATGTCCATCGTGCTGTCTATATGTTCGCTTTTGATAGTCTGATACGGCGAATTCTAAAACCATTGGGTGCGGACTCGAGCGGCTTAGTGCAGCTCTATAAGTGTACTCAGGATGTTGTCACGGTGATAACGTATGCAACCAGGCCACTCCTGCTTACTATACGGTGCCTTTTAAAATGGGTAGCCCAAAATGTCCTTCAGCGTGGGAAAGAGACCTTAAACAATAGTCGGGTGTTGTCGTTGTTCCTCTGCGCTATGCATCTTCTGGTCGACGCCGTCAAACAGCTATCGGAAAATTATTACATGCGGCGGGAATTGTCGTACATTGGTCAAGATACAGGTATGTTTATGGTGTATCTACCTTCATGGCTTAATACCATTTTCAATTGCGCTTCTGTTATGTTAAAATCTTGTCCAACTACTCTCTATTCATCATATCAAATCGAAAGTTGTCACTCATGGAATGCAATAGGTTTCGACATATATGACTATCTTAGAAACGTCATTTCCATTCCCCGCTCTATTGAAATCCTTGTTCGGTACGCTAGATCCCGAATATACAGCTCCTTTTTTATTGACAAAAGGCTACGGGTGAACATCGTCCAAACACTGGAGCGCTCGTTCACCCTGCCGTCCACTTTAACCGCCTGGAACACCGTCGCTCAGAAAGCATCTCATGTTGCGAACATCCCAATACCCAGATCTATGAGGCTCTCTGGCAGTGTTGATTCTAGAATCGGCTCCAGGAAATCTGAGGTCAAGCATCGCATTCACCCCGAATGTGCCATTGCTCTCCATTTTCTTCTCAATCGAATCCAGAACAGGGGTATTATGAATACCAACACCATTCGGAATTCCTCCCGCCAAAAATACATACCTCCCGTCAGTTTCATTGGGACTAGCACCCACGTCTGCAATATGTGTTTCTACTTTTTAGAGAGCTTGATACCTGCCACTAGAGTTATTTTCCGGGTGACTAGATCGCGGATGGATATATTTCCATGGGGTTTCCCTGTTGTGTCGGAGGAGGGAAAGGATTTTGAAGGGATCATAATGACGGCCAAGGAAAAGAGTAGGGTGGATAGGATGAAGGATCGTATTGCGGAGGAAATGTTTAGGAGGGTAAGCAGGGATTATATGTCTATATTGGTCTTAAAGGACGAAAGGGGGCATGGTGCGGGAGGGGGAAAGAGGAAGAGAGAAGATGACGAGGAGAGTGGACGGGAAGGGGATCGTGTAAAGAGAGGGAGAGAGGGAGAGGGGTCGGCCTAAGTGTAAGGTAGTGGTGGTGGTGGGAGAAGATGAATTGAACTCCGTTCTTGTGTAATCATGCTATTTTTATAGTGGAATTTTCAGAACTTGTTTTCGATGTTCGATAAGAATAACTATGCTGCTTCTACTTATTTTCGACAATCCTTCCACGTCCCCCTCATCATACACACTTCTTCTTTTCTAATTTATTTTCCTCCGTTGGAAGTTGGTCACCTACCTAGGACATAGGGGGCTTCTTTATGTATTATTGGGTTGATCATTCGAGAACATGATAAATGTAACCAACAGGCAGTAGCTGGGATGTGTTCTTGGTTTTTGACGCAGTGCCTCAGGCAACCTGACTTCTTTCGAGTTCAAAAAATGTCATAAGTGGCATATCCAAGGCCAACCGCCCATTTCCTCTGGTGCTGGCAGCTGGAGTCAAGAGATTGATGTTGGCATGGGGCTATTGTGTCTCGGTAGCTTTGACTATCCACGTGACATCAGTCGTTGGTTCATTGAAGTCTTCAGCCTTGACTTGTAATGCATCTCATTATTTGTCTGATACAGCCACACATTATCAGTTACGCATATGCGTCATAGTTGGAAATCTTTGCTTACATCAACCTCCCAAGATCACTGTTATTTTTGGAGAGCTAGCTGTTTGAAATAGGAGTGCTCCGACATACGCGACATTGGGCCGGAATGGATATGCGCATCAGTGCCCAATTGCCCCAACTTCATGTCATGATATTCCCTGCCCAATCCTGAGGACGACCACTCATTGGTCATCTGCAGTTCTTGCTCCTTGGACATTTCAGACTTTGCTCATGGCTACGTGCATTGCCGGAGTAGCAGAGAAATTGCTGGCTAATTGGCGGTTCAAGTTGATCCCTGTCGACGACCAGAAGGCCGCCGCAGCAAATCCGACATGTTTGGATGCGGAGATATGTTGGAACCGCCTGGTTGTGATTTAAGATGAGATCTCGTGAGCTTGTTTTTCTGTGCAGTTTGCATCACAGTGTCGTTATTGGCCATGGGGGCGACCACTGCGCCAATATTTTCAACCGACTATCCTGTCGCCGTCTCCCTTGCGACATATTTCTAGCCGACAGGAACACACTAATGAAGCTATCGTTATAATCGGACACGGTTAATGGAGAGTACCTTGGCTGGATGTTGATCCCTACTCGAGGCAACCCTTTCAACTACTTCATTTCTTGTCGTTGCTGCCCAAACTAAGTCTCAGCTCCACCTCTTCACATCCCTTTGGCTCTTCCAAACCAGCTGCTGGTGTCCTTCATTATGTCCTCTACACGCTCCCTTGCTTTTGAGATTACACTTGAGACATATTGACTGCCAATCGCAGCCGTTCATCTGAAGTTTAAACTGGGTTACGCGAAAGCGCTCACATTTGGTGTCCGATGGACAGCACTCCCCAGTTGTATGGACATTAGGAGAACAAAATCTTGTTCATTGAGCTGATTTGGCGGTGTAACCTTGTTCCGTTGCCCTTTTGTGTCTCCCGCTTGATCTTCCTCAGGCATTGTACTGGAGCAATTCAAAAAACGTGGCATCATTCATATCGGTTCCTATACATATGTTCTCCATCTGCGACATTGGAACTGAGAAACTGAGATAAGATGACATTTTTTAAACGTTGCTTCTAAAACTATTGTCTCCTGGACCGACTTCGATCTTCACTGGTGTCATAACCAATCCGTGAAGCTCTTCTGCTGTGGAGACTCTTGTTTCGTCTTGGTTGCCTCAAGGCCAATTACTTCTCGTCTCCGCGGCTACCTATATATCTAATACGGTATAAAACGCATCTTTAACCCCTACTGCTGTTTTCTGACTCACTCTTAGATATTGATTGATGTTCCATTGAACCTGGCCCCCATTATGTCTTATCAAGGATATTACCACTACCAAGGGAGGGCGGCAGATGCTGACCTGAAATATTATCCGGTCAGCAATGAGATAGCTGCTTTTCCCCCTTCTCGAAGGTTAGTGAAACAGTCATGGAGCGGAGCTGGCATTCCATCTTTATCAAAATACATATATACTCATTAAGTCACGTTAGCTCGAGTGGCATGAATCGAGAATATGAGCCACCGGCGTATAGGCCAGCACCAGGGGTTTCCGGACTGTACCACTCTAGGTAGATCTGGATTTTCCACGATAACCCACTCGACATGGACACTGAGATCTTGACATTTAATTTAGTAAAAATAGGACATCTCCATCGTGGGAGCTTTCTCGAGAGGCATTGGGAACCGTTCGATCACCCAATCAAGGAAGACTGAATGAATCGCCTATCTCATACAGTAACTCTGGTAGAATACCCATCACTACCCCGCCTTACGACCGGTATTCAAATGTTTCCACCGCTCCCAACTTGGGATCAACTGGACAACAGCCACGTCCTCCCGCTGGTGGAGATATAGATACTCATCTAGTTCATCCTTCTCATGACTTGATGATGCGAGACCCTAAGTCTCCAACTTTCGAGCAATTTAATTTCTTTCATTATCATTCGAAGAGACGCGCACCAGAAAGCACAAAAAGCATTGCCAAATATCACCCACAGAGGCGGCTATTCAACCGTGATGAGTTTGATGGTCCCACTCAGTTTTTAGATATGCCTTCCCCAAGGACTATTGCGGAACAGGAGAAAGATTTGCCTCGCCTACCCACCAGTTTGGATGTGCAAGAGCAAGACAAAATCCTCTGTGAAGTTAATGATCGTTTAGCCAGGTGTGCTTTCAATTTTGTTGCAAAATATCGATTTCCTATTCCTGTGGAACCAGACAAGAGACAGGTGAGAACACCAGCCGACCGGGAATGGACCGAATGGGTACACCTTTTGAAACGGTTAGCTACCAAGCGCCGAATTCCTGCCAGAGTTCTTTATAATGGCCAGATCAAGCAGTTTGTGACAGTCCTGGAGAATTCCTTGGAAATGCGCCATGCTGCAAAGCATCAATCAAGGCCAGTGAAAGATGATAGGAACGTCCTACAGCTCATATCCGCAGGCACTCAGGTTGCAAAAATTCTCAAGGATGCTTCCACAATGGAATATCTAGACCAGCTATACGGAGGAACTGAAAACTTAATTCGGGACCGGCGCGCCCAGCGCGGAGAAGTCTTTCTCTATTCCTGAAATGCAGCCAAGTTTGGTAAAGTGAACGAAAATATCGTGGTTTCTTACTTCTGTTTTAACTGTTTAACTTTCTATCCAAGGATCGATACCCCAAAAAGCAACATTGACCCGACGTCTTGATGTTCAGTTCTTGGCAAGAAGTGGTTTTCGATCCTTTGATTATTTGATGTGTTGGACAGTTTACCGGGCTATCCAACTGACGATCATTTCCTGGTTCATCTGTGCAGAAGTCAATTCGTCACAATCTCCACGGTCTGGAAGTTCTCATATCGCACGATTTGTTTTTCTGTCTGGATCTTGGTGTGATAACAATAATCACTCCTTCAAAAACTCACATTTTGCCTTCGTCCCTATGCTCCCAAGACCAGCTCCATGGGCGAAGTACAACATATTTTCTAACAGTTACTTGATATTTTACTTCTCCCACGGTGTTTGGAGAAATTGAAGTTGAGTTTGTGCTTCTTGTCCCTGTTTCCTACTGGCTTGACTGTCGCTGAGAGCTATCTCTTCATCCACGTTGTTTAGAATGTATATTCTTTCATTCGAAGAAACAACTTTCTTACTCGTCGAACTTCCCACCCTATTTTCTTGGACAGATATATATACACTGCTCGCACAAATATCTCAAGTGGAGAGCAAAACTGGGACAACGAAATGCCTGTCCGATCCGTCAACTGGTCCATTATTTCCATCTTCTCCTGCATACCCATGCATACGTATCTGCATTAGTTTTTTTTTTTTTTTTTTTTTTTTTTTTTTTTTGGAAGTCGTTTCTGCCACGGTCTACTACTGTTTTTCTATTTTATTTCTGTTCTTGCTGCTTTGTTTTCTGTGATTTGACGTATTGGATATAATTTCTAATGGCGGGTATGCTACAAATATGCACTACACTGTACTGTATGTGGTTCAACTTCTCTTGTGGCATCAATTTGTGGTTTGCTCCATTCTTCTCTCTCCTTTTCTTCTGCTTGTGGACTTTCTTTTATCTTGGAAAAAATGATTGATTGTTGTATCCGCCAAGATTGCCCATACATCAGACATTTGCTCACATTGGTTCGTTCATTTTCCTTGTATATAAGCAAACTTCATTCAATTGGTATATCAAATCTTGATACCGAATAATAATCATTAATCACTACACAATAGTTTGGGTAATGTTATTACATATGTTGAATATACCCATCTATCTTCATGTTGTTCATCATACTTGAAAGGAAGCAAACCCGCGAGAAAACTCGCGCAAATCAATATTTCAATTAAGAGTCCACGTACGCACCTAAATCTCGCAATGAACAGTTGGAAAGTTCACGCCTCAGGAATCTCTCTACCAAAAACCCCTCATGAACTTCTTCCCCAGCCGCTCCCACCACATCCCTTTCCAACCCCAAAACCCGCCAGCACCAATAACCGAAGCCAGCATGAGCGTCAACACACGAACTAGAATTCGGCCCTGCTGCTTTGCTTTCATTTCAATCTCTGAATAGCGCTCATTGCTAAAACTCACGCGGGCATACTGGGTTGACCACCCCAGAATTGGGATACGTCGGTCCAGGGTCTCTTCAACATATTTGCGCAGAAGATAGAGCGGCGATGTCACCCCCCAGCGCATTTCAAGGTAGTTACGGCGTGACAGATCATTGATAGCGTGCGCATCCGGGGTGCGTTGGCAGGTGTATGCATCTAGAGCGGCAGCGCGGGCGGCGTCGATGTCGATGTCGATGTCGATGTCGATGTTCCCTTGCGATTTTTGGGAAGACGTGTGTCCATACACCCCTTTCTGCTCGAAATACTCAAAGAGGATGCGTACATCCTCGAGTCCGGCATTCAGACCCTGTCCATAGAAGGGAAGCATGGCATGGGCGGCATCGCCAATGATCACGACACTGGAGCCAAAGTGGTATGGTGAGCATTTGATGCTGATAAGTGGGAGGTGCGGGTTCGTTCTAAACTGCTCTTGTAGGGCGGATGGCGAGATAAGCTCCGGAGACACGCCAGGGAAGTTTTTGTTGAAAAATGCGAGGAGAGTGTCCGGCTCCTTTTCCAGGGCAGCGAATTGCGCTTCTGGCGCGAAGAGAGTGCACGTGAACGTTTTATTCGGCGAAGGAAGCGCAATGAACATGAATTCCCGTCCGGGCCAGATATGTAGGTGGTCTGGCGAGATAGCGAAATCATTTGTATCTGCCGTTGGCGCGATGTGGAACTCGCACCAGAGTACATCGACGTATTCTTGCTGGTAATTCATGGGGACGTACTTCATGAGATGATACCTGGTAGCGGAATGTGCACCGTCAGCACCTATGAGGAAGTCGAAAGGAACTTCGATCTCTGGTGCTCGGGTGACAGCAATGGATTTGCCGTTTTGCGTGGTAGTGGTGGCTGCCCCTGTGGGATCATCGGCGTTCCTTCGCTCGAACCAGGCCTTTTTGTTTTTGAAATCGGCGCCCGTTAGCTTGTGGTTGAAAAATATTTTCACGTTGGGCGTGTTCTCAAGTTCATCAAGCAGGATCTCGTTGAGGCGGCCACGGTCCATGGCATTGTTGTACTGAAAATTCTGATATTAGTGACTGCCATTGTTGGGTATTTCATGGGTATGGACGATGGATGCTCTTTGTGGAGTTTTATATCAAAACCTTACCCTGCCGTGAACATCATAGGGCTGGGATTCCTGTGAGAGCTTGCCCAATTGGTTCTTTCTATGAACCATGCGGGCGTGCATGGGAACGGTTTCCTTGAGAATCGCATCTATAAAGCCAGAGCGCTTGATCCGCCTCATCGTATTGATGCCACGTTCTGCAAGGGCCACATTGATAGACTTGGTGAAGTTCAGGGGGGTGGTCGAGGGATTGCGGAGGTCTATGCATTTTGACGTTCGTTATATTCTTTTCAATGGCAGCATAGCCAGTTGGGAAAGGGGGCGACATGAAAGGAAATTTTTTTTTTTTTTTTTTTTTTTTTAACTTGATATGAAAGGTCCCGTATCTGTTTTACCAGACAAAGTAGAGATTGTCAAGCTCCCCTTTACACATCCAAATAAAAAAAAAAACAGGTAATATCACGATTGATCAAACAAATCCGGCAGCATTCATCAGAGTCCTGGCCTTCCTCCTCTGCTACTCTCGTGTCATCTAAGGGAACGTTACATACCTCCACGCAGTTCATATAGTTCAACAATGTCGCCTCGCTCGGCGGCGTAGAGGGCGGCTAGAGACCCAACAGGGCCTGCACCGACTATGACAACCTTTTGCTTTGTTTCTGCCATATCTGCCTAACTTTTTTGCGTAAATATCGAGTGCAACCAGAAGGATACGACGTTAGTATTCAGCTCGAGGAGGTACAATTAACTACATTTAAATAAATAAGCCCTTACTCATTCCCCCCCCGGGCAAGGATCCTGGGGATAGTTTTTATCTCCGCGGGGGACCGGGGCTTGTTTGGTCTCCAAAAGGGGGTCAAAAACTCGACTGAGTGAAATCCTTTAGGGCTAGGATCCTGCACGTGATGTGCGCTGATGGTGGACGATTTGCCGCGCGTTTGTAAAAGGCTGTCGGCGGCTGCCGCGGCAGGTCGCGATGGGTTTCTTCCACGCAAGACTTTGTCTGCACTAGAGAAACTTGTTGTCAATGGATGATTCTCTGGAGATTTTTATTCATTCAGTATCCTCAGGAATATCTCAGCGCTACAGCTGTACTCGTCGTTGTGGTTTCAGAACTACCCCCTCGAAAAAGCAAAGAAAGTAAGGCATAATAAGTTACCCTTCTCGAAGGGAGTAGTCCGTCGACCCTCGCAGTATTTGGACCTGTCCACCGCGATGGCGTCCACGCAGCTGGACTCCAAAAAGTGCATAGGGTTGGACTGCAATAACAATGCTGGATCCCTACGGTGTCCGTCATGCATGAAAATTGGCATCGACAGTCATTTCTGCTCTCAGGACTGTTTCAAGAGGAATTGGGTACGCCATCATCATCATCATCATCATCATCATCATCATCATCAAATCTCTTCCACACCAGGCTGACTGGAGCTTTCATTCTGCAGAGCGAACATAAAGCTATTCACAAAAAAAGTAACCTTCTAAGCAACCTTTTTCCACCGAAAATAGTTTCTGAACCAGATCCAGCTACCGGCCACTTCAATCCGTTCCCAACCTATCCTTTCACTGGCGCCTTGAGACCCGTATACCCCCTTGCTCCTAAAAGCACAGTTCCTGATTCGATCCCTCCCCCCGATTATGCACGAGACGGTATCCCCAGATCAGAACAGAAAATCGTCAGCCGACATCATATTACGATTCTCAATCCGCAGGAACAGGAAGGAATGAGGAAAGTATGCCGTTTGGCGAGAGAAGTGCTCGATATTGCAGCCCGAGAGATCAGGCCTGGTGTTACCACCGACCACATCGACAAGTTAGTTCACCGGGCTTGCTTGGAGAGAAAAGTCAGGAACCAATCCCCCCCCGCTGCTATTCGCAAAAATCTGTGTTGAACTAATCAAAACAACTATCGCAGTCCTATCCGTCACCATTGAACTATGTCCACTTCCCGAAATCCGTTTGCACATCGATCAACGAAGTTATCTGCCACGGAATCCCCGACCAACGTCCCCTGGAAGATGGCGATATTATAAATATTGACGTCACACTCTACCATGAGGGCTTTCATGGAGACCTGAACGAGACATATTACGTTGGAGAAAAAGCCCGTACGGATCCCGACACTGTTCGGGTCGTAGAGACGTCGAGAGAATGTTTGGACAAGGCCATCGCACTGGTGAAGCCGGGCATGCTATTCCGAGATCCAGGTAATGTCATTGAGAAACATGCGAAGCAAAATAACTGCAGTGTGGTTCGGAGCTACTGTGGACACGGCATCAACCAGCTCTTCCACACAACACCAAGCATCCCTCACTATGGAAAGAGCAAGACTGTTGGGCAAGCGAAGGCCGGAATGTGCTTTACAATCGAGCCTATGATTAACTTGGGCACATACCGAGACAAGACCTGGCCGGACAATTGGACCAGTGTCACCGCAGATGGAATGAAATCAGCGCAATTTGAGCATACGTTGTTAGTTACCGAGGATGGAGTTGAAGTGCTGACGGCTAGATTGCCGGACTCTCCTGGTGGCGCGATTCCTAGGATCGCTGTTGACGGAGAGGCGACATCACTATGAGTTTGTCTTAAGACCGCTGTTCTCTTCTTTTTATTACCCGCTTTAGAACATTCCGTGGCCATCATGAATTTATGGGATACCAGCATTGCCATCTTTATTCCAGTTCAAGTTAAACAACATGCCTTTTTTTTTTTTTTTTTTTTTTTTTTTTCGTTGATCAAGCATAAACTTGTAAAGATAACATGGGTAGGGGGGAGCGGGGAAGTAAGATTGGAAATAACAGAAATCCTTTTTTCAACGGCCTTCGCGTGGATTAAAATATGTTGACTGTGGTGAGTCCGGTCTCCCAATTGACCGGCATATAATAATAACTGACTACGGGAAGTTGATATATCTTGGAACTTGGTGGGGCCCAGGGGCTGAGGGCTTAGTAACTTATCATCACGTGGCTCGTTATCGTGAATCGGGTGAGTTTTGACCCCTTCGAGGGTGGGTGAACATCTTCGCAATTCACCGGGTTGTTGGTGACATTCTTTTTACTCCCATTAAAAAAAAAAAAAAAAACCTTCCGTCCGTCGCTGCCAACGCCTCAGCTCGTCTTATCCTGTTTACTATGAGAATATGAGAAATCCAACGTTGGCTTCTGTTAGCGGAAGCGCTGGACCATCGGAGAGGTCGCCTCTACTCGGCAATGATGACTCCTCCAAGCATCCGCACACTGCGCAGTCGGTTCTCAATGGACAGGATGAAGAAGCTGTAGGCCAAAATGAGTCTGGCTCTGCTCGTGAAGCCCAATTCAGCGGTCTACCTGACGCGCAGATGAAATTGAAATACATCGTGCCAGCGGTGTCGATTGGGGTGAGCGCCCTCCCCACAGATATTATCAAAAACTTCCCCTTCAATTAAATTAAGTCGTGAGAGCCAGGCCAACAAAATTTTGACGTCTATGTAGATATTCCTTGGAGCAGCAGACCAGACAATCATCGTATCCAGCTACGGAAAGATTGGAAGTGACCTGCAAGCTCTGAATTTGACGAGCTGGATTGCGACCTCATACTTCCTGACCCTCACCTCCTTCCAGCCGCTCTATGGCCGTCTCAGTGACATATTCGGCCGCAAGTCATGCCTGCTTTTTGCATATGCTGTGTTCGGAATTGGGTGCATCTGCTGTGGCCTCGCCAGGAATATTGAGGAGCTGATTGCTGCGAGAGTAATTCGTCGCCATGAATTAATTGACCACCAATCACTCCGTTTCCTCAACTGACGGATCTATACAGGTGTTCCAAGGCATTGGAGGTGGGGGCATGACAACTGTCGTAAGCATTCTTATGAGCGATATCGTCCCTCTGCGTGATCGCGGGGTCTGGCAGGGCATCATTAATATCATATGGGCAACCGGGAGTGCAGTTGGGGCACCTGTAGGTAGGTCCTCTCTCGCATCCGCTTTCTTTTCAGTGATTTTGAAAGGAGCCGGCACGTTGACTTTGAGACAGGCGGTATTTTGGCAGACTATATTGGCTGGCGATGGTAAGTATCTGCTCTCATGTTCACAAGCAAGGAGAAGAAATTAGAGAGAAATAAAAGAAAAGAAAAGAAAAGAAAAAGAAAGAAAGAAAAAAAAAAAACAGGAACTCATGATTCTCTCTGAAGGGCTTTCCTCCTCCAGGGTCCAATATGTCTGCTAGCCTTCATATCCGTGGCGTTTATACTACATCTGCCCGTACAGGAAGAGGCTCACTGGCTGCAGAAACTCCGCCGAATAGATTTTCTAGGGGCATTAATCCTTGTCGGAGCAGTATTTGCATTCCTCATCGGAGCAGACAGGGGTAGCAATGTCTCTTGGTCTATCCCTATAACTATCGTATCCATGTGCCTGGCAGCCGTTCTCTTTATTATTTTCCTCTGTGTTGAAGTCTGGGTAGCCTATGAACCTTTCGCCCCGAGTCATATAATCTTTGAAAGGGGCCTATTCGCTTGCTATGCATGCAACTTTTTTAGTTTCGCCGGATTTATGGGGGTTCTTTTTTACTTCCCCCTATATTTCCAGGCCACAGAGGGCGTTTCTGCCACCGGGGCTGGCATCAGACTCTTACCGTCTATTTTGGCTGGTGTCTCTGGCTCCTTGTTTGGTGGTGTCGTAATGAAAATGACAGGCAAATATTTTTGGATCACAATCATGGGCTACTGTCTTCTAACTATAGGAGTAACTGTCACATTCCTTTGGTCTGGAGTTGTTGCTCGAAGCACCGCCGGGATTATCGCTGGAATGTGCGTCGCATCATTCGGAAATGGAATCAGCATAACCACTACGTTAATTTCCTTGAGTGAGTTTCCCCCCCCCCCTCCACCCCCTAAAATTCTGCTCTTGTTAACTTGAGATCAACGTAACTGTCCTAACATAAACATCTAGTTGCATGTGCTACCCCTCAGGACCAGGCAGTGGCAACAGCATGTTCTTATCTGTTCCGATCATTGGGTTCAGTAATGGGACTTGCACTCTCGTCCACGGTTGTCCAACAATCTCTCCGAACTTGTCTACGCTCTGTTCTTGGAAACAATATGGATATCGATAAGATCGTCAACGGCGTACGCCAGAGTCTGGACTTTATCAACACTCTCGATCCACGGATACAGCGAATAGTGCGAGATTGCTATGGGAATGCTGTCAACTGTTCATTTGGCCTTTCAATTATTGTCGTCATTTTCACGATAATCAGTGCCTTTCTCATCCGTGAAAACGCTCTCAGCCGTTGATGAGAGGTCAATAACGCAACGGCTTTTCTCTTTCATGTCATTCATCCCTCATTACGTTGAGCTCCGGGTTAAAGCTCTAACTACATATTTTTCCGACACATTTCGGTTCTTCCGCGAAGTCGTGTCATTGGTTTTTCGGGGAAGGTTTCAGTGGATCACTTCCTTTCCACATGTTTAGCACCAGAGTACAGGAAAGATTCTAACGTTTTTATTACTTTTTCTCTCTGTCTATCCAGTAGGCTTTCAGGTTTTCAAAAGGTCCATTTACACGGTTACGGTGTTTGTTCAATCGCCAATCGAAAAGCATGAATTTGTGCTAGAAAATCTCGGGATGGCGCAGTGCTAGAGGTTAGAGCAGAGCAAGCAATAACTGGTTGCATCTTGAACTGTTATTGGTTTTCATGACTGACAGGGGCTTCGAAAGTGATATTTCTTTCCTTTCGAGCATTTTAGAATACGTCAACCATGCATCAACAATGCCTCAATTATAAGTTCTAAAATTGATTGATGAATAGTAGGCAGATTTTCACCAAGTACGTACAGGTAAGGCTGATGGGTTGTTCTCATGTAAAGTTTTAATTTGCTAAATTTAATATCACGAAGAACGTTTTTATTCATTATCATTAAAGAAAGATAAAAGTTTGAAGGCCGTTTGAAGGAGTGAAAATAAAAAAAGTTAATTATCTCGCGCTTATTGTTGAGCAGTTGGCGAGCCAATAACCGTCAACCCTAACTACGTATCTCTGGCCAAACCCCCCATAACCAAACGGAACCGAACCGAACATCCAGCGTCAAAAAAGAGCAACCCTGCTACGGTAACCTTTATATCCAACTTTCGTTATAGAGCTCCAGAGCTCGCAACCTCTATAGCTTGCTTCCTACAATGCCGGCTCAACACGAAACTAATTCACATCGGTTCTGATGCTCGTGGACTTCCATGCTTGAATGATGTCCACTCATTGACCCTCTGCGTTCCGATAAACAGACCATACAATGTCGTCCGAGATCTCTTCTCACCCAACTTCTCTCGCGCGATTTCGACCTGCGATATATCTCCTGACGGGTGTAGCAGCTGCATACGCTATCTTTTATGCTCATAGCCGCTATATTACCTCCCAGTCCCATACATCGTTACATCGTCGCAATGCCGTCCGGAGGAGAGCCACGAGGCGCCGCGGCGGCATTTCTCTCCCCAGTGGCGAGTCGCGTGTGCCACAAGACTTCTCAGGACATATAATGGCGCTTGAGCAGTTAGAAAGAGCCGGACAGGCTTACGGGACATTCCGGATGGAGATTGAAAATGGCCGCGCCATTGAGTGTCGCCTCATGCCGTCGCAGCTACCGTCTGTCGATCAGATTGAACAGCAGCTCGAAGCATCTCGAGATCACGCACTTTTTATACGATCAGTTATGGAAAATGCTTTTCTCGATAACTTTTTTGCCGTGGAATTCCGGCCTTCGCATACTATACGCTTTGATACAGGAGAATGGCAGTACCTGGCAACCGAGCTGCTGGACCGCGGGCTGTCTGAAGCCAACGTCACGGCTGCCATTACAAGGTTCAACGAGTCTGACGATTTTGGCGAGGAGTTAAGGCGCCGGAGACGGAATGGCGAGTCAATACGCTTGACGGGGCCTGGAACAAGCCTCCTCAACCCCACGGATCCACCGCCGCCAGCAGTTCCAGCTCCTGAGCAAGCGGACACCTTGGATGATCAGAGCATTTTTTCGTGGAGAGATGGGAATGACGATGGCGCCCCAACCCGCGAAGGACAGAATTTGCTGAATTTGCTTTATCATATTGCTGAGGACCAAGCGCGGCGAGACGGCTATATTCATCGAGGAGTGACATGTAACAGCTGTGGGGCGATGCCAATTCAGGGAGTAAGGTATCGATGCGCTAACTGCATCGACTACGATCTTTGCGAAACATGCGAGGCTATGCAGGTCCACATCAAGACGCATCTCTTTTACAAAGTCCGAATTCCTGCCCCCTTCCTCGGTAACCCACGACAACCACAGCCCGTTTGGTATCCAGGGAAGCCAGCTATGCTCCCACGTAGCCTACCACGGAACCTCGCCAAAAGGCTCATGAAGGAGACCAATTTTGAGAATACAGAGCTGGATGCGTTGTGGGATCAGTTCCGATGTCTAGCAAACGTTGAATGGGTTAATGATCCCAATAAGCTAAATATGGCAATCGACCGCAAGACATTTGACCGATGCTTTGTACCAAATACCTCAATCCGGCCCCCGCCCCCGAGTCTTATATATGACCGGATGTTTTCGTTCTACGATACGAATGGAGACAATTTGATCGGGTTCGAAGAGTTTTTAAAAGGGTTAGCAAGTTTCAGTAATAAAAGTGTTCATGAGAGACTGAGGCGTATATTTGAGGGTTACGATATTGATAGAGATGGTTACGTGGAAAGGAAGGATTTTCTTCGAATATTCAGGGCTTACTACACTCTGAGCAGAGAGTTGACTAGGGATATGGTAGCTGGGATGGAAGATGATTTCTTGGAGGGTGGTACGAGAGATATTATCCTAGGTAGCCAGCCAATATCTTCTGCGTTCCCAGGAAATATCCCACCTGGGGAGCCTTCGAGGATCGGTGAAGGCAAGCGTACGAATTTGTATGGCGATATGGAGATCATCGACAACGAAGGGATTTTGCGAGAAGATGGGGATGACACTGGCGATAGGAATGCTGTTATTGGAGATGCCGCAGTGAGAGATACATACGGGCGGACCCGTCCACTCTTCACATCCAGGCTACGTTTGCCTGACCCACCCTTTTCCCGATCTCGCAGACGTAATGGTCGGCATCGTAGAGAGCCTAACGAAGAAGAATATGGTGATGAAGAAGATAATGACGGACATGATTCCGATTCATACCTGGGCAGCTACAGCGAGTGGCCTAACGATCAAGTTCGCCCTGAAGACGTAGTTAATGCGTTAGGAACCTACGTACCACTGGATGAAATCACCGATCCGGTTGATAGAGCTAGGGTCGCCACTTGTGCGATGCAGAGGCTCGATGAAGCAGATCGCGAACGGATACAACGGATAAGACGAGAGGGAGTTGACGAAAGATGGGCAAGGCGGACATTCTATACTGATGAGGAAGATGGCGCTACCCCACCTGCCGGATACCATGACGCAGAAGGGCTCCAAGAGGTCGTGGATGATTTTGACCACCGGCCACTTGAGGAGTCGCACCCGCCTACCCCACGATCGAGATCATCATCCAAGGTTCGCTTCCAGGACGACATCACGGATAACGATTACGAGACTAGGTCGAATCAATCAACATCGTCCCGGAGCATCCCAGTTGCTGAACGCTGGGGTGGGTTTGAGATCCCTGAAGCCGAGAAGGATGTCGGCAAGGAAGTGCTGTACCAAGTTACCCAGCAGGGCCTTAACGAACTTTTAGACCTCATATTCAAACCGAAAGAAGATCTCTTAATGGAAGCACGTCGAACCAAGACTGAGAGAAAGCGATGGGTGAAGGAGATCAATAACTTTATTGCATCTCTCCCTAAAGGTCATTACCTACGAGAGGGCGCTGATATTGAAAAGCAAGAGGAAGAGCTCGCCCAGGAGGAAGGTGAAGGAAAACCAACCCCCCAACCGAAGGAAAAGCTCCTCAAGCAGGAACTGGAAGATTCAGATTATACTTTTATGGGCCGCGGAGGCGTTATCGACCGCTCCGCATCTCCCTCAGGAGAAGATGACGTAGCAAACCACCCCGAAACCCCTTGCGAATCCCTGGATACCGTAGATCCTACTCTCCCTCAGAACCTCCCTAACGACTCAGATCTGGAACCGTTTCCCCCAGCTCCAGAAGGCTCAGACTATGCCGAGTATGTGGAAGATGCATATGAAGTAGCAGAGACGTCCTTCTACATGCCCCCAGATCCAACCCTTCCCCAGAATCGTCCAGACAGATCCGCGTCAGGCCGAAGTCTCCATATAACTGAAGTCTCCAGCTCCACGACCATTCCATACGGCCACTCCATGTTCGAGAATTCACCCGTATACGAGTCTGCCTCAACATCTACCTCCGTCTCAGCCCAACAACAGTCACAACAGCGACGCTCCCAACACTCTCGCCCTCCGCGGTCACGAAATCAGTCCCTCCCTCTCCGTCTCCGTTTTCAGCAATCGGTGTCGTCATCCCCCCGTCGACAACAGTTCCTCTCCGTCACAGGGGACTATGATCGTTCGCATTCTTCCCTTTCTATCTCTCCGCCGCCATCACCTTCCTCATCGTCTTTTGACGATAACAACAAACAACCCCGCCCGCCTTCACCGCCTCTTCCTCCATCTCCGAAGACGCTGGCACGATGGAGCAGATTGAATCAAGTGGAGAGGGAAGCCAAGGCACGTGGCGGGTCCGGGGCTAAGTTGAACTTCGAGGAGTTCACGATGAGAATGCAGGGGGAGAGGGGGAGGAGGTTAGGTTTTGTGGCGAGTTGGATCGATATGACGAGTTTTTAGATACGAGAAAGGGAATTTTTTTTTTTTTTATCTCAACACTCCTTTCTGGTCGGAGCAAGGGGAGGAGTGTTGTTGATATCTTGATATATATATACTCAAACCGTTCTTTGGGTTAGCTGTTACTCTTTGCAGTTGCTAGGGAAAGAGTTTTACTGATTTCGGTGGACTTTTTATAAAGTGATTGGAAGATAGTGGACAACGTGACTTGGGTGCAATAAAATGGAAGTGGACAACGGAGCCGTGCTGGGTCGCGATATGATAAATCTCCCCTTCTCCGCTTCTGGCGTCCTTTCAGCATTCATGGGAGCGGATGAAAGCAATTCTGCTGTACCAGTATCCTTTGTTAGTTATTCCACGCATTACTGGCATGGGGTTCCAGCGTTGTGTTTTTCCTGCTTCCGCCAGTGGCGTCATCTTGCTTGTTTTTTTATATCCAAAAGAATTTAGCGAGTGCGTTATTTTGCAATTGACCCGTTCAATTTTTATATAGATATAACTCACTTATTTGAGATTGAGTAGCCCTTTATTTCTAGGGATACTAACATAAAGTTGAAAAAAATTGTTTATGTTTTAATGTGACCAATATTAACCGCTTAATACATAAAGCATATAATAAGAAAAACCCCAGCAATCCGTAGCTTATACAAAGATGAAAATGAAGAAAAAAAAAAGAAAAAGAGAAAATAGAAAATAGAAAATAGCAGCTCGCCATCCCAATCCAATCTAAACCTCAATCCCAATACTTAATAACGCCTTCCAGCCCCGCCGTAGCAACTTTACTAGTCTCTTGTGGATGCCACTCCACACACGTAATCGCAGATCCCTCCTTTCCCCCTGCCATAATCTTATGCCACATCTTCCCAGTCTTCCAGTCCCAGAAACACACATACCCCCCACTATCTCCAGACGTGACGAACTGTCCATCGGGACTAATGGCAACGTCAATGGCGTACCCAGCATTATTATGCCCACGGAAAATCTTCTTGCGATTCTGCCGGAACTTATCCGTCGATGCGTACACAACGATCTGATTGTCACCGGATTGAAAAGCGACGTATTTGCCATTGGGATGCGGTGCAGCGCGCACGAGCGCGTACAGGTATGGTTCGGCGATGAACTTGATGGGAACGGGGATGTTGTATTCCCATGCGCGCAGGGATTTGTCGTCTGAAGTAGAGATGAAGCGGCTGTTGTTGTCGACGAAAGTGAGTGTGTTGACGGCAGCGAGATGGTGGTCGTATTCCTGTGTGATGGCGCCAGTACGTGTGTCGAATTGGATAATCTTCTTATCGGACATGCCGGCAATGAATTCATGGGAGTGGGCGGGGTCGGGGTTGAAGCGGATGACATGGGGTGTTTTCCCAGTTGAGAAACGGGAGATGCATTTGCCATATTCCGTGTCCCAGAGTTTGATTTGGCGGTCGTACGAGCCGGAGAGGAAGGTGGTGCCCGTCGGGTGAAAGGTCGTATCTGTAATCGCATTGGAGTGGCCTGAATATGTGCGTAGGAGTTCTCGGGAATGGTATGCGTCCCAGATTTTGATTTTGGAATCAGCGGAGGAGGAGAGAAGGAGATGGCCTGAGTTGGGGAAGAAGCGTAGCGAGGTAATGGGTTTCGTATGCGATTTCCAAGTATGAACCAACTTTTTGGGGACGTAGTTCTTGATGCTCCCAACCTCCTTTTTGAGGTCGATATCGAGGTCCTGCGGAACGTGCATGTATGTCCTCCCCATGTAGTCGAATTGTTCCGAACCATGAAATTCCGTGGTCTCCGTTTGAGACGTATCTTCCTGGTACGCTGTAGCCTTTTTATCCATGGCCGGCACATTTGACGGCGCAATCGCCTCTTCGATGTATTCCTCATCGCTGGCAAGATCTCTACCAGCTAGGTCCACCTCTTCCTCGTACATGTGATCATCAGTCTCATATTTCGCCCATGGCCCTACATAAGCTCCTTCTCCTTCAACGATGCTCGAATCTCCTTTCTTTTGCCTCTTCCTCCTCAACGCAGCACTGACCTCCTTTGATGGCCGCATCTGCACTATGTCCTTGCCCCCAAGGCGCGCAACAGCTTCCATATCCCCGACAAACCCCCCGGGCATACTTGGATCTTTAGTGTATCCAAAGGCCTGGAAAGTCCGATGTTGGGTATTAAACGTTGCCTCGCTAATCAAGGTTTCCTCTGCATGTCCCGTCAATGCATTTTTCCTCTTCAATGCGTTTCCTCCATGCGCAGAGCGGAAAGGGTTTTCGGGTCCCAGACTCGGTTGCGACATATCATCGTAGGTGGCGTTGTAAGTCAAAGTGGTATCGGTGGGCTTTGCTAGCATCATCTGCAAGCGCGAAAAGTCCTGTAGAAAATATGAGCTTATTTCAACGCTTAAAAATGGGAAATGAATTCTCCCATGGCTTTAGGAGAGAGTGAAATGTAAATGAATATAGGGACCAAACCTCTACGGAGACGTCAGGTGCGGCGACGACACCCGCAGATGGTGCTGGGGCTGGTGTTGATTTGACTGGCGCAGTCTGCGCATCTTCATCACTAGAGGAGTCATAATTTGCACCCAGAAGAGAAGCCATGGCCACAGGCCTATATCATCCGCATATAAGAGTGATATATGGCAAAGATGATGTGATAAAGTTGGTTGCAGCTCCGAAAGTTGCTGAGATAAAACCACCAAATTTTACGGTCGCCGAGATAGACCAGACATGCAGTCACCTGTAAATTGCGCGGATACCGAACATCGAATGGTATATTCTGTCAAGAGGACAAGATTCATGCACATGTAGATCATGCTGGCAAAAGTGGTATTGAATGTGCATTAAGAATGATACGATATTGAAATACATCACTACGTCTGTCTTAGTGTTTCTAAATATATAATCAACCGGCAGAAGACCAACTACTTCCGGATGTAAGAGAAGCCAATGGACACCAGGGGGAATATCATCTGCTCTTCATTATCAGTTTAGGCATATATACATAACTATTTCAGGAAATTTGGGATAAATGAAAATGGTCTCCCAGCACATACACCTGCATCTGCATATATATCGCCCTTGCTTGTGTCCTTCCTCTCGTATAAATCCCTCCAACAACAGAATATTGTATACGAAAGAGGACAAAGCTCAACAGGCATAAGATAAACATACTACAGGTTCAGGTGTCATTTCCCAGGCCATATCATATAGAAACAACCCCACCCAATTTAGAAAACATAACATAAATAAGAAATCAAGCGCAAAAAAACTATGCCTAACTCAATCAGTTCTATCAACAATAAATCGCTCTTAGGAAAACATAAGCACATGGAGTTCTGGAGTAGTTCGAAACATGAATTGTCATCATACGAACGAAGGCCCCTGCTTCTCTGTTTGACCTTCCACGTAGTTCGCGTCGCGTCATTCGTTCATATCGGGTTTTAACTTTCGGTAACTGCACAAAATTATAAATCGCCCGGACGGCCATCCCGCATGGCGTTTGCTGTTGACACACGTAGTCATTGTGACTCGTCCCTAATCAAAGCAACGATCATGCTATACAGGTAGAAGAAGAACATGACAAGGTGGAATCCGAGCTTGATAAACGATTCCTGCGGGAAGGGAAATACTATATTAGTCAACCGGACCCAGGACTGGAAGCAGAAGCGAACGGAGAGCAGACCTTCTTGTGGACATTGAGCTTTCGGAAAATCTCAGTAGCATCCAAAAGATGCTGGTTGTCGAATATCCTGCAATGAAGTGGTGAGTTAGAAAGCTTGTTTGGAATAATTGATGTGATAAATCATATATCATCAAGCCTAAAATGCAATGGTTCGAAGAGGGTTTGATTGCACATACTTCTTTGCATTGAATGCCAGTAGAGGGAGGTTGAGGATTATTGCCAGCCAGTAGCCATTGATAACAAACAAGAATGTTAGGAATGCGTGAACAGCAGCTTCAGGGATAATATATGCATTGAGACGGTTGCACAGGTCGATAGGGTTTATGTAGTCACTGTGGCATTATCTCAAGTCAGCTAAATGCTCTCTCTGAATTCGCATAGACACCGGTTGAATTTGTGTCTGCTTGTACAGCCCTAACAAAAGAAAAAAAAATTCCGGCCAGCCTACACATCTGCCGGAACAATGCAATGCGCCAACGTACCATTCCAAGTCGCTATACATGATCGTGAAGAAAACTTGTAGAAAGAGGTTGACGGCGTTAATCAACACCGACAACAGATAGAGCCAAGCCTCGCCTGACATAATGGCGGCTGATCGTTTCCGCAGAGGATGCGCAGTGTGTATAACGGGTAAAATTGGGAGTATATATGCCAGAACCGGATGAGTCTTGGACAACCCCAACGTATGTAGCCTGATAGGGACGATATCTGCTACCCAACCACGAAATTGCCCTAGAAAAATAGAGATGGAATATCTTCTTCCAACAATCTTGCCGCTCGAACGTTGGGGGACTGTTGGACGTGTACAGCGATGGGATAACAACAATGTGTGAAGGCGGACAGACGTGGTAGCTTAAACGAGCCAATAGGAGCAAAAGCAGCAAGAAGAGCTTTACAAAGCGGTAGCAAGGGGGCAGACGGGACAGGAGACAGGGTATCACAGGTCACAGGAGGACGGGTGGATATGGTGAGTGGGGGGAGATTCGGAGGGATGGACTGGAACTCAGTTGCGGGTTGCGGGAGAGAAGTTGGCAGTTTGTTGGTGGTTGGTGGTGGTCGTGGTGGTTGGTTGGCAGGTTGCGGCTTGTGGTTGGCTGGAGGGAGGCTTGCTCTAGCGACGGTAGCGAGGCGAGCCATAGAGCACCAACATCTTCTCCAGTGGGAGTATTTCTATTTATACCCGACATGAGAATAATAGATAGATGTCCTGGTAAGAACAGATATATGCCTTTGTACGATCTGCCTAAGGGGCTCCTCTACTCTCTGCCTATAAGATGTGGTGCAAATTTCATTCATCGAACGCATCTCTAATCTTGCCTATTGGCCATCAACCACATTTAGCCGCGGAAGTTGCATTAGTTTAACTATATGAAAGTCACATTTTTGTTTAGAAACATGTTGAGAAGTTTGAAACCACTCCAGACCGTCATAGCATACTGCTCTGACTCTGCATTGTCATATTCTGTCGCTCATCTTACTATAGGTCAAGACAACACCAATTTTCCTCACCAATTTTCCTGGCCAACCCAGCCGGGCATTGCTTGTTAGTTGTCCTATCTAGGGTTAGCCGCGGGGCCTGAGATCGGCGGGCCCAATCATATTTTGGTGGCTCTGATTATGCCTTGTCATGGCTACTTTTAAATAGCCCTGTAATTTGGAACTCGGGACAGTCCCACGAACCCATATATTGGGAATGGCAACGACTTCAGCTCAATTCCTCCAACTGGGGCTCATACCAGTCAAACCATTGTCAACAAACCGCCCTACCATACCTCAGGCTAGATTCGCAGGAAATGAAGACTGGAAGTGTATGTGTCGTATTGAAGTTCTCTAAACACGAGATCAATAGGGTATTTCGCAGGATTATTATTATGATAGGCCATTCCATTGAAGGATTATATTTCAGATGAGATGATGCCAACAATTCTCCTTTTTGCTCGCGGTATTAAAGCTAATTTGCTAACCTTTTATATATCCTGGGGATCTCGACGGGGCCATGGTTACTTGTGTGTTTACTCCTCTGCCCTAAAATGGTCTGATTTTTAATAAACAAAATCAAAATCCAATTCACACAACAAACCATTATTGAGGCCGTTTGCCAGCAATTTGTTTGCAGTTACGGGTTGCTATCTGCTGCTTATCTTTCTAATACTGACAATTTAAGATTGAAATTGTAAAGCAGGACAATGAGAGCAAATGTAGAAATGACATTTTTCTACTGATGTTGTGATGAATTAAGGTTGCCGTCAACTTTGGAATGTGTCTAGAATGCTCCCTAGAAAAGGCTCAACCAAAATCGTTAGAGAATGCCTACCAGGCTATTTCCTTCATGTTAGCATATCTTCCAGTGATTGAATCAGAATATTTGCTCTCCAAAGTATAACACGTTGTCTCTGCTAAAATTAATCCATGTCATGTCATGATGGTTTCAAGCCAATGACTGGATCGGGATGATTGACTCTGATGTCAAACGTCGGGCCGAAACACTAAATGCCGAAACGGATCTGATAACACGAAGCTTATTCCTCCGTTTCCCAACGTGGTTGTACGGGTCTCTTACATCTCTTACACATTCAGCTTGACACCATAAATCCCCATTTGTATAGACCCATGGGTTGCATATGATTTTTTAACCGCCAGTAGAAAACTTGGTGGTATCAAAACTTTTTCGTCATATCCGGCATGTTGTCATGTCCGTTGGCTCCGGGCGAGTCAACTACCTAGTTAGCTATCAGATTGCGTGGGGTTTACAAATTGACCGGTTTAAGTTAACGATGATCCTCCACATTTAACTACGGGGTGGGCATTCAGGATTCAATCCGCGCCCAAACCCAATCATTCTGTGAAACTTCTACCACAATGGTACCGGATTCTGAATCTGCTCTCTACGACGCGAGAGATGCAATCCTTGCGGCGGAATCACATTCAGAACACCCCCCGCCACCCGAGATGCATAGGGAGAAATTGCTCATTTCCGTTCTACTATGTGTGCTCCTTGTTTATCCTGCCTTAATTTTGGATCTAATTTATACGTTGCTCCGCAAACTCGCATCACTTGTCGGATCTATTATAAAAAGCACAAGCCCGCTGAATACTCATTGTCAGAAGAAATACCGGAAGAGAATGGCTTAGAGCACTTCCCAGTAACTAGTTTACCAGTTAACAAACTGGTTAGTTAGTCCTGACTATGGTATTTCAGTTTATTATTATTATTATTATTGATTCTGTGCAGTTAGAGACTCTGATATCTCGACTGGTACTAGTATTCTAGGTATTTAATGATATATGATCATTTTTGAAGGGGCTTTCAACCTCACTTTTTTTTTTGGATACAAGTCTCAGGGGGGCTCTTAGGGTCTGTATTATCACTCATCTCCTTCTGGCAACCGGTGTTATACTAACTAGGGAAACCTAGTTGCAGTAGTTGAATCATCTAAACACAAAGAAGTCAACAGAACCATGTTAAGTGTGCTCTAATTCTGTCAATCATACGGAGTAAATCATTTGCTATATTCACCAGCCACCCACCCTCCTCCTATGATAAATACCAAATCGATGAAAGGTGGAATTCGCACCCACGACCTTGTGGCTCAGCAGGAATGCTCCCCAATATTCAGTGCCTACCTGCAAGGTCTTCGGTAGATGGCATTTACGCCTACCAGTACGCCATCCACCCAACCTCGCCATGTTCACGCTCGGAAGCCTATGCATGGCCCTCCCCAACCATCGATACCATGGCTATGTTCAACAAAAGTGGATACAGAACTTCAAATTCAGAGCATTGAAACCGGAACCAAGCCCTTAGCATATGATCCAGTTATATTCCGTTGTTTCTGCCGTTGCGATGCTGGGTGTTTTTATTGGGTCACCTTTGTTGGCTGGCCTTTTTGCATTGGGTTTGAAGATTGGGGGGGGGGTTGCCTTTAAATATCTTGGAATCGCATTTCTGTAGTTACGGGGTTGTTTGGGTGGCAGTTTGGTGTATTCGATTTTGCCCGAATTATTGTATGGAGACGGCAGGGTAGAACGGAAATATCGAGATCATTTTTGAGATATACCGTTTATTGAAATAGATTGCAAACATGTCGACCAGCCTAATGTTGGCATTCAAGGGGTGTCAGGGTGGATTGGCCATTATGTTCTTTTGAATGCGAGTAAACCTGAGCGCTGCGTACATATCCAATAAATGCTCCTTAAAACTTGCAAACGACGAACGATGGATGAACATTGGATTCTTTTGTAAATCTGGATCTTATCAAAGGTTGAAGATCGTATTATACGAATGATTTAGAAATTCCTACAGCCTCAATTCATGGATTTGGGGGGGGGGGGGGGGGGGGTTTAAGGAACATCAAGCACGGGGATCAAACGACACAAAAAGCCTAGAGAAGTGGATTATCAAAAATGCCTTTACTCTCCCCGACAGGGAATCGAACCCTGGTCTCCCGCGCTCGGCATTTGACTGACAAGCGGAAATCATGACCACTAGACCATCGAGGAAGTTCGACCTGATCAGTCTATGTCGTATATGATAGTAATCCAGGATGATAGGTAATTGACACCACGAGCCTAGATCTATTGATAAATGCGCCAGTGGCTGTTAACACGAAAATGTGACAGAAGCAAAGCAGTATGAATGCTAGACGATGGATAACAGCAAACCCCGCATCAACGGCTTCGTCTTCGTCTTATTGTTTCATCCAGACACTAGACCCTGACTAGAAGATCTGTTCCGCGGATGGGCCGTGAGAACTTTACAGTAGTCATTTTCTAAAAGTTTTCTGTTTACTTTACCTCCTTGGGTTTGAGGAACTGAACGGATATATATTGAGTCATGGGCATCTTAGAATGTCTTGGAATAGAGGATGCCTACGCCTTTGAGCCGGATTCAAATCATATTACGTTATAATCAAATTCCTCTGCAAAAAGAGAAGCCCGGGGGAGACGACGAAGATGAGCGGGGAATACAATATGCGTTAATGGTATCCAATAAATAGATACCATGCTGCTCGCCGACACCAGGCATTTTTGATACGGCACAAAGAAAAAAAAAGAGGCGAAAAAGATGCGGTCATCGAGCGTCAAAAGGCCATAACTTCTTCGCTTTCGCAACAGTCATGCCCTTTCCAGAGGCTTCAGATTCTCGAGCCGTCTCAATCCACTCTCGTCATACGCTGCCCTATGCGCATTCTTTGCAGCATCCCAAGTTTCATTTGGTATCCATCCATCCGTCGTCGTCCGCAGGGATATCGTCCGCAGGGATATCTGTCAACTTATACGTTGTTTTAAAGCCTTCATGTTGCATGGCATGCTCACGAAGCTCCTGTTCAGTTGGCGCATCGGGGCAATCTCCTGGCAACCCCATATCTTTCCAGAGAGATCCCAAGTCAAGTAACTCCTGGAGAATAGATGGTGCACCGTTTCTCCATGTTGTGAAACGGTAGTGGAAGATCTGAAGAAAATAGGATCCATGTGATTTGCGGTGCGCATTTTGGGAATTTTCAGCCCCATGAAAATAGCATCATGAGTCTGACTGGCAAATTGACAAAATCACTTTTAGTCGCTCTTCATCATTGGACACCATTTTAATTTGGCGTCTTCGCCTTCCGCCGGGTTTTCGTCTGGAAGAGATACGAAATCGGGAATGTTTTAAGCGTAGATAAAAAATAAATAAATAAATAAATAAATAAATAAATAAACTGGTTCAACCCTTGCTAATTGCCAATCGATCAAAGCTGTGACTCGAGTTGGGTCATCAGAAGAGACATATATGTTCCTCTTATGGTAAGCTGGGTGAATCAGAGCAGGTGCTGCCTGCGACTTGAACCCGGTAATCCTTGGTTAAAACTTGCATAGTTACCTGACATGAATTGATTAGACGTATGTGCTCCTGGATCGCTCCATGAAAAGGGAGTTGATCCGTTCAAGCCAGCCTGCTCATTTGGGATGCGAGAAAATGCAGCTTCGATCAAGCCAGACGTATTCTCAGGCAAATTTTTATAAAATCCAAATTCTCCAGTCGTCCTACGGTTCCAGAAGAGAGGGGGGGGGGTAGAGTGCGGTTCTATTCAAACGCCTTTTCCTAAAGGAATCTGTAGCTCCTTTTCGAGAGGGTGCGTCTGCGAAGTAACTAGAATGTTTTCAGAGGCTGGAATATACAAAGCAGCTTTTCCCCAATTTCCAATGGCTAATCTTTGGTGCACTGCATAAGTTGAAGCGTATCCATGAGAGACCACTGCTCGTGTAACTGAAGGTCCTGAATGATATATTCAATTCCAACATGGCTGGATGGATCCATGCCAAAATTTTTGGAAATCGGGAGTGCGACTTTCGATAGTACTCTGTGCAGCATTAGCCCGGTCTGGCAAACTTGATTTATTAGATATATCTAGAGGGTAAAAGAATAGGTTTCTAAGAGGCCATGCATAGCATTAACTTCTGAATTAACTGTTAACCTTGCCGGGCCAGCCACGAGACCCGGGTTTCTTGCCATGACACGTTTCACAGTGGCCAATTGTGCAGACGAAAACTCCCATCTTTCTCTCCCATCTGGTAAACTTGGAAACGCCGTCACATGTCTTATGACGTTCCACACAAACGGGATTGAAGTCGAATCAAGGGAACGTTAGTGACGTTGCAGTTCGGCCTGATGCAGCCACTTGCCTGCGGTGTAATGCATAGGAATCATCATCGGATCATTGTTTAGTTATCTGGAAAACTTCTTGGTTGACTTTCTTACGTTAATCGTTACGTTTGTCCAAGAGGCTCGAACCAGGAGACAACCCGTGGTTCCATTGCCCTCCGTATGACTTGACAGTGGGAGCTTTGCCCCCATTCTGAACAAGAGACCCCCCATAAACAGAAGAGAATCAAGGCGTAACGTAACCAAGACAACTGAAAAGAAACATGTAGTTCCCTCGTGTCCGCAGCCCGGTCGGCCCCTACGTAACGTTATACGTAACGTTATAGACAAATATCCGCTTTACCCAAATCCATTCGACCCGTAGGAGTTCGCAAAAAGGTCGGATATTGACATCAATTAACTAACTAGTTAGCTAGTTAACTATCACATGACCTGGTGTCAGCTCTCAAGGGGCTGGATTGATTGGAATCGTCATGGGTTGGGGATAGCACAATGCAAGTCTCCAGGAATGTCGGATTTTACCTGCTCGGCTGGGTAGTTCTGCAGACCGGGAGCAGCTAAGGGGTTCGTTTCGAAATCGATGCTGTCATCCCGCTCCTGTGGGCATCTGAGATCACCCCAGCCGTTCGCCCTCAGGCCGGGGAACACAATCCAAGGGAAGCCGGATATTTTTGAATCTTGCGTGGAGGTTTGACAGTTCCACCCAGGAACTTTCGTATCTGGCCTTTGCTACCTGCTGTTAATCATTGTCTATTTTCGGATTTACTGAAACGACCCAGAATCTTGGAATACTGGCCAAATTTTCCCCATGGGTGCTGGGGTCCTCCCTATCATGAGGGATGGGACATTCAACTTTACGTTCTGAATGCATTCGAAGGTTTACAATGAAAAATGCCTTTCTCGAAACAAATCACAGCCTGATGCCCCAAGGACGTTTTTCTGCTCCGGAAGCCAAGCTAAAATGGCCTCTTAGCTTTTGGGCAAAAGCCAACCCTCAATCGCACTCGTGCAATTCAAGGTCAGAAGTACGTGCATTCACCGAATAGGATGATCCGTGACCACGTTATTTTATTGAGGGAAGCATTATTGACGTCCCAAGTCTCTTCATTTCCGACCCTCACTGGACACCTCGAGACATTTTCATGCACCGCGATCCCACTAAAACCCATCACATCGCATGGAGGGCTGTGAGCTTGTGGCTACGTAATAACACTGCTACATAGCTAATCCAACCTCCCGCTGAGAATATATACAACCACTAGAACCTCCATACCCAAAGATGAGCAAAATGAGCTAAAAGCAACAGGTGGACCTTTTGGGCAACATATATATATATATATATATATATATATATATAATGGGGCCTTTACCTCTCTGGCTAACAGCGGGCTTGGCTGCGGTGGCAGTGTCACTCGCAGCTGTCATAATCCGATACCTTCTAGCAACCAAACGTCCTAAAGACTTCCCACCGGGCCCGCCAACCCTTATTGGGATCGGCAACCTCCACCAAATCCCACTCAAGCAGCCATTTCTTCAGTTTCACGAATGGTCCAAGACGTATGGTGACATTGTTGGACTCAAAATCGGCTCGTCTAATCTCGTCGTTCTTCACAGTGCTCAATATGTGCGCGAGCTATTCGAGAAACGCGGCTCCATTTACTCTGGAAGACCCTATAGCTACGTGCATGTTGAGCATGTGTACCGTGAACATGCTGACAAACACCTCCTGAATCTTCAAAATGGACCCTACCTCCGGCAATGGCGTGCTGCCTCCTCCTCTCTTCTTGGTCCAGCGGGTGTGAGGCAGACCATCCCAATGCAGGAGGTGACTTCAGCAAGACTAGTACACGAGCTGTTGCAAGCAACTCCTTCCAAGACATTGGAGCATTTCAAGTTTTGGGCGCTATCCACTCCTCTCCTGGCCATCACCGGGCAACGGCTGGAAAACCGTGGCAAAGCCTTTTCGGACCGCCATTTTAGTGCCCAGCAGCAGTGGATCGAGCTGCTGGAGCCGGGTAGCGCTCCCCTGGCCGCTGTTGTTCCTTTTCTGCGCTGGGTTCCAGAGAGGTTTGCCAGCTGGAAAGGCAAGGCGCGATGTGTGCGACAGTACATGCTCGAGGAGTACTATGGTTTCTTGAAAAGCGCTAAGGAATTGAGCAATAGCGCTGATGATAGCCCAAAGACAAGCGGATACGTACCTACGAAATACCGCTGCCTTATGACAAAAATTATTGAGGAGTCGGAGGCAGAGGAGAGGAAAGGGGGCCGTAGGCCATTCAATGGTGACCAAATCGCTTACCTTGGTGGAAGCCTCCTCGATGCAGCAGTCGGCACGACATGGGCCACTACGATGAGCTTCATTTTGTTAATGGCAGCCTATCCTGATGTTCAAGCCAAAGCTAGAGAGGAGATAGACCGAGTAAGCACAGACAAGCCCCCGGGAAGCGAAGTGCTTGCCCGGCTGCGGTACCTCAAAGCCTCTCTATTAGAGGTGAGCTTTTTTTTTTTTTTTTTTTCTTTCCCAAAACCATTCGATATTTGCCCTAGAAACAGTAGTGTCATGTTAGATGCTAAAAGCAGGCCTTCCCCTGACCAACATCAAGGTTTATCGCTTTCGTCCACCAGGCCCTCATGGGCTTCCCCACGTTACTGATCACGACGACATCTTTGCAGGGTACAAGATCCCCAAGGGAACCACAGTTCTTGCCAACGTCTGGGCAATCCATCACAACGCCGATGACTACGATCAGCCAAATGAATTTCGCCCGGAGAGATATCTAGACAACCCATTCGGGCTCAAACCGGGCGTTGAGGCTTGCGAAGGGCGGCGGGCAACCTACGTCTTTGGTGCAGGTCGTAGGATCTGTATGGGTGAGCAGTTTGCCGAGAATGCCATCCTACTGGCTATGTCCAAGCTCCTCTGGGCGTATAACATTTCTGCTCCGGAATCGCTTGACCTCACCGTTGAGACCGGGTTCCACACAGGGTTGGTGCTAAGCCCCCATCCCTTTAAAGTTGACTTTGTTTTGCGGGACGACGACAGGAGGGAGAGTGTGATTCTCGACTACAAAGAAGCGTCTGCAGCACTGAAACACATTGGGATCTGATCTCATCTCTTCGGGGTTTTTTTTTTTTTTTTTTTTTTTTTTTTTTATAAAAAATTCTCTCACCCACATAGTAAAAAATAAGGTTATTTGAAAAACATGGTGCCCTGCTATTTATGTTGTGTGTCTGAATGACTTTCTACAATTTCTTCTGAACCTTGAGAGAAGGATTTCACTTAACTAACTTGGAATAACTAAATGAGAAACTTGAGTTTCTAATCAACAACATGCATATGTCTTGAGATTTTTTTTTTCTTCCGTGTTGGGGGGGGAAGAAATAAAATATGTTAAAATAGCAGGTCAGGTGTGCCCAAGCCTAAGACTCACTTTAACTAACTTCAGTGACAGATCAACTGCTAATTTAACCAATATATAAATGGCAGAGTTACTAAACTCATAACCAACCACCTAAAATCCCATCCTCAATATTTCATATTTAGAGTGTGACTGATGTGTCTTCCCCCCAACAGAGTGTGGATAAATAACGTGCAAATTACACCTTAGGCAAAATTGAGTTCCACGTAGTACTCAGCGATAACCATTCCCCTCCTCTGCTGTGCTCAACGAATATTTGCGGTTGTATCTCGTGTTGCCATGGTTGATATCTCCATCCACTTCTCAAACCAGCCACGCTTTTCGAGCTCCTCATGCAGCACAACAAGTCGAGAGCAGAAGTAATAACACAGTATGTCCTTCTCGTCTTTCTCGAATTGCAACGGGATCACAACGAACGGCGTCAGGGTCGAGAGGATGACGTTTGACGTGAGTGACTGAAGAATGTAATACGATTTCCGGTCGGAGAAAGGCGAAAGAACTTTGCTGTGTGGAATCGTGGACAAGCTGTCTAGGAAGCGCGCCCCTACGAAAGCAGATGAATCGGATTTTTTTTTTTGTTTATTTTATTCTACTTTTTTTTTTTTTTTTTTTAAATTATCCTTGCTGACGCTTTCAGGGAGGGTCACTAACAGCGAATCATCCAGGGACAAATCACTTTCCCCCTTGTCGGCCTTATATGATCTTTATGAATGATGTGTGATGAAATATTTCCACCACGCCTGTTTCTTTGGTCAAACATCAAGTGCCTCTGAAGGTCATCTGTAGGTCGAAACTATAGCCCAGCATGTTTATTCAGCCTTCTCGCCCTGAGGGGCCGACTTCAAGCTCGATGGGGAACCCGGACTCTTGCGATTAAGATTTGGATCGCCGGTCTGTCAGCGGAAATGTGTTCGTAACAAACTGACTCAATGCAATATTGTTCCGCCAAAACAGCTTGTTATATTACGGACAGCTCTTAACTTGAAACTGATCGCCCTCTGAATCTAAAAAAGTAGTATTTCATATCAATATACGATGTTAGTGAGTCCATTTTAGATGTACCCGGCAGGAGATTCGCTCGCAAGGCATCAACATTCAGAATGATGCTACACTACAAACGCACAACAGGGGAGAAAAGGATATTAAAGTGGAAACGCAGGCATGGACCCACAAGGTAAAGACAGCAGTTGAGGAGTCACTGCCCGAGAAGGAACTTGGACTCCACATCCATAACAGTTGTGGCTTTGAAGAGAGAAGACAAAGGAGGGCGTTGAAAAGCAGGTATACAATTCATCAGCTATAATAATCTGTATCCATACCAGCTATCCAAAAAGTTTAGCGAAGACGGCCGTATGTCATGCCATGGATATATTAATCAAATATATAAAGGCGCAAGAGAAAAGCAAAATGAACTAGGTGAAATTGAAGAACGTTTCATCTATCTCTTCTCAACAAGCAAGAAGTGCATAGCCATATACGCAATGATGATGAAAACGCCAGAGAACACTCCAAGGCCAATAACGTCGCGCCACAACGCAAGCGTATCGAAGCCAAAAGCGCTGAGGATTGAGGCGCCAGGGACCTCGATATCCAGGCCATATTTGTGGTCGATAAGGGTCAGGTATGTTACTTCGTTGACTATTAGGCCTTCAAAGCCGTAATGGAATATGGAGAGCTGTAAATATGATTACGAAAATATTAGTACATGGTGGAAAGGAGATTTAACTGTGATGGAAGAAAAAAAAAAAAAAAAAAAGCTTACAGTTTGAAGCCACAGAGCTGCTTTCGGGATAGCATCGTGGTTTAGAAGGAGACCGGCGAAGAGAAGACTAAATAGCATCACCAAACTGCCTATTAGGCTGGCGACGCTGCCGTCCTTGAAAATTATGCCGATTGTCAGGCAAATGCAAGCTGCCGCAAGGTTGAAGAGAATAAGAATCAGCACGAATTTGAGAAATTCGGGCCATGCAGGGATTAGCCCGACCATAGGGTACACGATGACCCCCATCAAGATTGGTGGAATGAGCCGTAGTGGGACAATGTCAAAGACAACCTTAGAGGCAAAATAGGTTATTGGCGCATAATATCCGTTCGCACGTTCTCGGACAAAGAGGAGTCTTTCGGATGAGAACACGTTCAGGCTGCTCAAGGTACTAAAGCCAAAGAGGGCGAGAAGGAAGAAGAATAAACCCAGTCTGTTCTGGAAGCCCTTGATGTCGTCGGTCAGGCCGTAGAAAAGGAATCCAGAAAGCACAGCAAGGACTATCGCGATGGCATAGTGGGTGAGCATGAGTAGGGGATTCCGATATAGATTCCGCCATGTTCGCTGAGATAGAATAATAAATTGCTTCAAGAGGCCTATCCTGGCATAACTTGTCATCTGCTTGCTTGAAGACCCACTACTGTCCGGTTCCTCAGCAGAGTTCACCGTACCATTTGCGGTTGCGGCATTTTGCACTGCTGCATTGATCTCATCGCGTACGCATGCTGCGACGTTCGACTCAATGTAGCTGGAGATTAGGTTATCAAGGTCTGTGCAGAATCCCGACGCGTTGGGAGGTAGTTGATCTGGATCATCGATGATGCGGAGGGAAACAGTGCTTGGTTGTTGTATGCGCTGCTGGACACTTTCGGATAGACTGCTGATAGGGTTCTCTTCGTCCTCAGTACGTAGAGTGGAAGGAGTTCCCGGCTCTGGAATTTTCTTCCGTGTATAGAGTTGCTTATCCTGTCGCTGTTTGACCGATTGTCGGTGTTTGCTGTGAGGACGGAGCCCTGAATTTTGGGGTCGGTCAGAGCCGCTATTATCCACCGAAGCGTTCGACACACTTGTGAGGGATTTGACCGCTCGTAAGCTGCTAGAAGTGGTCCTAGTTGCATCGCGATTGACACTCAAATGGACTTCATCTTGGTACACCGAGTGGCTGTTGCCAGCATGCATAGTCAGATCGACGAGATAGTCCGCGATGTTAAAGCCAGCGGGACAGGAATATCCGATATGGTCGAAATACGTCTGACAGCTGGCAAACGGGCCGGAGTAGACGGTTTTACCTTCAGCCAACAGTATCAATCGGTCGAACAACGCGACAATATTCGATCGAGGTTGGTGAATGGTAAAGATGACGGTACGATTGAAAGTTTTGGCTAAGTTCACCAAGCATTCAACAACGTTGAAGGCATTGAAAGCATCCTGAATATAAGAATCAGTACTGGGAAGATGAAATGAGTGCTTATGGGGATAAACATACCAAGCCGCTCGTAGGCTCATCTAAGAACAAAATACTGGGACTCGTGACAAGTTCGCAAGCTATTCCAACACGTCGCTTTTCGCCCCCAGAAATCCCTCGACCCTTGCCTTCCTCAGAGCCGATAATTTGATCCTTGATATGCCATATGCCAAGTTGTTTCTCAACTTCGTGAACTTTCTGCTCTTTGGCAGCTGTGCTCATATTACGGGGCAGTCTAAGTAAAGCACTAGTCAAAATGGTCTCATGAACGGTGAGCGTTGGCAGCATCGTATCTTCTTGATCAACGAATCCTATGACGCTGCGATATTCATCGTCGTCGACTTTCTCGCCATTGACATAAAAGTTACCTTCCACGACACCACGTTTGTTCTTCCGGGCAAGAATATCCAGGAACGTAGTTTTCCCGGCGCCCGAAGCGCCCATGATTGCCATCAGTTGCCCTGGATGAGCAGAACCCTGAATGCCTGAAAGGATTTGCTTCCCATTAAGGTAGTAGGAGACGTTTTCAAATTGCAAGGAAGCAGGCTTGTGGTCAGCCATGAGCTTCGCTCCCTCGTCATCAGAATCATCGAGGGGTAGAGCAATGTAATCACGGTAAGCTGGTAGTCTGGAGAGGTACCATAGTCCCAAAATAACAGCAACAATAAACAGGGAACAACCGGCAATTACGCCAGCAATGAGTGGCGTATTGATCGTTTTAACGGGTGTTTTGTAGCCTGGAATATCAGTCTTATACAAACACTCGCCCGAACGGCAGTCTAAGAAGATAGCTGGATCGCCGAAAACGTCCTTGATCAGCTGATTCATAACCGATTCTGAAAATTTACTTCCGTCTTCAACGCTACCTCCTCGAGTTGAGAGTGAGGTGAATGTAGCTGGTCCCTTGATCTGGTCCTTTAAAAATTCACTGAGATCCAGCGCGTTCTTCTCACACAACATCCTGTCAGGAATACACCGACACTTTACCTTCTCACAGGAATAGGTTGTCTTATTCTGATCGTACGTGGTTTCCATGTTCCAGGAGCAGGTATCCAAGTTGCAGTAGAACGATTCGACTTGGTCAACCCAAACTAATATATCAAGGTCAGCGAATCGAATGACATGAGGCAGAAATGATGGGGAAGACAAAGTGCTTACACTGGAAGTTACATGTAGCGTCGGCCGCTTTACACGAAAAGGTAACTTCAGGCTTTTGGGCCCCAAGCATATCGACGATTTTGCGATTAGTGACGGAGCACATCTGGTAGTTCTCCTTCACAGTAACGCCATCCTTGTAGCACACGCCGCCCCCGCCCTCCGGCGTCATCACGTTACAGGCATCGTTTGTTTTGCAGACATTGCAGTTGACACCCTCCCAACCTTCTGTGCATTTGCAGTACTTTTCCTTCCGCGGTGTCCTGCTTTTCCCATCGGGTAAGGAGCCACACAGGGGAACGGTGCAATCGTCTCCTCCGAATCCGGCAGGACATTCACATTTCCCATTGTATTTATTGCAGGCCGCAAACTGGTGACACTGGAAGGCTTCGAGCTCGCAGTTGAAGCACGGAGGGCAGTCCTTGGGTCGATCACCCTGAAGGGATAAATCCGGCGAGAGAAGAAACCTTGGATCCGAGTAGTTTGAGAAAGAGGAGACGAGCCATGATGATGGTGGGTTGATAGCGAAGATCGTGAGGAGGTATATTGAAAGCGACGGCGAGAGTCTTCGCATTGCGGATAGTTAGTCAAAGTAAGGACCTGTCGGCAAGTTGAAGACGAACAAACAACGGTGCAACGGTGCAACGGCGCAACGGTCACATCAAGATGATGCAAGATTTTGGCAGGGAGAGAGATTATTGACGAGGAATCATGGACTATTGGGGAGAAGAGAGTTGGGAGGTTAGATAGTTAACTGGTTCAGCGGGAATGGCATCAGGTATGATGAAAGAGCTGTTGGGGTGTCCGATTAAGTTTAGATTGAAGCCCAAGCACGTATAGAAATTTTGATCGCCGGCAGATTGCTGTCGTCAGATGGAGTGCATACAAGGCCCGTCTGCGACGGGGAGAGAATGAGGTTGCGGGACGTTGCCTGGACACCCCCTTGTTCGACGGATGTTGGTCATGACGCTCTGCCCGGCTTGTCCGGGGTTCGGGGAAATGTTGACCCGTTTGACAAGCATCAACCAGAAATTTGGTGTAACTGTAACTGTTGCCCCAACCACCGTCAGTTGTGGACTTTTTATCCAGTCACGTAACCACTGTGCTAATTAGATGATTTCTAATTTTGGGATTTCTTCCGTCTTGCCAGATAGTTAGTTGCTTTATCGCCCATTGGTAAACCTTATCCGGATTGGAATGCGTGAGATGCTTTATCTGTCTTTCACCCCGCGAGATCCACAAAGTCTTGGCGCCGTCATCTGCACAACATCTTCTTCCCCTTATCATGGATATGGGCCTTGAAGGATGATTTCAAGTACCGGCGGAAGGGTGTCTATTTGTCGCAATTAACACCCGTTTAGCATCGGCTGCAATTGGCTAAAATGCGAAATACGAGTTGATCAACTGAAGGGCGTACAGCGTAGAGAAAACCAAGCAGCTATTTAGCTGACTGATTCTAGAAGAACCCAATGGTTAGTTAAATAACTAGTTAAAACTAACTGGCCACCTCAAACAGAGGGCAAAGGAATAGAACCGGCACCAAACTTTTGCAAAGCCACAGATAATTTATACACAAAAGGAAACTTGGCGAAAGGCACAATGGTGAAGATTGACTCTTTCACGCTTGAGGATGTAAGTTCTGCCAGGGCTGACCCTCCAACCTCATGCATCGAATCCCGCTCCCCCGAATCCCGAGGAAACTACAGCTACACAAGTCTTGAACCAAAGATAGCTGATACCTACTCCCGATCAGTATATCAACGACAACGTCCACAAAGCTAAATACAGCATCGCCAGCTCCTGCTCTCTCCCAATTTCGCTCCAAGAACTTCAGTCGCTTTCCGAGAAATCGTCGTCCCCCAGTGCCAACGGTGACAATGGTCCAATACCCAACGAAATATTCACTAGAGACCTGGACTACGCCCCAGCATGCGGTTCGCAGAAGCTACGGGCCCGCCTAGCCAGCCTCTACTCCGTCAAGATATTGACCCCACTTTCTCCAGAAAACGTGTTGATAACCCCCGGTGCGTCCCTGGCTAATTGCCTGATATTCCATGGCCTCTGTAATCCCGGTGATCATGTTATCTGCCATTACCCTACATACCAGCAACTGTATTCACAACCGGCCTCGTTGGGGGCGGACGTTAGTCTCTGGAGGACGAATGGGGAGGATAATTGGAAGCTGGATGTTGAAGAGTTGAAGCGCATGATTAGACCCGAAACTAGATTTATCGTGATCAAGTATGCCAGCCTACAATCTCAGATAGTTACCAATTCTCTCTCTTGTTTCTTTCTCCCCCTTTGTCTTCTGACAACTGACAAAAAGATCAAGCAATCCTCAAAACCCCACCGGTGCTGTAATCCCACGCTCAACGCTCGAATCCATCATCCAAGTCGCGCGGGAGCACTCCATAATCGTCATCAGTGATGAAGTCTACAGACCCCTCTTCCACTCCATCACGCCCGCTGACCCGGAATTCCCACCCTCAGTCATGTCCCTAGGCTACGAAAACGTGGTCGTCTCCGGTTCGATGTCTAAGGCTTACTCCATGGCCGGCATTCGCGTTGGGTGGCTCGCATCGCCCAACGTCGAGTTGGTCAAGAAGTGCGAGAAGTGGAGGGCCTACACGGTCATCTCCGTGGGTCAGATTGACCAGCAGATAGCCAGCTATGCGCTAGACGAGTGTCTGCACAAACTTCTCAAACGCAACAACGATCTAGCGCGACACAATCTAGGGCTGTTGGAAGGTTTTATTGAGCAGCATCGGTGGGCGTGTGATTGGGTGAAGCCCGTTGGGGCTTCTGTGGCATTTGTGAGGTTTTCGAAGATGGGGAAGCCGGTGGATGATGTGGAGTTTTGTGAGAGGTTGTTGGAGAAGGAAGGGGTGTTGGTTGTGCCTGGCAATCTGTGTTTTGGGAATAGGGATGAAAACGGGAATGGCAGGGATTTTAAAGGGTATGTGAGGATAGGGTTTGTTGGGGAGACGAAGACATTGGAGGGGGCACTGGAGGGGTTGAGAGCATTTATGAGAGACGGATTTGAGGATGTACCTGTAGGCAAGTAAATTGATAGATAAATGGTGTGTAGGTAGTTTATCTAACAGGTTTAGCTGTAGGTACTTAAATCGTCCTGCGTTTTGGTTCTGTGTAGAGATATTCATGTCATGTAGGTTACGGTCATCGCGCAACCTAGAATGCCTCATCACCAGCACCAGCACCAGCACCATTATCATCACCATCATCATTTATTCTAACTCTCTGCGTTTTCCCAGCCATAGGCGATCCATAATGTGCCAAAGGAGCAAGGATTACGGAAATTCTAACGGGGACATCGCGGTGCCTCGGTGTGCCTGTGTGGGTTCCGCCTGGGCAGCTGGATTCATAAAGAAGTTCAGGCACACGAGCAACACAATAGTTATCATGTCCACATGGACTAAACTGAAGCAAATCGACAAAATATTCTCCCATTGGGGGAGCATGCATCGACAGACAAGACATGCGCAGACATTGAACCCTGTAGCTAAAGTAAGCTAATTACCAATCGTCTAGCTGGCATCCATGAAATTTTCCCCAGATATTCGGGCGCACTTGAACCCTGAAATCTGCACGTGATGGGCGGCTGACGATGCGGCTCGCGGATCTAGTCAGCACAAGTAGCTCAGGGTTCTTCCAACGTCATCTCATCTTTTTCTTCTTTTCATCTTGATTCATGTTCTTCATCTTACTTTAGTTTTCAGTGAACAGGTTCAATGCCTTAAGACAGTTGTGTTGTCGGCATATAATATTCCATGGTAACATAAATACTAGACCTCGGGACAAGTCACTAACTTATTAGGTATAAACTCACAGTTTATTTATTAACTAACCCATCCGTCTGCCCTAACCCGGCACTAGCTCTCTGTTCGGTATCATATGCATATACCGACGCTCATTCATGGATCCAGACATACCATGGCGTAATTTACTCCAACCTGGGAAGGGAAGCATCTTGGTTTCTCCACTCTCTCCATTCCCACTGAGGTTGTTCTGGCATGTTTTCCCGCAGAACGCTAGTTTTGCTACACAGTTTTTGGGGAACTTAAACTGGGATGAACTTGGGCGGATAATGTGGCTCTTCTATGCACCCATTGACAACCAGAGCTAATAATACGGAGTCGTCCTAGGTATGTGGGTGGCGCGAATCAGCAATATTGGAGACACAGATTGCCGGACAACTAACGCACCACAACACAGCAATAACTAATATCCGGCAGCTTCCCTCTTCCTTTATTTCTTTTGCTTTTCTCTGTCTGTTCCATTGCTCACTCGACTTTTAAACTTTATTTTCTGTTCCTTCTCCACTGTCCTTGGAACAAAGGAAAAATTGGGAACTGGTCCATTCCTATCTCCCAACCTCCAACTCATTTTTTAAATTGCCCTATAACCCTCGTATGTTCTCTTCCTAGGAATTTTCCAGTCCCGACTTGGACAGTCCAGATGGCCGTCGCTGGTATGTGCTTCATTATATCAATTATTCTTACCACTATATTCCTTCAATCCCCTTGTCAATAACCATCCAAACCAGCAACTAACCTTCCACATCAGCAATTCCGTTATCTCTCGCAGTCCCAGCGGCTGTTGCATCCGCTGCTTATCTAAACGCACGATGGGGCGTATCAGACGATCTCAATATCATTTCGTCCCTAACGCGAGCTGCCTTCGGATGCGCCATGGCTGAACGACGAGGCGAATGCAATCTATTCTATATCGTAGAACGGAATGCCCTGAACAAGCGCACAGCGAACAACCTTGCACTCATCTATGATAACCAGGAGTGGACCTTCCACGAGCTATACACTACCACTCTACGCTACGGCGCCTGGCTTAAAAACACCCATGGTATCAAAGTGGGGGATGTCATAGCTCTAGATTTTATGAACTCTGCTGCTTTCATTTTTATGTGGATGGGTTTATGGAGTATTGGCGCCACTCCCGCATTTATCAATTATAACCTGACAAAGTCTTCCTTAACTCACTGTGTCAAGGCGTCGACTGCCCACATTCTATTTGCTGAGCGTGAGCTACAGCAGCATATATTCACCCCGGAGCAGCTGGAGGTGTTTGGCCAGCCGGACTTCAGAGAAGGAGGCGGGCCTGTCCAAGTGGTGTTTTATGATAAGGCGTTAGAGAGGGAAATTTTGCTGACTCCCGGTGAACGCACGCCAGATTCAAGTCGCCCTGGCACAATCTCAAGTGAGACTGGTCAGTAATTAGCCGCTTCCAAGTCTTAGAGGCTCTGACTGGTTTCACTTTAATAGAGTTGTCTCTAACTTCCTGCAGCTATGCTTATTTATACCAGTGGCACAACGGGTTTACCAAAACCTGCTATTGTGAGCTGGCATAAATGTATCATGGGTGGTAGATTTGTTTCAAACTGGGTGGGGTTGAAAACGTCAGATCGTGTTTACACTGTATGTCCTATTACCCCTGACTTGTTCAATTTTCGTCAGGCAAACCAACTTCCCCGGGGTTGCATATCTCCAATATGTTTTCTACCCCCGGCCCAAGCAATGTTCCAAGCTAACCATTCCCAGTGTATGCCCCTGTACCATTCCACAGCTGCTGTTTTAGGTTACGTAGCATGCATGTTTTCCGCATCAACGATTATAATTGGCCGTAAATTCTCCGCCAGGAAATTCTGGAAAGAAGTCCGTGCGAACGAAGCAACCATAGTTCAATATGTCGGTGAGACCCTGCGATACCTTCTAACAGTTCCTCCCGAAATCGACCCTTCCACAGGCGAGAACCTAGACATTAACCACAAGGTGCGCCTCATATACGGCAACGGCCTGCGGCCCGATGTCTGGAACCGCGTCAAGGAACGATATAACGTACCCACTATCTGCGAATTCTACGCTTCGACGGAGGGTAACTCCGGTAGCTGGAACCGGTCCAACAATGACTTCACAGCAGGAGCCATTGGCAAATTTGGCACCATTACGAGGCTAATTCTCGGCCGCAGGGTCGCGGTCGTGGAGCTCGACTACGAAACTGAGCAGCCAATCCGAGACCCCAAGACTGGATTCTGCAAGAAAGTCAGCTGGGGAGAACCGGGTGAGTTGCTTTTCGCTCTGGATCCAGACAACATCAAAAGTACGTTCCAGGGTTACTTCAACAACAGCAAGGCTACAGAGAGCAAGATCATGCGCGGCGTGTTGAAGAAAGGTGACGCATGGTTCCGTACCGGTGACGTTGTGCGCTTGGACGCAGATGGCCGCTGGTACTTCTCTGACCGCATTGGTGATACTTTCCGCTGGCGCAGCGAGAACGTGTCCACAAACGAAGTCTCCGAGGTCCTCGGTAAGCACCTTAATGTCCTCGAAGCGAACGTCTACGGTGTCCCCGTGCCGCATCACGATGGCCGTGCTGGGTGTGCTGCCATTGTCTTTCGTGAGCAGGCGGCCGTCACACCCCCGCTGGGGTCTGACGAAAAGCTTGCATCTGAAGTGCCAATTTTGGAACCGTCATCTGCCGTGTTAGACTCTCTCGCTCAATTTGCGTCAGATAATTTGCCCAAGTATGCTGTCCCGACGTTCCTGAGGGTAACGAGGGAGATGCAGTCGACGGGGAATAACAAACAACAGAAACTTGTGTTGAGAAATGAAGGAATTGATGTAGAGTTTTTGAATGGTAAGGGTGTGGATGATCGGTTGTACTGGTTGAGAGAGGGCCGGTATTTGCCGTTTGGACTTAAGGAATGGGGGTCGTTGAAGGGGGGCAAGGTTAAGTTGTAAGATTTTGCTGTGTGTTTCGGGGAGTTCGAGAAGATGATGGGAAATGATGATTCTTGATTGAAGGCGAGTGGTAGGAAATTCCCCCCCCCCCCCCCCCCCCCCCCCTCCCCTCCTCCTCTCTCTCTGCTGTGAGGAATAAGAAAGGCGAAGGAAGATGAATTCTCTATACAGTTTTGTTTCCTCATTTGGGTGGTCTATTTGCATAATGTGTGTTCATTTCCATAGGTCAACTGTAACTACGTGTGAAGAGTTCCGTTGGAGGTGAATATACTCACTATTTGAGAAGCGCCAACATTCTTTCAGGAGGAATGCGAGTCCATGGATGAAATAGGTTGAAGTTGTAGATTTATCTATCTATGTACTAGCTGAGTCAACTAATTAATGAACACCCCTCTAATGGCGAACTTGTCAAACGTTTGGTCAACATCACTAGGTTTTGCTCCTCAATACATCTTGAGGATTTGGCCCAGGGCCCTTCACTCAGTTCAATAGAGCTCTTAACAAGTAAAAATGTAAGCCGAGTTATACGTGTGTTAAGTGTTAACCTCTAGGTTGTTTCTGCGCTTTGTGATATCCGCCCCAGTTAGATGCCGCTAAACCCTGTTAGGCAAACCACCACCCGTCAAAACTATGTTAAGCCCGCAATATTGTCAGAGAGACACACGGTCAATTATTATCACAAAGAAGCACCAATTGCCAAGTCCAGACCAATTACCAAACTACCCAAAAGAACTGTTCATAGGGCGTCAATGGCCTCGCAAAAACAGCAGCACGCCTCTGGGGCGGTCGCGGGCAAACTCTGGGGGGGCAGATTCTCAGGTATGGTAACATCGAAACCCACCCGATATTCTGCATAATTCCCCGCAAACTCTTACCGGTGTCCTATCTTCACTCCTCCAGGGGCTACCGATCCATTGATGGTTGCCTACAACGAGTCCATATATTTCGACCGGGCATTTTACGCTCAAGACATTGCGGGCTCCATCGCCTTTGCACGAGCAAATATTGCAACTGGAATTCTAACCAAGGACGAGTTCGCTTCGATTGAGAACGGATTGAAGCAGGTACTGGAGGAATGGCGGACGAATACCTTTAAAATAGCTCCTGGAGTAGACGAGGATATTCATACGGCGAATGAACGCAGACTGGGGGAAATCATTGGCAAGGAAATTGCCGGAAAGCTCCATACGTAAGGCATACTGCTAGATTTTACACCTCCTTCTTCCTGGGCAATTATTTTCCGCGTGGGGTAGGTGGTTTAGTTAATATATCGCGGATTGAATTTTTTTTTAAATTAGAGGCTAATAGCAACGTCATCCAACAGTGGTCGTAGTCGGAATGACCAGGTCGCGACCGATTTGCGTCTGTGGCTTCGGGACGAGCTGCGCGTGGTCGAAACCTACCTGGTCGAGCTGCTGAAGGTCATCGCAGAGCGTGCGGAGAGTGATATCGAATATGTCATGCCCGGATATACCCACCTACAACGTGGACAGGTAATGGTCCCCGCGAACTAAAAGATAAACAAATAAATTTTTTGAGTGGGGGGAGAGCTTGTTAATTTATTTCCCAGCCTGTTCGATGGAGCCATTGGATGCTTAGTTACGGTACCTCTTTCTTGAATGACCTCGAGCGCCTACGAGAGGTTATCAAACATGTCAACCGGAGCCCTCTTGGCTGCGGAGCTTTGTCGGGGAATGCGTTTAACATTGACCGGGAAGCGATGGCTCAGGAACTGGGCTTTGATGGGCTCATTCACAACAGCATGTCAGCTGTTGGAGATCGGGATTTTATACTGGAAACAATGCAGTGGGGATCGACACTGATGTTGCATATTTCCCGCTGGAGTGAGGATCTTATTATCTACAGCACAACTGAATTTGGGTTTGTCCGGTTGTCGGATGCCTACACGACGGGAAGCTCCTTAATGCCGCAGAAGAAGAACAGTATGTCTCCTTTCTTTAGTGAACCTTTTTTCAAAGTAACGGGTGGCTAATTTTACATGCCAGGTGACTCCCTTGAGCTCCTGCGAGGCAAATGTGGTAGAATATTCGGTGGCATGGCCGGTCTCATGATGACCATCAAGGGAATTCCTTCGACATACAACAAGGACCTTCAAGAAAGCGTCGAGCCGCTCCTCGAGCACATCAAGACTCTAAAGGACAGCTTACTCATCGCAACCCGTGTGTTGTCAACCCTAACTGTATTCCCTAACAAAATGCTGGAGGCATTGACTCCCGATATGCTGGCCACTGATCTGGCGGAATATCTTGTTCGAAAAGGTAATTATTGATTATTGGCAATTATCCTACCATCCATCCAACTTATGGCCCCTTCCCTTTCAACTCTCTGTTCGCTCACTATATGCCGAATCATTTCACTGATTTCTCACGTTAAGGTGTTCCCTTCCGCGAAACCCACCACATCGCCGGCCGCGTTGTGGCGCTTGCAGAAAAAGGGGGGATCCCCATGGACAAGCTGACAATTGCACAACTACAAGCTGTTGACAACCGATTTGGAAACGATGTGTTGGAAGTGCTTGATTATGAACGGTCTGTGGAGATGAAGTCGGCTATTGGCGGGACGAGCAAGTCTGCTGTTCTGGAGCAAATTGTGACGCTTCGCAAGGCCCTTGGAGGGGCAGAGTAGATTTCTTTAACACAATCACTGGGGTGGAGTGATTCGGAGTATGTATGCACGGGAGTAAGGATAGATAAAATATACAATTGAACAAAGCATATTGGGGGATAGGATTTGGGGCAACTGATTGTACCCTTTGGGGAACTGTTCCTTCAGTAACATGAACCATCCCAGGCCCTGCTTCCAGCCATCATACATCATACCGATAAACAATAACTTCGACACAGCCGAGGTGCCTTCAGTCTCCCATGCCTAGCACGGACACACAGAAAAGGACAGCAGCTATGCTTCTTTGCAAAGCCTATCCAACAAAACAACAAAGTATTATGTAAACTCTTTTCGTAACTTATATCTCCTCCGGGACAGCTATTACTTGGTTACATTTTATTTTTTACATTTTATTTTTATTCGTGAAGCTGCTCACAATCTGAATGAATGATGCATTGGTTGTTTGATTGTTTTTATCTCAAATGAAACGAAGGAGTTCGTAAACCCAGCAGGCCTGTGAGACGCGACTTTTCTCCTACAGGCTGTTTGAAAGGTAACATTCTCAAATCTGTTAATGTTGTACTCTCCTGTTCTTTCACAATAATCCACCCAAAATAACTTGTTTTACTTTCCCGCCAGGTTATCTTCTCAGTACATGCATGCCGCAACAACCAACCAACCGTAGACGGCATTCGGCTTTTTCTGTTTCCTGTAACAAGTGGTTCCTCTGTGATCAATTACTCTGCAACAAAACGGTTTCCTCAGTTGATTCTGCTAAAAGCTGGAAGAGGGCCAGAGCCTGAGCACACAGGCTTAGAGTGTCGTGCGCTTCATGAATCGTCAATATTCGTTATTCCAGCAATTTTTTATCGCATGCGCACAGATGTGCAATGAGCTCACTCTAAAAGTAGGAAAACACACTCCCCCAGGGACCGAGGGAAATAGACCCATCAACTCGCATGTTTTTACCAAAGAAGGTTTAAAAAAAAAAAGAAAGAAAGAAAGAAAAAAGGGCCAAATTCCACCCCACCCAATGTTCGCCCCTGCATCCGGCTGCGTCCAGCCGCCAATAGACAGGAAGTTATGCGAGTTTGGCCGGTTATTCTGTGGCTTTCCTAGAGCTGGCCTAGAACAAGTCTCTCGACCTCCAGGAGTAAAAATTTTTCTCCGATTCAAAACTTCGCAGTGGAGTTGGAGTTGGCCGAGGAGATTTTGTGACCCTCGATCAAACGCCAATACGAAGACACAGCCGTTGTATCGTAAAAGGTTTGTTATATTTCCACTTGTTATGGTGGTTTTCCATGACACTTTTCATTGAGATAACTAGTTACCTAAATCTGAGAGGGCTCAAGCCTTGTGAAGATATTGTAGATGGTCAATACTCCACCTCTTGAAAAGTGACATATATTCATTCTTAAGCGAGTTGCAGTCACAGTGCTATTCATGCTCCTCTCTAGGTGTGGGCGAGGAACATATTAATTCTTAGATCCACATCTAATGACCGTACTGGTGAGAGATGATAGCAGTCATAATTACTCTGCTGGCACGATGAGTATTTGATATTTCAAGTATGGAGAAAATATGCCACAGACTCTGTTCTACCCAACCATCATGAGTCCCTTGCGGATTTCACATTAAACGTATTGATGTTGATGCAAACGTGTTGTGCAACATCCTGTTGTTTCAGTCAAACAATAATTAATGGTAATAGCCCAAGGAGAAGCCTGGGATCCATCAGCCATAGGCACTGTGAATGTTTTAATTTATTTCATTCTCTAAAGAACGACAGGAGAATAATGATAGGGAATGGGCTTAATCCCCACATACTCTTGAGGCAGAATCTAACATGTGTCACAATCCTCATGCAAGGATGCTTCGCTTTGTGTATGGCATTCCTATCCTGGGAGAATCATTAAGCCAAAGACGAGTCTATGATGATTCACAGGGTGTAAGGTGTGAGAATGGGAGATGATAAATGCCCAAATGTCACCACCTCTTTGGAAGATCACAGAACAGGGGAAATATACTTCTTCTGCGCTTGGATGAAACACTATATGCTTTTCCAAAATGAACCGGGGTCCCAAGAACAGGTTGTTCGAAGTATCCCTCTACGGGGGACCAAAAGGCGATGAGAATCCATCTTTCCTATGTACAGTCGTACTTTTTGGTAGATTACACAAGATAGTCTCAAAAACCGACAGCAACGTTAGATGCACACAGTTATATGTTTCTAGTGGGATGATTAACCTCTTGGAATGCAGATGAAGGGAGATCATTATTTCCTTATGAGCTGCCGTATTTGTCTTTCTAAAAAGCAGAATTTCATTCAATTTGGTAGATATTGTCAAAACTTGGCTTCAAATGTATGTATGATAATATGATAAATTAAGACAAAGCTTGTTAAAGGATGTTGATTGGACTTCAAAATCTTGGGTGAAATATTAAGCTTATTGTTAGCGTAGAGTTTAATTTATCCCCCTCAAAACTTGCCATGAAGAAATATGTTTGAAGGACCTGATCAAAAATTTCCGCCATTTTACACGGAACTTTTTACGAAAGGGTGATATTAAATGTCTCCGTCCAATATGAACTCTACTCTAAATTCCACGGAAAAGTTTTAGATCTCTCAATCAAGAAAGTTTTATTCATTGAACTCGTCATTTCCCGGTTTTCATAAAGCTGTAGATGTCAGAAGAAGGTCGCCAGAAATACAAAGAGCATGCTAGTAGTCATCTGGTCAACGACTGGAGGACAGTCACTCTAGGCGATTATTTAATCAGTTTGAATGGTGCCTAGAAGAGATGGACTGTTTTATGAACCAGCAGTCTTGAAGTTCCAGACTCTGCAAACATTAGGTACCTTCAACTTCTAGGGTAGTTTAAGCTAGCTTGCCTTTCTTTCCGCCAAAGGACTCACCGTGTCTTTTTTTGTCGTTAATTTTTATTTATATCATGGAGCAAAATGACCTAGATGAAGTTATTCTCCGCAGCGAGCATACCCATGGTACGTATCTCTCCGTATCTCTCCATACCTGGATATGAATGCAACAAGAGAAAGTGAAGGAAGTGTTGTACCAGGTCGTAATCCATGTATGCTGGTGCAGATTACTATAACATGTGTATTATGTATTGTCCCTCCCCGTACGGAGTACTGTACGGTAAATAGATTACCCGTGCCTAGGTTGAGAAGGCCGATAAATAACCCTCTTTTGGTGCCAAAATGGCTGGACAGGCCTTGAAAGAAATGAACACTGGCTTGAGATTGGTTGCAAAACGGTCCCCAACCTGCCTCCTTCGCGTGGTTTTCGTCTGTAGGCGTGTAGGCAAACATCTCATATTTCAAACCGGAAATGATGGGGGTAACTTGGAACCTTCAGGCGGTCACGCGACCAGCAGAAATATTCAAGATCTAAACAGGTTCCCTTTTCTCAACGAGGAATATGTTTAAAATAAATTGCTGACGAAAGCTCAGTTTCAATGAATGCATGCGTTTCTTCTAGCATGCGTGGGATGTACATACTTCCTGAGCATTGAAGGGAAAAATAAATATCATGAACAACGAACGAATACATACTTGGAAGTTGGGGGCACCTCAACTTCACGTTGACTCCCTATGGCTGGCAGCCTGCAGCTCAAAATATTAATAGCCATTCCATACAGTACTCACTCTCTGTACTGTAACTCCAATGTTTCTCGAAATACCCTGCTCAGTGAAACCAAACCATGCCCTCTTTGGCTGAAGCGCCTGTAAGGATTGGTCGCTTGTAGGCCTTACTAGGTAGCGTGTCGTGTGCTCAAGGCTTGATTTCAAGGAATAGCGGACTAGATAGACGGCAGTCTGGAGCCCGCAAGCCATCAGCCCAACCACTAGAAACTGGTGAAGAAACAAGTCACCGCAGTGAACAAACATGTTATTGGCTTTCCATATACCGTCTCGTCTTGTACACGCCGGTGTTCGCATTTCCTGTCTCTCCACACCTCGGACAAGTTTCCACTCGGTATCGCCTCACAAGTCACGCCTCCTTTTTTTTTTTTTTATTTGCCGCATCTCTTCATTCTTCTTACGAGGGCCTCCTCTTACAAAGCTCCGACAACAGGGGGAGCGTCCATTCTTTCTCCCTTTTCAACGTCAGAGGAAGAGACAGGGAACACAGTGCAGAACGAGGCACACAGTCGTTACCATATGATTGATATTCTCCTGCCCTACCAATCTTTTGCTCGAGTCCCGTTTCTTCCCCTTTTTATTCTCTCTCTTTTTCTCCATCTTTTTGGATAGCGGTGTCTCTTTAGTTTGTTGCTCCAAGGAATGGGTCTGCAGCCTTCAGCCTGCTCTTCGTCGTTGCAATAATGAACCTCTCTTCGTTTCGTGTGTTCCAGCCCTTAATCTTCTCCATATTCGTCGTTGCGATCATCTCCGCCAAGCTCCTTCATTTGTTCCAGCATGCTCACTCTATTCCCTTGCCGCGTTTTATTCTCTACTTTTTCACCTTCTTTATCCAGGATTGCTTTCTCATAGTCTTCCACCGTCTGCTGCTCTATGGCCAGAGCCGTAATATTTCGACTATCATTGGCCTGACCATAGGCGTACTTCTTGCGTAGGAACCCTCTCATCATCTTCTTAAATATCCACTCTGATTTTTGCGACTATTGGGAAGCTAACCGTTTCGACTTTTCTTTCCAGAATCGTCTCTTTGGGTGCTTCAGCGGCACAGTTCGGCTTCTATTATGTTACTGGTGGGGAGCTGCAGTGGGATGCTGCCGGAAGTGTGGCCAATGACCCTGCTGCTCTCAGACTCATGTTGAGTGGAATCGTACCAGTCAGTATCTCGGGGTTAGCTCTACTTCTGGTGTCTTGGTCGATTACTCCAGTGCTGTACATCAAAGTAGGTGGTTGGCTGGTCGTTGTTTGGAATTTGGTCTCTCCTGGGAATTGGGATGTCCTACTTCCCATCGTTCTCACGAAATCGGACTTCTCACACCAAAAAGCAATTCGTCTATGGCCCCTGTGTGTCCTGACAACTCTCTGCTCTTTGACGCTTTTGCAATTCGTTCGACCGGCAGTGCCTTACGATCACATATCCGCAACCCTACCGGTCGCCATGACCCGCATGATACGGCCCAAATCAAATTCCTGCCCCGGGCATTTGCTACCAAATGGAGAATCGTTTCCGCTTCCGGATTTGCTCACAAAAGACCGATGGATAATGCCACATGATAACTACAAAGGATGGGCTCCCGGACAGGAAAACTTTTTCGTTCAGCAGTACGCTGAGAGGCAGCGGAAGTGGATTCCAGACACACTGCCTGCTGGATTCGAGCGGTGGAATAAGAAACAGAAAATGGGTCAGCCATTGGCGAAAAACAATTCAGTCCCCACCAAAAATAGCAAGGATAAGTGCCCCAATTTGGGTGGAACAAATTACTATAACCCTGTGGCAGATCCACTACGGATTTCCAATTTGAACTTGGCACCGCTTGAAGAACTCCGCAAGGCCTTCCAGGACGTGCTGATCTCGCATGTTGTCCTTGTGACTTTGGAGAGCACACGCAAGGATATGTTTCCCATCATGGACGGATCGTACCTCCACCGTAAGATCCTTGGGTCCTACAAAGGCGATGATGAGAACAAGGCCCTAGTCAATGAGAAGTTATCACAGCTGACTCGTGTGGCGGAACAAGTCACTGGACAGTCATTTTTTTCCTCCGCTGAACCACAAACACGGCCTGGACTCTTACCTGGTGTATGGCGGGACCAGGCTGCTCCAGGTATGGGAGGCATTAATGTTGTCGGAGCCGTTACTGGGAGCACTCTTTCTTTCAAGAGCGTTATTGGCAGCCACTGCGGTGTTGGGCCCCTCCCTCGGGATTTCCTTGAGGAGGTCAACGCGCAGATATACCAGCCTTGCATCCCTCAGATCATGGAGCTTTTCAACAATCAAAAGAAATCCAACGATGGGAAAGACGGGAAAGAATCATTACTTGAACATCGTGCCAGTGTACATCGAAGAAAATGGGAATCGGTATTTGTTCAATCAATCACGGACCAGTATGATCGACAGGATGAGCTCAACCAGCACATGAACTTCGGACAGTCCTTCGTGAGGGAGACACTTGACAATAAAACGTCCAAGTATTACACACCAGACGCTGAAGAGATTAACTATTTTGGGTACGTTGTTAGATTATGCTACATGTGAAAAAAAAAACAATAACTGACTGGAAGTTAAAGATATGCCGAAACTGCGGTCAAACCTTTCCTTCGTGACTTGATATCAGACGTTATTGCAAGCAACAAACGCCTTTTCCTCTCGCATTTTACAAGCACCACTCACCATCCCTGGGGAGTACCAAAGAGTTTTAATAAAACGGAATATATGGGCTCTGAAGGTTCTCATGAGCACATGAACGATTTCCTGAATGTTATTCACTATGACGATATGTGGCTGGGAGAAGTCCTTGGACTCTTGGATGAACACGGAATCGCAAACGAGACTCTCGTTGTCATGGTTGGCGACCAGTAAGTTCACACATTCTTCCATGGCAACCCACCCATTATATATCCATATACATACTAATACATATTCTCGCAGCGGCCAAGCATTCGCAGAAGACTCCAAACTCACAGGCACATATGAGAACGCCCATATTAGCAATTTCCGCGTTCCCCTCGTATTCCGTCACCCTCACCTCCCACGTCTCCAAATCAACGCCAACGCAACATCAATGTCCATTCTCCCTACTATTCTCGATCTCCTCGTTTCCACAAAGTCCCTAGACGCTGTCGATACTTCCGCAGCCGCAGATATAATGCACGACTACGAAGCCCAATCTCTACTCCGCCCTTACCAAACTTCGCTCAACGGCCGTCAGGCCTGGAACTTTGGCGTAATCAATGCTGGAGGCGCATTGCTCTCCATCATCTCGGCCGATGTTCCTTACCGGATTGTAATCCCGCTCTCCGGCAATTTCATGTTCCGCTTCACCAACACTGCCACCGATCCAAACGAGCTCCATCCACTGGAAAAGTGGACGCTGATAGATCTCATCAAAGTCGTCAGGCAACGGTATGGTCAGGAGGCAGCTAAATGGGCGGCGGAAGCTGATGCCATTGGCAGATGGTGGGTTACCGAGATGCATCGTTTGTATAATTATAATTCTCGATGATAGATATGTTTGGATATATTCTCTTTTTCCACATTCTTCATGTCTTGGGTGTCTCGCTGGCTGTGCATAAGAAAGATAAGTTGATCTTTTTAAACCAGTTTTGACATATTATTTCATTTCAATCATTTGGCGAAAAGGCATAATTTAGCGATGGTGGCATGCTTTCTAACGTTTCGGATACTCGAAGAGTTGCTATCTTTAATACATGGTTGGTTCTACTGCTTCATTTTGGTTCTTGTTATTGGATCAATGTCTACCAAATAGTAGGCGTTTTTCGCTCGCTGCTTGCTTTTTTATTTTTCCATCAGTCTTCAGCTTGGGGTTCACGGAGTTTTTGTTTTCATGATTGTGGCAACATGTCTAATTTACTGGCTGATGGAGATTATATAGAATAATGTCTTTTGGCTACCTTGGTTTTACTGTCTCTCTCCACCCTCTCTACTGGAGCTCCATGTTCAGTCCGTCCTTTTTATCAGTCGATGAGATACAACTCTCCGACGGCAGAAAGGAGACATTCACCTGCTTTTCTTAGCCCCTGAAAGCTTTCCAATCATATCGCCCGATTCTTTTATCAAAGCAGGATCAACATGCCCTTCCCAATCTCAACACCACATTCTAAAAGATACGTAATCATGGTTCATCTCCTTTCTTCATTGCACACTCAAGCGCTGTAATCACACCAACGATGTTAAATTCATTGATAGCCCCCACTGAGTTCTTAGGGACCAGCTAAGGAATCCGGCAACAATTTTGCCATGGGCACATTGGAATATTTGACAACTTCAATTAGTGACACTAGATCTCTTGTTTCAGTAACAGAGGGAGGGTTTCTTCCCGGGTTACCACAATCAGGCATCTTTGGTGCAGCCACCGTCCTTTCATGATGCAACCACAGGCTCACCTCATCCACAATTACACCTCCTCCAAATTCCCAATGCAAGTTTCTCTCCAAGTGGGTCGAGAATCAATGGCACTCAATAAGCAGCCTCAGCAGCGGTTATGCATGGCCGATATGCCGCCCAGGACACCAAATCCGCATCCTCGCACTTTCGAAATGCAGAATCCCACATCTGAAGCCAGATAGGAACCGATAGGTCGACTTCACAACGCAGCCGCTCCAAGCGCAACTCTCTCTCGTACTCACGCCACAACAATAATTAAATCCATCCACACAAGGACCACTCGTGCTATCATCGCCCTGAAGTACCACCTCTCCTTAATGTTTTAAGGAGCAGCTGAGGATAACATCAGCGATATCAACATGTACTCTCTGGACAGCCATCGCAATCGGCAACATGTAGTAAGGTTGAACGCTTGTAACTGTCCTGCTTCTGTCGCTAGCATCTATGCCGCGGCCTAGGAGTAGGTTGACGGTTTCCAATGTCCCGCTCCGGACGGCTTCATGCATCAACCTTGTCCTCTGAAAATCTTCGTTAGAGATGCTAATGCCGACGGAGACACGCACATTTATTAGTGAGCGCAAGCAGTGGGAGAAGCCGCGCGATGTTGCGAGAATGACGTAAAAGGGGAGTTCCTGTTTCAGATTGCAGGCCTGTGGTTTTGTAGAGAGTAAACAGCGGTGATGATAACAGAGTTGTTGCTATATCTGAGAGCAGGGGAGTTAGTCGGAGCCTCGTCCTCATCCCATTGTCCTTCGCAGGCGTCGTTGTAGTAGCCGTCATCCTCCTCAGAGGACATCCTTCTCTTCATCAGGGGTCTATTGCGGTTTTCACTCACTTGATCGATCCAACGGGTTACAGCCATTTCAGTAATTGCTTGCTCCCTTGCATAGGCAAGGAATGTTTGGATATTACAGTTTTTCAGGAGATGTTTTGTTAAAGTGGTGTTCCAGAACCCTGTATAGAACCTAATCAGCAATATACTTCGTATATCCATGCCGTGTAAATAAATATCTGCTCAAACCGCAAGACACGTGCATCAATCTCAAACTCGCTGATGAAGCAAGGTATGAAAAGAGAGATCCCATATCGGAACGTACAGCATACACAAAGGCTGTTGCCCACCAATTCTCTCCACTGTTTCTCAGATTGTACATTCCGTGCCGCAAGCGAGATCTCTGCGATAATCATTTCATGGATCTCGAGCGGGAGGCTGGGTAACCTGAGCTCCTGATGTTTGGAACTGCGTCCATCACCCTGGACCCCGGGTTCCAGCGATTGTTGCTCCAGTTTCCCTGCCATTGGATGTCCCGGGTAGTGTCGAGATTGGATTATTGGATTATATCCGGAATCTTAGTGTTTCCTCTTGCCCTTACTGGGGATGGATGGATTGACTGCGTTTTCCCGTTACCAGGTCCCCAGAAGCATGCAGATAGGCTTGTCAACGTGTATTTGTAAATTGTTTATCGCGAGCAACCGTATCACAACTTGAGAAATATTTGATGCCGTGCTAATTTAATCAAAGACAAAAACGAAGTCAAGAGGAGGTTCATACATGAAAAATGCCAATTGTTGCCTGACACCACCAAATATATCTAGCTCGGTTTTGATTTTATTTAGCTCGTTGGCTAACTCCGTAGCTGAACGGAGCTCGAGGATTGCGTGTATTGATTGTTATTTCTTTGGAGAAGTACAAACTGAGATTTATGGAGAATGAGACATGGTTGATTTCACTTTTGATATGACTTGCGAAGTGAAATTTTCCGTCACCCTGGAATAGGAACATATTCAGTTGCCCAAGTTGTAATTTTCCCTATCATTAACTAGTCATTCAAGAAAGTGTAGGGACAGATATTTCCAAGGGGATATTTGCACACAGCCAAAGGGGCAATAAGTATGAGATAATGTAGAGATATGAAACATCCATGGATGCAAAGAGATGCCAGCAAACGAGCCACTCACGATCAGCGGCCCGACAAAGGGCAACCGTTCACCTTTTTAACTGTATATCCGAGAAGGAACAAATGCACATATAGAAACAAAAGAAACTAACCTGCCTTTTTTTCCCTTCTTCTTCTTTTCTTCTTCTTCTTCTTCTTCTTTTTCTTTCTCTCTCTCTCTCTCTTTTTTTTCGGTTTGTTTTGTTTCTGCCCGCTCCTAGTCAACAGAGGCCAAAGGCGAAGATTGAAAACGCAGAGAAATGGGCACAGCTGAGCTGAGGGGAAGCACTATTGGCCCATCCATCCATTCCAAATTCAATCCGATCCTAACCCGTAAGCGCCAACTTCCCATCCGGAGATAGATTTCAGATCCAGAAGATAATATAATAATCCAAACAATAAAATAAGTAAACGAATATAAACGATCGGAAAGAGTAGAAGGTAGAAAGGAAAACCATGGAAAATACACACATTTGGTACACATCCGCACACACATACATACTCCGCTATGTCAAAGATAACCACTCCCTTTGGTTTATCCATTTCAGTTTCAAAACAACCCCATCTTCCCACCCTCCCGTTTAATTCCCTCCCGCAACTCAACCAAATTAGGGAACTCAAGTTCCAAATCCTTCAGCAGCCGCTCGCCACGATCTTTTCTTGAAAGACGGAGGGTCTCTTCCAAAAGTCGGATGTCTTGTTGTATCAGTCGGTGGGAGTCGTGTAAAGAAAGTACCAGCAGCTCGTCTGCATATTGGCGAAGACGATGAAGGCGGGACTCGAGGTCCGACATTTGAGATTGGGCGTGATGCTTTGTGGAAGACGTTGAAGAGACGTTGAATGGTTCGTGTGGGACGAGTGCAAGGGGTGGTGGGAGGGCACCAGGAGGATTGGTACATGGCGCAATTGGGTGAACGTAGACCATGGCAGAGGATGATGTTGATGTTGTGAGCGAATGGGTGCGCGAGCTGGGGGTTGTGGGGGTGAGGGGTGAGGCCGTTCCATCGCCAAGATCATTCTTAATGTCTCGGGAAGGGTGCAATTCGTGCAAAGGTGCCATGGGAAGTTTATCGCGTGAAGCCGCCGCAACTTTGGCGAAGGGATTTATTCCGTCACTGGATTCAATGCGGCTGGGCGTAATAGAGTCTATACCACGACCGCAATTCGTATCTCGTTGTGATTTGAGGGGTGGGAGCGAAAGTTCATCATCATGTGGTGAGGGCATTTGCGTAATATAGTCGATCCCATGGAGGGTCTTTCCTGTTGATATGTCATTCCGGGCTGGCCGTGAAACTCTAGCGCTGCCGTCGGATGATCGAGGGAGTTTTGCTGGTGGGAGACCGCATTCTGCGTTTGTTGGCTCTGTTATTATGATATCTCGATCTTTATGTTGGAAGCCACCACATGAACGATCCGATTTTGGAGTTGGAAGGCCCGGCAGTGATGATGGCACAGATCTGAAGGTAGATTCTGCTATGGGTACCACTGGAAGTGATCGCTTCTGAGATTTAGCGGGGACGACATATATAGACGAGTTTGAGGGTGCCGGAGTTCTCTGGTTTGAATTGAGTCAGTACAAGGAGGGTCCGGCCTGGAGGAGAGAAATGTCAAATGAAGTATAATTGGAAAAATAACTGACCCGTTTCTGATCGAAAACATTATCTGTAAAACCCATAATCTTCCCACGCGGGTCGGCAGGTTTGACTCGACGTTTTGAAGCTGGTTTTTCAGACTTTACATATGCGGATGGAAAATGGCAGCACTAATGGAGGGACCCAACTTAGTACAATGAAACAAGAGGTTGTTAAAACACTGGATCTGAAAATGAACAGGACTAGAAGATCACCGGAACTTACCCGACAATTGCACAGTTCCAAACATTTTGGACAAGCCCATAATCCGGGAAGGCGCATAATATCAGCAGAATGCATATCAAAATGACGGAACAGACCACGGAAGCAAAAGAAAGAAGCGCATGTGTCGCATCGCCTCCCTTTCCATTCCAGGTGTTCAATCCTGCATAGGTGACATAGTTTGATGGCAGTGCTCTGGCGTGCCCGCATTAGATCGTTTACCGCAGTTCCCAAGGACTTACGGCGACCTATATTGGTGGTATCTTCGACCTTATATCCCAGAATGGCTTCCCCTCGACGGATGACCCGGGAGCAAGTCTCTGGGGTGACGATTTCGGCCCATGTATAGCTTGAGAGGTGTTCGCAGCTTCGCCCACTAAGGAAGCAAAGCAAGCAGAGGTCGAAATCCTTGCATTCATTGCACCGTAGATGTCGATTCCAGATGGCGGTGCCGCAGAAATCGCAGGTTGCAATAACAGTCTCTGGTATGCGAACTAATGCGATTAGAGTGACTGGCTGATCATCAATTATTTCATCCCTCACCATTTGGGAAAAGAGCTTGGCCAGTAAGGGCAAGTCTGGGGGTAGAGCTCCAGGCTTGTCCTGTAATAAACTTAGCATAGCGCAAGCAAGAGAGAGATTGGAACGCGCAACATCTGGGTGGCACAGGCGGTTGAAAGGAGGTTGCACGTAGTTGAGCCCAGCCTCCAGTGACAGTGGGTGGAGGATGTTCCAGACCATCTTCGTGGATATCGCCCCGAGATTCCAAACCTGGTGGGCTGTTGCAGGTGGGAAGACTACAAGCTCTCCGACTCTCTGCTCGTGGACATAGAGAGGGAAGTCTGCCTTCCGTAGTTCGTCGGGGGATAGGTTAAACCAGTCCACATGTGGGGAGGCACCATGAGCGACCATGAATGCATCATATTTGACCTGAGATTCAAAGTCCGTCCCAAAGCAGAAAACGGGTAGGTCTAAAGCGCGAGGTATCAGCTCTGAAAATCCCGTATAAAGGAGATAGCTCCAGAAATTGCATTCATACCACTCGCTTCAACCAAAAGATTCAACGCGACGGTGGATGAGAAGCATCTATGGAAGCCAGACCTAGCATGCGTCAATAACGTGAGAAAGGCACAGATAAATACAAACTCTGGGCACTTACGAGGAGCCTTCTGAGCCGACATAAGCCATCATGACTTCACTGCGGGCACACGAAGGCAGCCACTGAAATAAATCCACTCTCCCACCCCATTGCACTTCGGGTGGAAGAAGCCTCCTACATACTTCCAGCCACGCCTCCGGACATTGCAAATCCCGTGCATAGAGGTTCTTGAACTCTCTATATGACTGACGCGCCGTGTCTGCAAATTTCTTGAGGGTAAAACTGAGGTCCCTTGACGTACTGCAATTCCGAATTGGAATATCTAGTAAATGGAGTTAACAAAATCCAAGATGTGAAGATATCCACATCCATTTAATAATAATGGGTTTTGTTTGAAAAATACAAAAGGAGCAGAAAAAAGAAAATGAGAAAATGAGAAAAAAAGAAAAAGAGAAAAAAAAAAATCCAAATAATTTATTATAGCGCCTTACTTTTCTTCGTCGACAGCTCTATTAAGCTCTCAATGGAAAACAATTTTTTATCCCAATGCGGTAATTTCTCGAAGTCCTGGATCACAAACGGCTGACCGATGTGAAGTCTCTCGGAGAGCCAGTCTGAAAAGGGATTGGACAAGTCACTGCTTGTGTTATTAACCCTACCATCGACTGAGCCATTGTTATTTCGATATCCAAAATTTCCGGCTCCACCACAAACCCCAGTGGTCCTTTGAAGGTCGAGGATTGAGTAGCGCGGGAACTCGAGAAACGGCTTGCCACCAGCCAGCAAGTCCGCGGATCGAATTGAAACAAGCGGGACAACAGCTTGAACATCCGGGGGGGCTTTCTTGAGAGGAACAGTCGACATGATCAAGCCGGCCTGACCAGCGATCCTCTTCAGTTGAAACAGGCAAAAGTTAAAAGGTCATTGTGGATCCAAAAACAGCTAGGTGGTTTGCGATATCCTCCTCTTTCTCTTTTTCTTTCAAGATGATGAAGATATGAGAGAAGATCTCGAAGGTATATGTATATATATTATATATAGGCAACGTTATTTCAACAAACCCAGGTTTTGATATTTGGGACGACTTTCGAGGTAAGTTATCCGAATCGTGGATATGCGTACCTGGATCCAAAGCCCAACGAAACACGGAGAGATAAAGTTGAGGAGTACCAGACGACGCATGGAGCGATGGTATTTAAGTGGCAATCTGAACGGGCCAAAAAAAGAACCAGGTTGAACGAACAGAATGAGATGCAGCGATAGTCAGGCCTGGAATTTTGCGATGCGGGACGAGGAGATCGAGAGGGGTTGGTTGTGACGGTTGCGCTTTGAACCTCGGAGAACCCGACAGATGGCGGGAGTTACTTAAGGGGCGATTACGGCGATGGTTGATACATGGTCACGAAGTAACTTATCCTTTAATAATCATTTATCTCCATTCCCGGAATTGGAAAACGCGGGTGCAAGGGATAAACAAATAGTAGTTATCAGAAGACGATCTTGAACTGTTAACTCCTCTACGGCGACAGCTCTACACAGAACAGCCAGTTCATCCCGCAAAGCATCCGCGCCATCGCAATTATTTATTAGTTAGGTGGAACCTCGGAGGGTTGGATAATCGCTGACCCGACCCTCCCCTTGGGCTCTGTGGCTGACTGTCGAGATGAATCGCAGAGTGCGAGATAAACTCGTCCACTGATACAGGACCAGCCCTGGGCAATATCAGGCTGCATTATTATTATATATGGCCGGTTGATTAAAAGAGTTAGCACCGGGCTTCAATACCCGGACCCCTCCTCTGTTTTTTGCTGCAAACGATGGGCCATCGTCGATCAATGAATCAAGTCGATAATACTCATAAAACATCCCAAGGTTTGGGGAGAGTTTTCGTTCGCTTCTCTCCTAATATGTCGGCGAAAACGGAATGCGACAACCGTCAAAAGTTGAGATTGGAGAACAGCTTCCCGGGTTGCGAGAGCTCCTAGGTCGGTAAACTGGACTCAACTAGTTAGATATCCCCATTGTATGATGCCACATCACAACCCGTGCCGAGAGACGATGGCAGCAATTAGCAGCGTTGATAATTTTTTTTTTTTCTAGGGGGTTAACGTTAAACAAAAGCCCGTGTCAGGTCGGAACGGGGTCAATTCCGGTGTTAAACAGCACGTGATATCACCTTTCGGTTGCCCAACTGCAGCAACGGGCTTCATCAGCAACTGAGTTATACATATACACACACACACACACACACACACACACACACACACACACACACACACACACACACACACACGCATCCCGTTTCCCATACTCCCTTCAAGCTCACACCATGGAGAACGCCCAAGCGGTTCAATATCTTGAGTCCCTACTTGGCAAAACGCTCAGAATTCATACATCAGATACAAGGCTTTTCGTTGGTACTTTCAAATGCACTGACAATGTAAGCTCATCGGTAGCCCACCTCGACTCAACCAGCACCGAACCCCAGAGCAGCCAACTAGCCATGAATGGTTCTGTTCCTTATCTAGGAAAATGGAATCAATCGATTCATGAATCATTGCATCTGACCACTAACAAGCCGCCAACAGGATCGCAACATAATTCTATCCACCACTCACGAATACCGCTACCCTTCCTCCGTCCCCTGCGTTGTCTCCCCCAATGCTACAGCTACAGATGATACACCCGCGAACTCTATCGAAGAAGGCGAAACCGCAACTGCCGGTGTTGTCAAGGCCGATATGACCAGTCGCTACATTGGCCTCGTAGTTGTGCCTGGCCAGTATATCACCAAAATTGAGCTGGATGACATCCATCCACCACAAGTAGGGAGTGCATGCGAGGAACCACTGGGGTGAATATCCTGACCATCTATCCCCCTTGTTGCTGGAAAAAGTATAAACGCAGAAAACTATTGAAGTTGAAATCCAAACCACGGCGATTGAATAATTCTTGGAGATTTCGTTCAGCCGTTCAATCATTACTAAGTCTAATCCGCGTAAACGTTCTTCGGCGATTTCCACATGTATTCCCTCTCATGGAAGCTCTGACAACCAACTGAAATGGGCCCAACTGAACTTGAAGAATCGTCTCGTCTTGACCATCTGCGCGGTCGGATATGTGCATATGCGAGAATAGGACGGACCATCGGAGTTCCAGTCCACGAAATGATGACACGGGAATGGGGAAGAGAAGAAACAGGTTCGTCACGTGTGCGGTTTGTGGCATGCATAGCGAGTATGGGTATGCCAAAGAAAGTTGGGCAAATCTACATATCCGTTTGCGTTGAAGTGGCTGTATGTGTTGAAATGGGGCCCACCTGGCTATTGCGACTCGACTTGTTCTCATGGCGAAAATGTCCATCATTCGGGCCAACTGAATTGAATTCCTCGCCGGGAGGTTTTCGTGGTCGATGAACTGGGTTATAAGCTCTGCCGGAAATATAGAGAGATACCTTACACCTGCCGTATATGCCCGCAATATAGCCCGCAATATATTATTATTATTAGTATTATATCTACCACCCTTTGCTCCCTGATTAATACACTCCCGATTGAATAAATATGCAATCATCGTGGCCAGTGCGGCAAAACATCTGGCTTTGTTTCAACATAGCATGTCTGCAAACATGCCAGCTGAATCGAATCAGACTCGCAGAGCAGTCGGTTAATACGAAGCCCCAGAGTCATTCCCAAAGCAGAGGTCGCATTCATATCATCCCACCTACAAGACTATATATGAGCTCGCAAGAAGAGTGAAAGTTCCTGTCCCCGTAAGCGATTTCAAGGGGCATTTACAATAAGTACTAAGGTATATAGTAGGTATCAAAACGGTGTGCAGTGGTTGCAAGTCGAAGGGGGAAATAGAAATACGGTTGACGGAAACCTTGCGCCACGTGGTAGTTATATATATGTATGTATGTATGTATGTATGTATGATCGACTTTGGGGAATTTGAAAGGCAGAAGGGAAGGAAATTTCCTGCAAATATTTATTTCTCACCGGGGTTTTGGCTTTGGCTTTTCATATTTCAATCTTGCCCTATCTCCTAGATCGCTGCTTATTTCAAAATTCAAGATTGATACACAACGCCATGAAGACGAACATACAAGGACTAAACTAACTAATCTCACGCAGAATATACATCATATTAAACGTACATAGTAATGTGTCTTATTAGAAAGTAAAATTGGAGCGCAACGAGAGGAAGATATACGGAGTGAATCACGCAAAATTCAGGGTTTTTCAGGGTATAAATATAGAGCAAAAAAAAAAAAAGAAAAGAAAAGAAAAGAAAAGAAAAGAAAAAAAGAAAAAAGAAAAAGAAAAAGAAAACAAAAAGAAAATCCAGACGTTAAAAAATACATGGGAGGCTTCGGAAAATAGGATAGATCGGATTTAAAACATCGCTCAGCTCTTATAAGGAAATTGGCATTAAACGGAAGAAAGACACAAGATGGGTCTTATATAATTCGGAGGATCAAATGAAAAATAGAAACGTGGGAGGGCAAGATAGATAGAGACAATACAGTCCAAGATGCCATATCAAAATAGGGGCGAAGTTCCAAGTGGGAGAGCTAAAGGTTTCCGCACCAGAACGGGTCATACAGCTCCCGACTAGTTCCACCGGGGAAAGGATTTGGCAGTTTGGTGCTGTGCATACAACTGTCCCGGAAATGTAGAGGCCGGTGGGTTCCCTTGGGAGCGTAGGAAAGTAAGAGCGACCTCTGCAGCGTCTTCTTTGGCGTTGTTTGTATTCTTGCCGTCATAAAAGTACCGCGCGACATATGTTCGCCCCTGGATAGTGACGGTGCTAGACCATGCCGTGCGGCCCCCTGGAGCAGAAAGGAAGAGAGAGAGAGAGAGAAGGGTCAGCAGCTGGTAACGAACTTGTCCACATTGGTTATAACAGTTTGGTTTCTTGTTCATCATCATAGAGAGCCTGAGCTATATCCAAAGTTATTGAGAGAGAAATTGTTGAATGGGTAACTATTCCCGACAAGAGCTGCAAGACCTTTTCTCCTTTTTCTTTCCAAAGGACGAGAGAAAGTTCAAGCGTAATGAAGAGAGGGAAGGGGGGGGCTACCTCGACGGTCTGACATAAGATTGAAAACTGGTGTTTGGATATGGGATGCTTTGCAATGATCTTCGTGGAATTTAGTACTTGACAATGTAGGAGTTTAGTTGTTCAAAGATATGTCAGACCTTGAAGCTTCTCCTGCCATGTAGCAGGTTGAACACAGGTGGTTCGGCGGGCAGAATGGGCGGCACGAATGGTAGCCATGCTGAATATGTTTAAAGGATATCAAGATGGAAGGGAAAACTGAGGCAGCTCGGGGATATAAAATGGACTCAAGCAGTATTGGCAGTGCTTGGATGGTTGTATAAAGGCAATGGAGAGCAGCACAACATCACTTATTGAAGAAAAGAATCTTAGAATCTCGATGGGAGGGAAGCAAAAGGTGTTTTTTCTGTGAGGAAAAATATGTTCTTTTGCTACGTTGAGGAAATATAGAAACCAAGAACCAGAAGAATTGCAAATCATATTATAAAGTAAGCAAAGCGAGGAGGGAAAATGACAACCCACACACCCATGAACTCTAGTGAAGTTCATGTTGCTTTGACAAGAGCAATGAAGGAGCCTAACAAGTCAGTCTGAGTATGTTCAGTTAACTTCCACATTTTTGGTGGTGTCTCCCACACACACAAACACACTCTCTCTGTCATTCATCCAGCCAGCTCGGAAACTGACATGGAGAAGCCTCATTGATCTTGAGACGAGGCTGATGGAACGGCCCGCTGCCTGCACTTTCCATGAGATTCCGTGTTGAACTTCAGGAACTAGGTGGCTAATTAACTTAGGGACCCTGACACATAGGAAAGCAGCTCTCCTAAAAGGGAGATTGAAAAACATGGGATTTGCAAGTGGATTGCCAGTTGGGTCAACAAGTCAGACCCTCGATCCAAACACAAAAGAGATGGAGATATGAAGAGACATTCAGGGATGCAAAACAGGTCTGGGTTGGTCATGGGTAGGCCTGAATAGCTCGATACTGGGCTTTTCAGCCCCCTTCGTGCTTGGAATAGACAAGACAGTATCAACGCAGTAGTGCAACACTTAACTGAGATAGGCTACTGAACGAGACGGTTGGGCAGCGGAAATCAATGAATGAACCCAGCAAAGACTTGCCAGCTCATCAACAAAATAAAAGGGAAAAGACAGTCAGGGCACAAACCACTTCATAGGGAGAGTGAGGCATGATAAAGCCGAAGGAAAGGAAAAGGCGGCCAGAAGAGAAGCTTTTAGTCGCATTTGCTTCCAACCAAGGGGGCGAACTTGAGGAAGAGAGTGTACAGCAGGGATTCTCCCCGGCCTGGGCCTGTAAGACGGATATGGAATGAAAACTGACAAGAAAAGAACTGTGGAGAAGCCTGAATCTGGATGGGAAGCTACGTAGATTGAGCAAGTCGAGGGCAAGTGATTGATGTGCTTTCCAGCCAGGCCGACATGCAGGAAAAACGCGGCGCCAGCTGGGAGTTATGGACTTAGCCCGTCCGCGAGCTGTCGATGACCTGGAGGTACGTTCCGGGCTTTCTTGCTACCATGATTCGTTGGATTTTTTTTCTTGGTGAAGTGGAGGTTGGGCACACATACCTGCATTGTCAGCACGACACTCCACAGTTCAGAAAACTCACAGAAAATTAAAATGATTGACGGGGCGGTTTCAAAATAGAAGAGAAAAATTCAGCAAAGAACTGAATGCAAATGTGGAGGAATGCGGGGTTGGGGTTGAAGCTAAATGATGAAGAAGTTGTGATTCCAGCTTCAAAAAGTCCTCAACATCAACAAGATGATAACTAACTTGATGTTGAAAATGCCAATTGATGAGGAGTGAAGCACCTAATTATCCACCATATCCACCATTAGGGTATGTAGCAAGTAGTTATGCAAATCCCATTATGAGCTTCTGAAGGGGCCATATTAAATAAATAAAGCTGAATTTAATTTATCCAATATCCAATCAATGACGGGTGAACCAAAATTATATTTAAATGCTCCGAATCTATATACGGCTTTCTTATCTCCAAGAAAAGAGATCATCAAATACAAACTGCATGAACTCAGCAAAAAGCAAAAATAAATAAAAATAAATCCCAGCCACGTTTCATCGTTAAAAAGTCCCGTTCATCCCGAATGCTGCCCATTCCACCGGTCCCGGTAGCCAGCTCCTTCTGCGGACCAGCACATGGTTGTTGATAGATGTGGTGTTTCTGGGTGTCCCCTGTTAACGCCGCCTGCATAATGATCGTATCCTGCGTCTGCACTAAACCAGATTTTCCAGAAAGAAGAGTGATGGTTTGCATGAAAAATGCGCGGTTATCTCAGTACATAAACCCAGGCTCAATGATATATCATGATATGGGTTTGTTGTATGGCAGCGCCAAACGAAATGGAACCTCAATTGCTAGTGTCCAAGACGGTCAGAAATCATATCCCCAGCTGTAAAAATATAATAATTCATTAGGTTGGGACAAAGCAAAAAGTCCACGTCAATAAACGTAAGTCATTATAATCAAAAATTAACAGCAAATACATAGTGGAAGACAAGAGGAGGACGACGATGGTTCTATGTAGCCATCAAAGAGCACATGCAACCGCGGGAATATAGCCTAAGCATGCGTGAACCTCTGCCGGAGTGAGGTGTGTTGAGACCCTGTCGAGCTACGGCGATGAAACACCTTCTCTATAATTTTATTCGAGGCCACTGAGTCCATGCTCTTCATGAGAGACGTGGTCATGGGATTGTGTGAAGAAGATGTTCTTTTGTTCTGCCATCGACGTTTAATACTGTCATCTACTAGAGCCATCAGACCAGTGGCAACGATGACACTACATCGTCCGTTAGCAGTTTGCAGTCATGATGTTTCAATGTGGGGGGGGTTCTTCAAAATAGGTACATACTCAGCAACATCTTGCATGCTTTCATACACTGAAGTATCGCTGATCCACAAAGAGCAGGGCGGGATCCAGCCGCCTTTGTTCTTTTCTTCCAGAGCTTCAAGGGGGGTTAGAGCATCTGGGATAATGTGGGCCACGGGTTTTGACTTGGATGAATGATAGAGATCATACGAGATTTCCTTGGAATTTCCGTCCTTTCGGCTGGTTCTTCGCCATTGATATCTCGTGCTCCAATATTCAAAGTCATAATGCTTGGGGCCTTTTGTACCTCTTCGTTTAACATCAACGTGCGCATAATTGGAGAACTCGAGTTGGATAGTGTTTGTCGGCTCAGGGCTTCTGGGTCTAGGAAGAGATGACGTCGAACCTCTCCGTTCATCAGCCTTGTCATTATTTTCCGTTATTGACTTGCATTTCGAGTCTTGTTTCCACAGACCGCTGGTGGGGTTGATCGAATCAGACCTGGACCGTAGAGTGGAGAAAGCATTACTCAAGGGGCGCTGGAAAGCAGAGAGGTCGGTCGAGGGTTGATGGTACTTCCTGGTTGAATGGCAGACCTCTCTCCCAGACTCTCTGCAGTACCGCCGAAGTGAGAATTTCCTGGCATGTAAATCGTACATGCGAAGGTGGAAGAGTATGATTTCGCACTGGCCTCCCTCTGGCAGCGGTGGAATGGTGCCAACACGCAAATTCAAGTTTCCATCAATTGTGGTATCATCATGTTGTATAAGCAGTCGCCTTGTCGATGGGAACAGCTCTGCGAAGCTTGATGCAGTTGACGGGATAGCCTCTGCCGGAAAATTCTCATATCTGTCGTCAACAACTTCAATTGGCGGTTTGTCATATATGCCATTTTCATCATCTTCTTGTTCTGATATTATTGTCGAGGCGCATGTGTCTGTTGACTCTCTCTCCTCCACTCTAGCATGAGGGCTATGTTCCTCAAGCGTGATCAACATTGGTCGTTGACTGTAAGCAGTTTGGGAAGTGTTGTGTGAGTGATCAGACCTATCACTAGACGCCCATGTGGTGGAACTATCAGTCCTCACCGCGAGCTCTCGATGCGTTCGTTCGATGCGTTCCATGTTGAAAAGAACTAGAAATGGAGGACGGAGAATGCATAAAAAAATTAAAATGAAATGAAATAAAAAAAGGTTTATTCAATTGACTCTGCGGGGATTGATGTGAACCAGGAAAGAGTGAAGTTAATCAAACAAGAGGGTGAACAGCAAGACGGAACACGCTCTCTTTGAAAAAATACAAATTATAAATATGGATACATGGCTGTTCAAGATCCCGAACACTTTAGGAATAACAAAATTTGAACGATATCCACAGGAAGAGAAATACCATGGAGTATAGGAGGGGTTAATACCATGCCAAAGTCGAAGATCGGTACGTTGCGGACGGACACGTCAAAGAGTCCTCAGAACGACGATCGAGTGGGCGGCTGCAAGGTTGGTATATTGCACCGGCTCTGCTGTGATGGTAAATAATGAAACAAGCAGGATAACAACGGGAAATAGCACGAGAAATCCCGAGCCTCAGCTGCGAGGAGGGGGGGTTGGTTGGATGGTGGGGGTCAAATAAATATCATTGGTAGCGAGAAGCAGGGACTCCATTCCAGCTTGAGGGTAACTCTGCCAGTCGAAGCTTTTGTTGGGGAATTTCGCATCACTGGTGACTCGTGAGTGCAGTGCCAGCCCTAAAACCGGCTCAAACCAACAGTGAGATCACATAGGTGCTACTGACGACTTGTGAGAAGTGTGGATCCGATGCTGCATGCTGTTTGGGTTGGGACTTGGCGCACGATTGATTTATGGTGGTTGAAAAAACATACGAACAGTTGAACCGGGTGGGGGTCTGGCTAACTCCTGACGGACTGGTCCCGTCATACCACAGTTTTCTAGGAGATGCGTTGTACTAAAGGACTTTCAAGCCCTAGCTGAGCATGATAATGCCAGTCATCTTCATCAGTTTGACCATAATCCTGCCTTCCAGTCACATTCAGCGAACGATCAGTCGACTTCAAATACCTGATCAAAGCATACACGCCAGTAACTGAAAAAAAATCCATGTTAGGGCTCTTTTGGATGACGCCCACGCAAATATCCTTTCGCTCTTGACTTTGTTGCCCGATTTGGGGATCGTTTGAGTCCTGTTTTACAACCAGACATCGAAAAATATGCATGGAGTGTGAACATAATGGTGTTTAAAGACCAGTAGCATTTTTACCTTTGTTCACTGCTTTTTTAAGGCCGATCCCGTGTTGAACTGGAACCAATGAGCTACAACATCGTCTGCATTACATCAAGAAGCGGCAAATCGAGTGTTCTCAAGTGGAGAACTCTGTCCAGAACAATCCCTGAACTGGCCTTGAGTACCCTCGTCCAGTACATTCTGTTTGTAGTTTGATTGACACAATCGTAGATGCTTGGTTCCATCAGTCAGGAACCAAGCAGGTACCAAACACGACTTGCATAACTTAACAGCAAACATTCAAATGCCGGTCTTGCCCTAACCTCTGTTGGTTTCCCGGTTCGCGTGTAAGCTGGTTGTCAGCCATATTATTTTTTAAGATATGAGAGAGTAAACCGGAAAAGCGTTTGGTCTAGGTTGCGCCGATCGCTGTCAGAGAATGTCAAACATAAATCAGCTTGAAGGCTCCCAAGTTTTGGGACATCAGAGCTTGCATGGTTGAATACACGAAAGATTAGCAAAGGGGGGATTATGGAGTTCGGCTTCATACCATGAACAAACATAGAGATCAACAGGAGACAGTTCCCATACCTAGGATTAATATTATGAGTACCGATAGAATTATATTCCTAAAACCTTGAAAACAGACGGACTGAAAAAGTTCGGTTCAGGGGTGCTGCGCCACAGAGTTAAAGGAAGTTTAACGGGGCGGTAATTTTAGAAGTCAAGAGGCGTGGTATCACGTGACTTTTAAAATTTCAGGCCCAGAGCAATTGCTGCACAGATCCGGTTCTCCGCCCCAGATCCGTTTTCAAAATAAACATAACGCGTACCTCACTTATGTCCTTTGAAAGGAGAAATCGAAAGAGCAGAGAATAACTTAATATAAAATCTTGAAGCACCATGACTACTCCGCAGCAGCCCACAGGGTTATCTCCAACTTCAACTCAAGCTGACATGTCGCTGCGTACTAGCACCCTCCTCGCAAACCTATCAGCTGTAACAGCCCGGATCGCCTCCGCCTCAGCTGCGGCTAATACCTCTCGAACTAAGACTCAATCCCGGCCTCAAACACAACGGCCCGTCCGGCTTGTCGCCGTCTCCAAACTAAAGCCCGCCTCCGATATCCAAATTCTACACAGCCATGACCCAAGCCTACATTTTGGCGAAAACTACCTACAAGAACTTCTAGAGAAAAGCAAGATCCTTCCATGTGGGATTCGCTGGCACTTCATTGGCGGCTTACAGTCTAACAAGTGTGTAACCCTTGCGCGGGACGTGAGGGGCCTGTGGGCAGTGGAGAGCGTGGATACGGAGAAGAAGGCCAGTTTGCTGGATCGCGGGTGGGGGGAGCGGGATGTGGATGTAAATGAAGAAGGTGGGGAGAAGGGTCAAAGTGTAAATGCTGGTAATAGATTGCGAGTATTTGTCCAGGTAAACACCTCTGGTGAAGAGAGTAAATCTGGTGTGAAACCGGCGGAGGCCGTGAGTCTCTGTCGGTTTATCAGGGAGAAGTGTCCGCGATTGAAGTTGCAAGGATTGATGACCATTGGAGCAATTGCAAGGTCGAAAGCAACGACGGTGGAAAATGAGAATGAGGATTTTGTATGTCTGAGAGAGACGAGGGATATGGTAGAAAAAGAGCTTGAATTGGTGGCGGATGAGGGAGAAGGGGAGGCAGAAGGCTTAGAGTTGAGTATGGGCATGAGTGAGGATTTTGAAGGTGCGATTGCGATGGGGAGTAACCAGGTCAGAGTTGGGAGTACGATATTTGGGGTCAGGCCACCCAAGGAGCAGGCTCGAGTGGTGTAAAGGGGAATAAAATATTCATCGGAAATCTGTTGGATTTTGGTAGGCCCGACAGGTAGTCATGATAACAATGGCCATGTATTTGACGGCACGCAATGCTAATCCGTTCCATGATCTCTTGTGTAGCTGCAGTTGTTTTATATACAAGTACAAATAGAAATAAATAAGAGCCGTTAATATTTGACCAAGAAAATGTGAGGTGCCTTTCTGGATCACGCCCACAGGGGATAAGATGCATATGTGGAATGGGAACGATAAACCAAAAAAGAAAAAAGAAAAAAAAAGGAAAAAAGGAAAAAAGGAAAGAAATGAAAAGGAAAGAAATGAAAAGAAAAGGAAAGAAAAGAAAAGGAAAGAAAAAAAACCATTTGAGACTAACAAAACAAAGTGGGGTATGGTAGTTAGCGGAAATGACATGTATAAATCCTTTCTTTCTCGGAGGTGTTCTGTATTTCTAGTTACTATGGTTTATCTATCCCAATCATTGGAGCCATTGTCGCGAGAGACACCATGGGCTAATCTCTCTTCCATCAGCTTTACCACTGCTTGGGGCACGGCATCTTGGGTGGCGCGGATCGTTAGACGATACATCTATATTCCCGGTTAGGTATACAAGACGAAATGACGGGGAGCCTACTTGAAAGCAGGTAGGATTTTGGGGAAAGATGATGCATACCATCTTCTCATAATTCGGTTCTAACCGCAACAGGCACCCAGTTTTACCACTATCCGTTTGGTAAACCGAACATCCGACCACATTTCTCGAATTGGGATCCACTCCATTAAGAATCTTGAACCTAAATCCTTCAACAATCCGACGCGTGAATGCCTCCGTTATCGTTCGACCCTTACTATGAAGGCCAAACGTCGACTGTGCCTCTAGCGGTGGACCCCCTATTTGACGCCATCGCTTGAAAAAGTCATCAGGTGATAACGTCGACGCGTCCATGTACTTATGCATAAGGACAGGCAGTTGCAATGTGTATGCTTGAAGAGCACCAGCCAGATATGAAATTCGAATAGTCGGTGGCTTGGTGAATGGTCCTTTGGCTTCAAAGCAAATTGTTTGCTGAGTCTGGCTTTGAGCCGGTACATCCGGATCCGGCATATTTTTGGTATCGATCTTAATGCTTTCGGGAGAAGGGTTATCCAGTGTTGCGGTAAATGAGCCAATTGGGAAAGTCGATTTGTTGGTGAAGTATAATTTGCATACGCCCAGATGAACGCGGTACTCGGACCGTAGCCCAACTTGGATCTGGGCGTCTTCAAATAGGACACCTTCGTCTTTGAAGTAAAGTCTGTTGTAACCAATTTCCCAATCAGCGGAAAGATGGGCAGCACTGGCTAGATTCAGTTCCGCGCCATCCGTATTGGATAGCAAATCCAAGCCAGCTAAATCGTCCGATGTTGTAGTTTTTGTTATTCCATTAGAGCCTGGTTTTCCATTCACAATAGCTGTGAAAGAGCGTTTAAGACCCGATTGTTGGGCCAATATAATTTCCTGCTTATCGGCATTCGCATCTTTCCCACCAACGACCCAGGTTCGCTTGTCGCTAATCCCAGCACTTTTTTGGTGGAGTCGCGAGAGCAGGACCGATGTTCTTTCCGAGAACGGCGGCATCTCATCGCAAACAGTGCGAAGAAGGTCATCCGTCGGCAGGGTCGTAAGCGCAAGATACTCGCAGGCTCTTTGTTGCAGTTCAGAATCCGGAGATTGGCTGTATATTCGGAACACATGAAGCAGTTGGGGTTTGATCTCGGGGAACAAATTGACAAATTTAACGAAGGATGAAAGGATTAAAGCACGGGTTGTGTCTGAGCAAAAGCTCATTTTGGATTGCAAAGCCAAAAATTGTTCAATTGGACTGTATCCCTTATTGTCGGCAATCAGATGCCCAAATTCACCTAGTATATAGCCACCAATTTTCACTAAACTGTCGTGGCAATCGCCCTTAATATATCCCAACAGGTGTTGCGCGGCGTAGGCTTGGAGCTCCTCATTGTTGGTAACAATCTGGATAACTCGTTGCCAAACTTCATCGCTAACATGGTCACCAGCTAGAGAAAGCAATTTTAGAGAAATATCAATGTACCATTGGGCATCAGTGGCATATTTTTCGGTTAATATAGCAACCTTGAGAACCATTTCTTCACGGATGGAATAGTCGGCGGTTTGTAAATATCGTAGAAGTTCATTTACAATCGGACGCGCGTTAGAAGTATCACACATGCTATATAAAAGATCGAGGCCTTTGCGTCGAACACTGATATCGCGGTCTCGTAGGGAGCCAAGAATGATATTTTGGTGTTCTTTAATGGGATCAAGAGTCTCTGCTCTCGCTGCAAAATGCGTCATGGCTTCAAGACCAAGGTAACGTACGTTTGTCTCTCGGGATTGTATGAATTTCCCGAGACGTGATGATATTTGCATCATGAGAGTATGTTCAGTATCGAGGTGTATAAGAAGGTTAATCGCTTCAAAGAGAACTGCATTTTGAGCATTGTTCTGCTGTACATTTGTTGGCGTTTCCATAGCTGAGTGCATGATCTGTGATATGGACTGTCGGATGAGGTCTCTGACGTGTGTATCATCTACAAGATTTAAGATGTTAGTCAAAGTGTTTTGGGAAGAGCGCACTGAAAATTTTCATACCAGAAGGAGGGTAATACTGAAGCAATCTTAGAAGCTTCACCTGAACCCAAGGACACGGCACTTTGTAATATATGTAGTCCGGAGATATGTCGTTGTCCACGACAATCCTCTTAAGCCGCTGGGCAGCTTTCGCATAGCTCCCTTTATATCGATCGGGATTATCCTGGACAAGGGCCATAACGAGAGACATGACCGAAAGCGTGACACCCATGTCCGGGTCATCCATCAGAGAGATTATCCGTTCCGCCCACTCCGGTTGAACAATTCCGGGATGCTTACGATACAATCGTAAAAGCGTAAGAGCAGCCTTCTTCTTCACAAACGCCTTCGAGGTACTACGCAGAATAGTGAGTAGGGGAGCCAACAAAGTATACTATTCCATATCAGAACAACACTCACGGAGAGATCAAAAGCTTGTGCACATCGACACTTAGAGCTTCACCCATCTCTCTGCCACCGACATTAGCCACCGCATGTAGTGCCAGACAGTTATTTAGCTCATTATAATCCAGGAGGTCTTTCCGGATGCTGTTGACGACCAAATGCAATAGCTCGTGTTGCTCATGAAGAAACAGCGTGACGGCCAAATATCCAATCTGTTTTTCCGAGTACTTGTTCGCGGAGATCAAATTCACAGCTTCCAAGTGTCCGAAATCGATGTCATAGCCTTGTATATAAACGTAGAGCAGCTTGCAGACATATTTCTTCTTCTGATATCCATTGAGGTTCGCGTCCTTGAACTTCTGCCGGATGTTCGCCAATTCCTTGTTGATCCGTTTCTCTTCCAATTCCCGAGCCCGCGCGTTCCGTAGGTCGGCAATGAACTGAACCAATCCACGCATGGACGACATCTTGGCCGAATGGCTGTCACCAGCTCTCCTGGTGATGGTGTAGGTCCTTGAGCTAATTGGACTCTCCGCAGCTAACTATGCCACACTACGCACAACGCATCAACCACGCATAGTTCTGCTCGTCGAGGCTAGAAAAATTCAACCAGCATCGTGATGTCTTGAGAATATAAGGACGTTGAGACGACGCAGGATCGTGCGAGCGCGGCGGATTCGGAGACAGTTGGCAAGACGATTTATTCAAGAGCAACCCTGAAGTGTCTCGATTCTACGTGGGTAACGACAACAAGAGACCGGAGTTGAAACGGGGTTCGGTAGGTAAGGCAGCAAACCTGGGGAAGACTGATAGGCAACCAATATGGAGTGAGACTTTGTTGAAAATGAGTTCTCCTGGTAGCAGGATTACTCTGATCACGGGCTACATAAATACACCCGATATGGTTTGACGTCGACTTGACATTTGTTGATCACACCCTATTTCCCGTTGAAGAATGCGGCGGTGCTGGAGCGGATTAACTTTGATGCATCTCTTAACATAGTAAATTTTTTGCTTATTGAGCGCTTACTCAAGCAAGTTTCGGATCAGGTGACTGATGAACTGCCCAAGGTGCCGAGGTTCCTTGGCGGTGAAAAAGAATGCCTGATCGACGCGAGTTCAACTTCGGCTCAAAAATAATCGATGGTGATTCGATTTGCTGGGCGGCACGACTTTGATATCCGTCCTCAATGGTGGCATTATGGACCCGGTATTTTATTATTGAGATGCTCCTCATGTTTGCATTGGAAGCAACGCCCACAAAAAATGTCACTTCAGAAACCGTGACTTCAACGATTCATTGGTATCGGAAATCATTAATTTGTTTTCTATTTTTGATTAGAAAACAACCCAAAAAGGATAGCTCATAACCTATTGGAGCAACGGGAAGATGAATATATGAAAGTAATGTCAAACCATCATAAATACAAGAAAATTAACACAATTCATCCAAGGTTCCAAATCATCCCAGTAGCCTTACAACTGAACGATTCCCGGCGAATTCGTTATTGCTGAGATTCATGCACCCATATGCCTTTGGTGGTAAAGTCTGTCTCTGCAGGGAAGTTCCCTGCGCCAATCGCTTTTGTGCAAGTGCGCCAGTCTAATCCCACAAAAGCGATGCGACAGAGGGCGCTATGTTGCATAGCATGTGAGTTTTTCAACGACTCCAGGAAAGAATAAAAAATAAAACAAAATAAAACAAAATAACCCAGAAAACAGCAAAGCCCTTGGACTTGTTTCCCAGAGGGATCCCAAAGCATACTTTGCGAGCTTGGTCAACAAATCTCGGCGAAGGAACAAGCTGGGAAATTGGTATCGCAAAGGATGTAAGAAAGAAAGGGAAAAAGTTCGTCCCGGCCGTTCTTTTAACTACCACGTGGACTAGTTTCTGTTCTCTGTCAAATGTGGCTGATTTTCAGACTCGGCACATTCGCAATTACAATTGCCAGCAAGACGGCTTCCTAAAAACCTGTCACAGTGGATGCTCACTTCTTGCTTTCTATAGATCCACTTTCGGCCTGATCATCTTGGGCCTGAAGTATCGTTTTACCCCTTTGCTTTCTCAGAACAGTGAAGGGCATGTTGTTTGCCACATGATGCGTCCCTTGCTTAGAAGCATGGCAGCACGAGAAGAGGTGGATTAGCCATTGGCCAATACTTCTGTTGCTTTCAGGAGCTCTATTCGCCTGGGTAAAATTGGTTGCTTGATGGTTGGAAACTGGAAAAGAACTGGCTGGTGTATAGATTTATTATTGGGCAATGACGATGTATGCGATGAGGTAATTAAAGGTCTTTGGATCCAGATAAATCACCGGTTGTAACCCAAGGAACATTAAGTAAAGCTTGTTATTATTGATCAGCCTTAAGGGGAGCGGAAGCCAACCCCGAGGGCCTGGATGATCACTCAGAAACCTAAATTTAGTCACAGGGTTGTACAACTACTTGAATTACCCAACGTTAAACACAAAAGAACCAATAAAAAATCATGAATCCTTCTCTATTCAACAAGCTGCCCTCCCTCCTGTGATAATTTTGCCCTAGGTATAGTTACTATTTCCTGCTGAGGGCTCTGAATGATGAATCATTGAGGGTTTAAACATCGCATCTGTCCTTACTGGTTGAAACCAGTTTCAACATCAGGAGTTGAGCTGCCACTTCCCAAGTGTTTTTGTATTGCACGTAAAACCAGTGAAAAGAGGAGGAGTGTTAAAAAAAGCACCTTAGCAAAACTCTGACTCATCTCTCTCTTCAGGCCTTTGTACCCATTTCTTCTTCCTACATTTGCATCCATACATATATGAAGTATGAATGGCAATGTGATATCCCGCGTGACTTGATATTTCATTTGTTGTTTTCTGTTGCCCTGTTTCAGTCAAACGAAACCAGCGGTCTTCTTGTGTCAATAGTGGAATCCCCTTACTCGTTTATTTACCAGTTGGATGCACCAATCGTTCAATAGGTGCATAGAAATCGTTTGCTCTGTTTCTTTATCCTACCACACACTCTCTGCAGCCTAGTTAAGAATGACGTTTCTGGCCCCCTACACGTCTTTGATGCGACTTGGCCAAGGGTTAGATAACTGAACCTCCTTTTTATGTTATGTCAGATGTCTGTTTCCAGACGCTGATTTTGAGTTGCTGTTATTGTCAGGTTCAATTCCTACACCCAACAAATTTGCATTGATGACGCTGTAATAATCCATAGTCATCCCGCCGATGCCTCTTTGAATCACTGTGATTATCTACCGGGCCAGTACCCATTTGGTAATGCAGATTCATCTGAGAGGGATAACTGCGAAGTTGCCCTAGTAGAGACGACTATTCAATCTACAGACAATAGTCTACAGCCGCAGCATCCCCCTACGAAACCCGAAAAAGTTAAGGCTACAAATGTTAATCAGACAGTTACATATACTGCCCACGCAATTGACAATCTCGCGGACGTCGTTGACACCCTTAATATCTCCTCCAGCGCTACTATCAGCTATGCGAGTAGCCAGGCCAATGGCTCCACTAATTTTGTCAAGGAAAACAATATCAGCGAGAGCGATATCAATTTCATCGTCTCCGTTAAAGTGACAAATGAACTTCCCATACAGCCAACTCAGTTGGAGTTTCGGGCCATGGAAGGCTTAGACCCTGATCGATTCTCGGAGGTGTATGGCGATTGCTTTATCGCGGGCTTCCTTGAAGGCGGTGAATTTTCAGCCATTGTTAGTATCAAAGTCCATGACAAGAACAAAATCTCTAGGGTGAAAATGGCGGCGGAAATGCAGCTGTCTGCAACGAATTACTTCCAACCTTTAAGTGGTGCCTTGGCCGAGAGGGAAAAAGAAGATATCTGGACAGATACTGAGCTTAGCATTTCGGTGACATGGTCGGGGGGTGGCAGCATCAAAAAACCCAAAGTACCACATAACTACACCACCTTTTTTGATTTCTGGCATGTCCAAGTCTAACAACATTCTATAGGCGAGTTGGGACCTGCAAACTATAATCCAAGCTGCCAATGACTTTCCCGCCCAAGTTTCGAAATATTCACAGAAAACCCAGGCGATTCTGATGAGCTACAACTCTGTTCGATCCTTCCACGAGTTCAATGCAAAATCTGCACGACCATTCGTTGTTCTTGACTATCGTTTATGTGGTAACTATTGCCGTAGATTTCTGCGTCTACCAAAATACCTAAAACTCACAGATTCGCAGAGATATACACCGCCGAGTTGCTCAGTGCATTCATCGCCTATAAAACTTTATGGAAGCTAATCTCAAAAAGTACGTTGTTAATTCAACCCACCAAGGTGCAATGGAGTGATTCTGACTTGTTTTACTAGTTATTAGAAACCCTGAGCTTTATCAGGCGAAAGATGCAACCGACAAGGTTCCCAACCCTATTCAACCTGACTCGATCTCCCTTAACCAAGCCAAAATTGATTGCAGAAGGGGGATGACCATGATCCTTGAGGAAGTAAGGATACTTTCTGACAGCTTCCTGACCTGGGGATTAGTACATCCAAAGCTAATATCATAGACAAAAATGCTCGCACGGAAACCACATCTTGGTATGATTAACGAACAGGGTACTGTAAAACAGCTTCCTCGCCCTTATGCATCAGAAATCGCTGCGAGACTTCCTGTAGGTATTTCGATTTGCCATGTGTCTTCGAGTGTGCGAAGTTACTGAATTCTCACTCTGAACAGGTGTACATTGGATCTTCTGGAAATGGGGACCATCGTGGCCTCAGCCGCGTTTCTTCGATACCGGAGGAAATTAATGTTGTCAATAAATACGTTTCAGGTCCTTCGATCCTCCCACAGCTAGGGGACAATCAAAGGGGGAAGCTTCCCAGCGTAAACGACACCTTCTACTCAGCCACCTCCCCCGATGGACAAGAATATCCCAAGTAAACCTTCCCCTTTTGCCCCCAACCCTGTGCCTCAGAGAGTCATCATCACTAAATATCTGCAGCAACAATCCTATCCACTCCGTAGACAACGCGAACGGTCGTGAAGACATGGATGGGAATTGGGGACGCACAAAGGCTAGTCGGTCTTGCTTCCTCGCACCTAGCTTCGTTGCTACTGCAAGCCTGAACTGCCTTGGCCTAGTCTATCGTGTTATCTTACTGCGATGCTTTTTCCCGAAGCCCAAGCATGTGCAATTCAAGACTCCCAGGAGAAGCTCGAATCAAGAGCAGCCAATTCGCGAACAGCAAGTGGCAGTTATGGCTGGAGCGGTTACGGCACCTGAATCTTCATAGATTCACAGTTTCTTTCCAATGTGTAGTTATGGAAACCGAAAGCGCAGGTTGCCTCGTTATATTCCATACAATCAATTAGGGAAGTTAGGAATGCTGTTCAGGAGAAGATCAAAGTGTTCTACTAATTTTTAAAAGGTACAAAACTGTGTATTATATTAAATATAGATATATATATCAAGATAGATTTTGAGATATAATATTTTAATAATAATTCGTCTCTAATATACAAACCTTTGTAAAGGAAGTTGAATGAACTTCTACGACCGGTTCCAAAGGGTTTCGGAGGTCACATGTTTCCGCGTTCCAGCCACGCGGTTTCAAACCTTCCCTTGGCGTCAAAAAGTTTGAGCTTCTCAACCCGACAAAACGCCCTGCGCGAGGTTAAACTCGACCAACTCTCTCCACGAACTAGGAATTCAACAATCCTTTTGAAAGATTCCGAATAGGTGGCACCGAGGTAATTCTTTTCAAAACCCATCGCCTCATATTCTCTCGACCATATCCACTCGTTATTCCGATTTAGTCTTTATCCCCCCCCCAACAAAGAAATTACCACCAGAACGGACTTGATAACCTTCGGGAAAGAAGTTGCGATTACCATTGTGATGCGGCGTGTTCCGTGTTACCGCTAATATATGTCCATATCCATCGCTAGAGATAGGGGTTGGTTAGTTTTTATATTGAACTGAACTGCATTGAAAGAATAAAAATGGGCGATTTCGCGAGGCCATCGCGCCCGTTGAAACGGAGAAAAGTTGCTGAAGGATGGAAGAAGGGGGAGATTTCGACGAATGGATATGATATGAACGGTATGATGACGGGTATGAACGATAAGAAGAGTGTGAGATTTCAGGTTGAGAGTGACAGTGAAGGCGAGAGTTGGAATCTCAATGGACTATCAAATGGAATATCTAATGGGGATGTGGATGGGAATAGAGATAGTGATCCGGAGGATGAACGAGGGGAAGAAAGAGTAGGAGGAAATGATGCTACTGATCCTCAGCCAGAGCCTTCTCCTTCGCCGTCGACTGGACGAACAATGAGGTCTAGGGTGCGGCAGAGTAGTTTGCCCAAGAGACGTATTGGGCTTTCGCCTACTGAGGGGGCGAAGAGGCCTCAGCGAACAGGGAGGAAGGAGGAGAAGACTCGGAGACGAGGGGACGAGGAGAATGTTTCACATCTTACGAAACGAATGCGACAGGCTAAGTCTATCAATGGAGTCGATGGGACAAAAGTGGGGACAGCTGCTGAGGGAGATGGTGATATTGATGTGCGCAGATCGAAATTGAGGACAAGGAACAAGCGGACCGCGGCCAGTAATCGGACACCGAAAGGGGCCAAAGTTTGGGAAGTGCCCACTGATGATGAGGTGATGGAAGAGGAATTACTGGACGTTGCTACAAATGAGCTAGGTGAATATCTGTCTGCACAAGCAAATGTGGAAGAGTATGATGATGAGAGTCAAAATGATCTTTCCGCTCTACAACTGCAGCAAGAGCTGGTGGACAACGACACGCACATGGTCGAGGCTGATGAATTGCCTCACTATGCTAGCAAGTTCAAGATGTTATGCGAAGAAAACGAGCTGGGGAGCCATGTCGAATCGCTCGCCCAGTGTATTCTCAAGAAACTTACGGGCAAGCACCCCATACCACTGCGGTGCCTAGACTCCCAATACCAAACTGTTCATCAACTAGCTGAGCAGACTGTGGTCGCCGGAGAAGGGAATTCATTACTTCTCCTTGGATCAAGAGGCTGCGGGAAAACTGCAGTTGTGGAAAGCGTTATTTCATCTCTAGCAAAGGATCACGGAGATGACTTCCACGTCGTGCGTTTAAACGGATTCATTCACACCGATGACCGAGTTGCTCTGAGGGAGATCTGGCGCCAGCTGGGGCGTGAAATGAATACAAAAGAAGAGACAAGTAAAACAATCAGCTACGCTGATACTATGGCTTCACTGCTTGCACTTCTCTCGCATCCTGAGGAGCTTTTCGGAGTCTCCGACGACCCTAATACCATTTCTACAGCGAAGTCGGTTATCATTGTTTTGGATGAGTTTGACCTGTTCGCCTACCACCCGCGCCAGACTCTACTATACAATCTTTTTGATATCGCTCAGGCGAGAAAGGCTCCGGTGGCGGTTTTGGGATTGACGACAAAAGTTGATGTCACTGAAAACTTGGAGAAAAGGGTGAAGAGCAGATTTAGTCATCGATACGTGTTTCTACCCCGACCGCGGACATTTGATGAATTCTCTGATATATGCAAGGCGGGGATGATCTTGGAAGAAGGGGAATTGCCTGATGGTGGTCTGGATAATTTGAAGTCCGATGAAGGGAAACTGTTACTCCAAAGTTGGGAAGAATATCTTCAAGTGCGTTTGTTTTACCTCCTACCGGATTCCCAATACATTCTCCAAAATAACTAACTCCTTAAACAGGGTCTCTGGGCTGACCCCGCATTCCAAACGCACCTCCAGCAAATCTACCACCAAACCAAGTCTCCCAAGGATTTCTTCGCCAGTGCACTCCTTCCAATATCTACACTCTACCACAGTTTACAGAAAACACCCAACTGTCCGTCCAGCCTCCAGCCCCCAACACCAAAATCATTCCTTTCCCAACCTCTCTCCTGTCCAGATCCAGCTTCCCTCCCGTTTCCCCCATCTACTTCCTCCACAAGCAATACTTCCCTTCCCCTCTCTCTCCTTCTCGCCGCCACCCGTCTAACTGCACTGCACGAACCTGGGCTTAACGCTGCCCATCGCCAAACCCCAACTCCGCTCACCCTCACTTTCCCAGCAGTATACGCAGAATATGTCCGCCTATTGACTTCTGCAAAGGTATCTGCCTCTTCTTCTGGTGCTGCAGCAACTCCAGGACGCGTATGGGGGAAGGACGTGGCCAGGGAGGCGTGGGAGCGGTTGGTGGGTTGGGGCCTAGTGGTTCCCGTCGGTGGAGGAACAGTGATGGGAGATGGCAGAATGTTCAGGATTGAGATTAGCTTTGAGGAGGTCCTGGATGGAGTTGGGGATAGTGGTGTGGGTGCCCTGGGCAGATGGTGGAGAGACACATAGTATTTACGATTGCTATGTTGATTTGTGGACCTGTCTCTATTTCTACTTTTGTTATGTGTTTTTTCTTTCGTTTTGTTCGATGGCATGCATGGATGGACAATGAATATGATATGCATATAGAATATAGACGCATCTGCACACCCGCCATTATTTTGACCATGTTGGTTAACACCATGTGATGTCACTACCGTTTTACCCTCGTTTCTGGGTCTGGAATACTTGAAAACTCCATTCATATTCGACCGAATTGGAAGTTTCAATACCGACACGCAACGTAGTCAATGGTTGCAGGTAAATGGTAGCAACCGAGACCCGACACTTTATAGCACATATACGGAGTGTATGAACCTGAAAAGACATCCCCTTATATATGACGAGGTCCCTTTATCTGCTGCTACTTCCGCACATTTGGCTGCAAGGCCAATTGGGCAGTACTTGAATGAACTTTTAACCAGGGGAAATCTCATACAGATGCCAAATCTCCCGAAACCCCCAAGAAGAAGGATGTGACAGGACTCTGATCAAGCTAAACGAGGTTCAGCTCACAATAGTGGGACAGTAACTAACTAACTAATAGCTAAGTTAACTAATTTCATTGTAAGCAACACGGTGCTAGATAGTTAACTATCAATCATGGAGACCAGCTGATATACTGTCCATGGACACGACGTTATGGAATGCACATAGCAATCCATTATACTAGTCCCATCAAACCCTACATTCTGCATAGGTATGGCTGCCAAAGGCCATAGGAAGATCGATGCAGGAAGCCTATATAATTGGCTCGGTGAAGATCTCCAGCGCCTCCGAAGTCAAAAAAGGGGCTGGTGAATTTTGGGTCTCAGCAAGATCATCAGCAAACTAATCCGTATCGATTTGCTGCATAAGAAAGGAGGAAATGGTTTGGAGGGTAGCGTCACGGCTTTCTTTGTATGCTGATGGAATATCCCATCCATTTTCGGATTCAAACCAGAGAATGTGCACATCCTCACAAGTGAGGCGGATGATTGACAAGGTTAAGCCTAAATCGAAATAAACTGCTGCATGCACTCCGTGCACTCACACGGCTGGCGACAGTGTATTTGCTCCAAACAACAGCGCAAACCGAGAAACATTTCTCTGTCTGAAATAGTGAACTCTCTGAGTCAGTACATGCGACGCGGCGCCGGCAAAAGTCCTCACTGCCCACGATTCACTTTCAGTCTCCACACCATCACGGATTCCCAAGCGTGCCGCGATTTCCCAGCCGCGAAATACCATTGCCAGGGCGACCTCTTATATCGAATTAACTAATTTTGTCGGGCGACTACTCTATTCCGTATCAACAATGTCTTCAGGGGACCCTATGATCTTGGTTACGTTGCGCTAAAGATCTATGTTAAGGGATACACGCGAGGCAACGAGGTTGCCATGTACGAACGCATAAAGACTGTCACTGGAAAGCCAAAACACTCCGGACAACAGCCTATTCGCAAAAATTTCATTCTATCTTTTGAGGGTGTAATGATTTCATAGAAAACACACGTGCATTGTGCAACAGGCACTGGGAATTACCATGGACCACCTTTTCCAGTATTTAAAACATCATTTCCTGGCCCCTTGACAGCGTGAAGTCATTTCTTCGGCAGATACTTTTTGCTTCTTTGGACTTCTTCACATGCAGGCAGGAATAATCCATACAGGCAGGCAGGTCATGGTCTTTTTATAATACCAAATTGCACTGTTGTAACACGTGGTTTTAAGACGTCCTCCCATGAGCACTCTACTCTTTTTCAAGGAATTCGAGGATGGCGAATGCGATGGTCCATTAGACCAGAAAATCTACAGGCACCTGATCATCTATGACTCGAGACGAAAAAGAGAGGCCTAATCACGCCGCCGAGAATATTAAGACGCACAAGATAATGATAATGAGGGCTCCCTGCGCTTCCTTCCTAAGATGCTTTGTTGGCTACCTGAGGAATGGCCGAGTGCCGAAGATCTCATCATTGATCCATGGCTGATTGACAGCGTTAGGTTCACTGATGAGCAGGTGAAGACTTTTAAGGAGCAATGGCATGAAGAGAAGGGGGGGGAGGATCAAGGGTACGTATCTCAGGGGGCAAGTTAAGCTGAACTGTGTTGGGTTTAGGGGAAGCATTGGCTGGATAGTTATCAACTGCTATTACTAAACTCTCTGATGAGTGACATGCAAGGTTTCGATGCCAACAGTAGTAATAAATGCTCGGAGTTGTTGTCTTTTGAAACTCACTCCACTTGCTCTTAGTTAAGGGGAACAGAGAGGAAGGGCCAAATGTGGTCATTTAGGTCAGGTTGTCCTTTGAACAACAGTTAAAGGGTTCGAACTAAAGGCTTCCACGATTTTGTAAGTATCGCACCCTAATCCCGGTCACAAGTCCTAAAACACTCCCCATTTCGCCTTCTGTTCAGATCCCGAAGCTGGGTGCTACTCTGGAGGATAATAGGTAGTAACTATGACTTTCTAGAATAATATATTGACAGAAATGAACGGGACTTTGATGAAAGAGTGCAAGCATTGAAAAGCTAGCTCACCAGAATTTGTGTTAGACTGGATGTCGTGATACTTCCATTGCGCTACTTCAAATAAATTTCCGTCCCTATTCAAAGACTGCAACCATCTAGATACCAGTTAGCAACAAACAGAAGACAGCGCTGAGTAGGAACAGCGCGTAACAATGGCTTCCTTTCGACTTAACACACGTAGGTTGCCATGGGAATTCTCAACTCTTTTCCTGGAAACCGTTTCACATTACTAGAGCACATTCCATTGCTCCGGGGATACTTGGTTGAATCAATCCTTCTTGCAAACTATTTCCATAATTCTCTTGCGATCTTCAAAACCAGAGCCACCAGCCCATAAGCCAAAATGCAACGTGCTACTGCAAGAACTTTCAGTGCCACCTCCTCCATGATGAGATAGAGTAGCATAGACCTCGGATCCGTTAAGATACACGACGGGCGAGACGGAGAGGTTGGGTTAATAACGTGTAATGCATTATTGAGAGCATAGAGGTAGTTGTTAGTATTCATAAGACTATCTCACTTGAACATATCTGGACTATGGCTAGCAAATGCAACCCTCAGGATCCTGGTGTTGTCGACTCCAACATTCAGTATTTACACCCTTGATCTGCTTTCTATCACATGCTGCCAACAGAACATCTTCAGGAGAAACAGGGCGCTCCTTTCCCACGAAGATCCATCAGACATGGCGGAGGTGGCCATTGTGCGTGTCTTTGCAGGCAAGGGATCGTCGATTGGGTTCCCCCTTATCCATTTGGATAGGGCATAGAAATATTTCCTCTCCCGTCTAGGGAGGCAAGGTGGCCATGCGGAGAACATTCGAAAGGCTGGGATCAAGAATTTATTGGAGAAGAAACGGCAAAAGCCGCAGCAGAAAACGAGGCAGGAAGTGCTGGCAACAGCAGGGAACCAGCCAAATGAGTGGGTCCATTCTTCTAGATGGTTTAATTAGCATGTTTTGAGCTTATCGCTTTGATATTCTTGCTAGGTGGGTTGGGTTTTCCACTTAATTGGATGAATAAAGAGCGAACTTGAGGGCATGTCTTCAGTTTGTTTTCTGGCGCTCCTGCAGAGTTTTGATTCTGTTGGCAGCAGCCCAAAGTCAATGGCAGACAGCAGTGGAGCAAACAATAGAAAGCGAAATGGCGGTCAGATTATCACAGGATGAATTTGAAAAAGAGTTTTTTTTTTTTTTTCTTTCTTTCAGAAAATGGATATCATGACCCATGCACGAAAACAAGGGGAATGACCTGTTTGGCTCTGCACAACATTGTCTCCTCCACCGGGGCATGCTCTCAACCGAATACAGGGTTGTTCATCCATGCCCCTTTTGACGTGGCGCTGTGATTTCCCACGTGGCCAGAGGTTGGCTCAAAGGCTTAAGTGGGGTTTGAGATTCTCAGACCAATTGAGGCTGGATAAGAACGAGAGCAGACTCACAGAGGGTAAAGATCCATGAAAAAAAAAAGTTCTCGATGTGACATGGGCCGGCGAAATATGCATTTCACCGAACTTTCTCCGATACGTAACGATGGTCAATATATTTTACTTAAGATCAGGCCAATAACAGTTTGAGGCATGCCAGATGCCCTACTCAATCCATGTCTGGTCTTTCTCAAACATTATGTAGCTAGCAAATCTGTCGGATCAAGGGTCTTCCTCGTGTTCGTCTAACTCTCTCAAAAGACCCCCCCACAAGAACCATACAGAGTTGACAGCTAAATAAAAAAGAATCACACCAAGGAATAAATTCTCCGTTGGCAGGATCCACGTCAAACGCCTTCTGGAAGAGATTTATTCCTTCTTTTTTTTTAAAAAAAAAAAAAAAAGGTTTAAAAATATAGTTAATGGCGTTAGGTAAAAGTATGTAACATTGTTGTCAGACGCGCTGATGAAAACAGAACTTTTCATAACAAAATCTTCCGCGAAAGCTTGGAGGGCAAATGATTTGCCAGATATGACGTTCATATCCACTTAGCCCAACAGGTGGATTGCTTCTCCAGCTGGCTCTTTCTCAGGTGACAATCATATTCTTCCAGAGAATTCTTTTCATTTTCTAGAGCTCCACTCTTCCCACGTGTAGTTCAGCCATTGAAGCTTAAAATTGAAGCTTTAGGGCCGAGTGGATGGAATTCAATGTGATCAGTCAAAGGTAGAAAATAATGAAAAAATAGACATGGCAATGCAATTAATCCTCTCAAACCTAGTTTATTATTTTGGATTTTGTATATCCTCATGTTCATCTCTACCACATCTTGAGGCCTGCTTGTATAAGATCCAACCCTTGTGGACAACAACCTGCCTTACAACTTCGGATGTGAGGTTGACAATGAGCACAAGGGGAAAATCCAAAAAGGAATCAAGTTTTGTAACACTGGAATGATTTGAAACCCGCCTTACAAGTTACCGCGCATTCGACTTATAGAAACCACGGGGTGCTAAGAAGCAAGGCCTCT